TTCTTAAAAAAAAAAAAAAGGCAAAAAAAAAAAAAGCAGCAATTTCAATATAAGTATACGAGGTTTGTAATCTTAATTGTTCTTTCTTTTTTTTTTTTTTACCCCCATAGTTTTGGCTAGTCTGCTGGAATCTGAGTGATGTATTTCATTTTAGAGCCACTGTCTTTGACTTTCAGATGTTAATTAAGCAGGAGTTTTTCCACTCTGTTTCTTCCAATGCACTTAATGCTGCATCTGAAACAGTAAAGAGTAATAGTCTGGTAGGCACAATACTCAGTTTGCTGCTTCATAACAGTTTTTTCAACAGATTCTTCTAATGACCTTAATGTTTAGCTTGAATTAAGCATTTAAGTACCACATAACTTTAGCAGCTGAAGCAGATCAAGCCTGCTGTTATTTCTCTAACTGTACCTTTTCAGAATGTTTTTAAAATTCACCTAAATTGAGAGCAGGAATAGTGGCTTGATTAAGTTTTGTCCAGCGTTCCAGTGAAGCTACGCTCTGAGCAAGTCATGATCTCAGTTAATCTTTCTGCAAAATGGAAGTAATAATATTTATCCTTCTTTATAAACAGCATCTATATATGAACATAATAACCTCTGTTTTTAGGAAAATTGAAGAGCCCAAGTGCTTATTCTGTTAAAGAAGCCTTGCTGTCTCTGAGCACAGTCACATTGCATTCTCTGGGGATGATGACAGTCTTAGTGTTGGGGTAGTTATACTTGACCAAGAATTTATCCTGCAATTATTAAGTGTTACTTTAACTTTTCAAATTGCATTGTTCAACTAGAAATTGACAAATAAAACTGATGTGGTGAAAATGTTGTTTAAATGCTGTAAACAATGTTATTTTAATCGGAGGCTGTCTATAAACAGAGCTATAGCTGAATATGACAACAGACTATAACAAAATGAGGGTTTCTTTCATTATAGAACCCCATCTTTGTATAAGTTAAAAAAGCTCAAACGGCTCACATAATGTTTTATTTTTCCAAAATTATATTTGTCGTGTTATTTAAGATTATGTTGTTAAACAGTTTGGCTGAAGACACTCTAATGTGAATAAAAGCTCCAATTCACTCATCTTTTTTTATAGTAAATTGCCAATAATAATGGCTGCAGAGAAAAGCTAGAAAATATATAATGGCATAACTAAACGTTGTTTGCTAGAGTCTTTAGAAAGGTTAACTTAGTAACTATGAAGCCACAGATCTTCTGTTCATCTAGTATGGCAAAAGCTGGAAAGGACTTGGTGTGTGGAAGGCAGAGAATGAAACAACAGGACCTGTCCGTGTCTGACTTATTTTCCTTTTCTGTTTTTGGAAAAAAGAAAAGAAAAAGAAAAGAAAAAGGATCCTTTTTCTGCATGTAGGAAAATGAGAGATATTCAAAGTTAGGGATAGGTCAGAAACTGGAGACTAGATAGGAACTAGGCTGTATGTCTCTCACTGTGCCTTGACTATCAAATTACCTTAATTTGATCCTTGGAAAGTTTGCTACAGCAACAAATTTGTTTCTGTTGTATCTGCTCAGAGCCTTGAGTTACTGATTTACAACACAGCCTTGTGTGTGAGAGTGTCTCAGGTGAAGCCTTAAACTTGCCTGCCTTGCACTTATGGTGGTTACATGACTTGAAAGATGGGCTCGTGGAAATGCCAAGTTCCTGTTGAGCTGCCTCAGAGCACTGCCTGTGTAACATACCCCCAGTGCACCAACCGTGCCTACAAAGTGATCTTAGGCATCCATCATGCTAAGGGCTTACCTATGGGATGGTCTCCTGACACCAGGTTTTTAGCATCACAACAGAAAGATTGTGGTCTCGAGGCCACCTATAATGCAGCAAAGAGTGGGGCTCGTGCATTGTTCCTGTCAAATGCAGGTCTAACACCTGAAGAGGTTCTCTGCTCTGCCTGCTGTGCCTGAGGTTGCTGTTGATTCTATCTTAATATCCTGGGCTATATTAATATTCTGCAGCTGAGCAGCAAACACTGGGCTAGTCTAGTGGCCTTTATTAAGTAGGTGGTCAGAACTGTAGAGATACCCAAGACATGCCTATAGGAAGGGGAGGTTTCTACTTCACAGCTTAAAGGTTTTTCTCTTTCTCCTCCTGTATCTGACTGAGCTAACACATACACTGATTACCACACTGCTGCTTCCTGACACCTGTAAGGGTTGCATACATACAAAACCAGGTGAGGGAAAAACAAGTAACTCACTGCAGCTCAGCACTTTAAGAGTAGAATAGCACAAGTTCAGTTCCTAGAGTATGTATAGACACACCTTAGGGACACCTCAGAACACATGGCTATAAACAGGCAGCAGCAGGGCACTAAGGCCTTCATCCCTGCCTGTTTAGAAGATTTTACAGCTGCTGAGATGGAGGAAGAGGTGGAAACTTCTTTCCAGACATTCCAAAACCTGTGTTTAGGAGTGTGAGGCAGAAGAAATACCCTCTACCTTCTAAATTTATGATGGTTCATGTTTATTAAGTGCTTTGCAGTTCTTGTTTTAAAGAGTGCATTATACCAGTGCTGCTCAACTGATGCTCTTTAGACTCCTGCTGATCTGTAAAGCCTCGGGAAGTGCCTCAGGAGATCACTGCAAAGTGTGTTTCAAAAAAATCAGGTCTGCCTACATTTCTATGCAGTTAGCAGATTTGTGTCTGTGCTGTCAGCAGGTGTAATCGGAAGCTGGGTCTTGATTGCTCTTCGTGCCTAATTAAATAGTTTGTAATTATAATGGTGAAAATACAGTTTTCTAAAACACTTAAATTCTGTTTACCTAAAAGCTTAAAGTTCCTAAGCCATCCCTCTGCACAACCACAAAACCAATAGTGGAATAGAAGAAAATGAAGGTGGAGTGTTTTTTGTTTGGGTTTTGGGTTTGTTTGTGGTTTTTTTTTTTTTACTGTTTTGTCTCCTTCTTCAGCCTGCCCCAAAAGTTAGTTAGTCTTTTGATAAGCATATTTGGAGATACTGCTTGCATTTTTAAGATATGCAAAATAGTTTCAGTGATGAACCAAGACTGGAGGGTTATCATATCACTCATAGAAAAGCCATTTGCTTTACTACTGCATCATACTCAGCATGGTCACTGATGTCAAGTTTTCCCTCTCAAATCCTCTGATACTGCTTCTTTCTCACTTCTTTTCTACACATTAGCACCTTTTCTCTACCTTGTCATTCCCACCAAGTACTGACTCTCTATTCTCTGTCAGTACCTGCCAGTACAAGTCAAACTACTCCTCTCTCTTAGAAATTGTTCACTTCTGACTGTGCCTCCCAGTGCCATATGTCTGAACATTGTTAATGCCAGCTACTTGAAAACATAGCCAGTCCTGGCTCTTCTTTCTTGCTTTGAACCCAGTCTCCTTTTTTCTTTTCCTTGTTTCTTCCTGATCTCTTGGAATCCTTCTCGCTCTCCACTCACTTCTGCCCACTAACTCTTCAACTTTTACTTCCTTCTGATCTTTAAACAAGCTGAAATCTGGATTTCCCAAGTTTGTTTTGTTTTATCAATCATTCTTTTTGCCACAACTCCTCCTTCCTGCTCCATTCTTGACCACACTGCTTCTAAGAGTACTGAGAGAGCTCTTGAACTTCTGTTTTCTGCTGCCATCCAGACCTTCCTTTCCTTTCTCAATCATTTTAAAAAGTCTAGAGGGGTAGACTGAGAAAGACAGTCTGTTTATCCTAATTCACACTTGCTATACATGATAGCTCTGTGAAGCATTAGAGGGTATGAGAGTGCTGGTACCTTTCCAGACCAAAGGTAGAACACATCCAGAGCCAGCAATATAAACACCTGACTGTGCTCCTGAGCATTTATTGTCATCAGAATTGACTCTAGCATGTATGGCTGTAATGTTTATTTCCTTTTTTATTTTTTTTTAAATAACTGGGGATGTCACGTACATATATTGCTGCTCTTTTTGTCGCTGTTCTTGTTTGTTTATATATTAATTCTGTCTATACTAATTAATGTTTCTGGTGTCACGTCCTCTGACATAAAACAAATCTCCATAATGTTGTCTCTTTCCTTCAATATTCCCCATCTCTCCCTTGCAAAATATCCTAAACTTACACTGTGTTTTTTCTTACATTGTAGCTCCCCCACAGTTTGTGGTGAGACCACGAGACCAGATTGTAGCCCAGGGTCGAACAGTGACTTTTCCTTGTGAAACTAAAGGAAATCCCCAGCCAGCTGTTTTCTGGCAAAAAGAAGGAAGTCAGGTAAGCTGTAAGCACCCTATAAGTCTTTCAAACCTTTCGTAATAGTTATATTGTTAAATTTTAAGGAAAAATTTTTGCATTACCTTTCACGGATACTCTTAATCTTTCACAGGAGTTTGTATTTTTAAACTATCACTATTTATACTAAAATTTTTGTTGCCTTTTTTTTTGTAATATTGATATTATGGAGAGTACAAAGGCCATTTAAGTTGTTGAAACTTGGGCTAGGTGCTGTGCAGACGTACAGAAAGCAACAGTAAAGCCTTTTCATTCTGAAGCCCACAACAAACAGGTGGGTGAGACAGGCACAGCAGATAAAAAAAGGTATGACTCAATTTTTTACTAATCAGAGTCAGTAATTACGGTTCACAACCTGTCTAGACGTGATCAAGCAGATATGTATCTCGCAAGCTGATTTGCATTGGCGCATTCTCATGGAGCATACAGATACAGGGTTTGAACAGGCAGATGCTTTCTTAAGTAAAATTGTCTCAGGAATTTTCCAGATCTAGTTTTGTAAATATTTCCCCCATCTTTTTTGAAGGCATTTGAATTTGTGATGTAGCAATCAGCGTTGCCACCAGCCAATATTTGCTTCTATAGCTTAGTATTTGAACGTCACGTCATGACGTTTCTTTACTGCAGTTGCTGCACTGGCACGTTGTTACAGCAGAAGTCAGGCCTCCTCACCTTCAGTGTGCAGTTCATGCTAGTATGTTAAATTTGAACACTGCAAACTACGTGCTGTATTCTCTTTTGCACCTGAGAAAAGATTAAAAGGGGCAAATGGACACCCAGGGGCAGTGCCTTCTGCGGCTCCCTGCTGAACCCTGTCACGATGGCTACAGCCATCTGTGTATCTATGCAATATACCCTTCTCTTTTGGCAGGTTGGTCTTTTCAGAGCCCTGTGCTCCTTTTCGGGGAGTTAGCTCAAGTATCCACACTGCTGTGCAGTGCAGATGTACCTTTTGTCAGATCTGGAGGCACTGTGTGTACCAGCTCAGTTAAAACGTGAGATAAGAGCTGAACCACAGATCTCCCGCTCTGCCTCACCTGCTTCTCCTTCACCTTCTCAGGAGATCATAAAGCTGGTCCGAAATGACAGGACCAGGCTGACAGCGTTTTGTGCTCTGCTGTCTTTGTGGCTCACAAAGATACAACACTATTGCTACGTGAGCTTAAGCTTGTCTGAGTGTAAGCTTAACCTTCAATGTGTATCTCTCAGTGTACTATCTAGAGAAATTTAGATTTAGCCTCCATGGATCACACACCCTGGAAAAGCAAAGTGTTGTGAGTCTGACTAAGGTGGCAGTTGTTCCAAGGGGAAAGTAGAATAGTATGTTGAAATTCAAGTAGGAAGTACTGATGTGCTAGCAAACATTTCAAAACCCTTCCTTGTAGAGCATTTTAATAACATGGTAATGTTTATGTAAAGTGAGCTTATAGTGTCACACTTGAATCTAATAAAGTGGACATCCATCATGCTGTAATAAAGAGAAGAGCTTCTAATTAAAGTAGGACATCATTTGCAGGATTAAAGTCATTTAGCGTAATTGAAAAGTGTTAATACTCTATTTTATCCTCTTCCATTTCTATCACTTCAAGGGTAAAAACATTTTAAGGTGAAAACGCATCTTGTGTCTTTAATTGAATGTTATTACCTACTGATTGTACCATGTTGAAGCTGCTTAATTACAAACCTGGAAAATTAATTACCATATTGAGAAACAGATCCCCGAGGGGTTAGAATAGTCTTTTTTGGCAAATAAACGCAACATAAAAATTGATACCTACATGGTTTATAATCAAACCTTCAAACGCGGCTCAGTGTGATTTACAACACCCTCGTGTTAATCTCGATTGATCATCAGCGAAGTAACAAAGGTTAGGGTTGCCATCTCACTGGCCAGATTTTGCAGTGAGATGCCGTAAGAGAGGTGAATTTCCACATACTGTATATCATCCTACAAATGGAGGGTGGTATTTTTGCCAAATTACGTGGCTTTTCACCTTTGCATGCCCAGCTATAAATTGTTTCTTGTCTCTGCAGTGCTTGCTTCTGCTTTTACTTGGGGAACTGTTTGCAGCACCACTTTTAGTGTTCGAAGTAATGTTATGTAGTCTTGTTATCCCACTCTGGTAATTGTAGGGCACTTTTCATTGTGACTCCATTTCTCAATCCTGTGTTTTTGAGCACAACCAGCTGGAAGGGAGGGGAACTGTTCCCTCCTGAGTAATTTTTTGTGCCAGCCTGAGCATAAACAGCTGGCCCTTTGTACTTTTCCCCACTGTCCAACAGCTGCCCACCAGTGAAATGCACGAGGGCAGGGTGTGTGTAATCTTTAGACTCTGTGGATTAAATTCTTCCTGGAGATAAATTCAGTGGTACTGTATCGGGGGTGTCTCAGGTCCCACTTTTTGCAACCCAGCATCTGTGTCCAGATGAGCAACCCAACAGCTAATGAAAACCAGTGAAATTGTGAAAAGCATTTAAAAAAGAGATTTTAATGTAGTTTAGGACAAGTTATAGTTCATAGTTATCTGGTCTTTGAAGGGAGGAGTCGTCAGACTGGTGAACTCCTCCTGATGTGTGAAATATTTACTGGGACATGGTACCTTCCAGAACAGAGAGGCCCATGCTGAAGAGCAAAAGAAGAGCAGTCTCCCCTTTCTACTGCAGTGATAAAGAGGATTCTGGATTATTTTTCTCTTAAGAATTAGTAGCTCAACCCTTGCACTGTCTTTTACAATGTGTTTCTTCATACACTTTACATAATGACTGATAACTGGAGTCAAGATCAACATGTCAAAATTCTCCACTTTCTTGTAAAATTTTGAGAAGTTTTCACAATACCCTTATTCAGAAGGTATCTGTGCCAAGCAGAAGTTATTCTGAAAGTTTCCAGGCAGTTCAGAAAACAAGGCAATTATTTGAGACCCACTTAGTCCCAAAGCCTGAAATTACTTCAGAATTTTAACACTTTTTTCCTATTGGATCTGACATGTTTACTGGGTGCATATTGATTTTTGAGAAAAAAATATACTGTTATAAATTTCTTGAGCATTGCCATTGAAACAAGGCAAGGGAAAAGCCTAAGGTGACAAGTATGCTTGTAGGTTAATACAGTTATGAGGATACTTAGAGCATCCGATCTTATTTAAAGCATATCACTTTCCTTTTGCTACCAAAACCATAAAGGCATGAGTTTCACTTAAAAGCAGAAATTGTTTCTTATTTGAATTCTTATTTCTTTCTTAAGCAGTTTATTGCTTATCAGTTCCAAATCCTTTTTTGTAAACTGTTAAGCTCTGCAGAAAATTCATTTAATACCCTATTCTACACTTTGGGTTTCTATTTTTAGCCCATACAGACAAGCTTTAAAGTTAGTAGGGAGTCATCATTAGAAAGCACAGCAGAGCCACACAGAGCTGCAGTAATGACTGAAAGCTTATCACAGCGTGTTAACAGTGTTTTGGGGTATTCCTGCTGCAAACAACTGTATTTTTCATAGAGGCTTGTTGAGCTGACATAAAAGCCAGACCCTATTTTACTGGAATTACTTTTGTTTAATTATTGTTTAACTGTTCTCCTTTCTGCCTCATTGGGCAATGCTGCTGACCTTTCTCTTCCCATTGCTTTCCTTTTCTTGTTCTTATTTACTCACGAGAACTGTACCAGATGGTATAACTTTTTTCCTTCAAAACACAGCTCTCACTACTAAAACATTTTCAGTATTGATTCATCATTCAGTGGTTCAGTCCTTCATCGTATGCAATGACTACTACAGCCATTCCAGTTATTATTATTGACATCTCTCTTTTCTCCAATCCAGCCCAAAGGCAAAAGCTAATCTCCCTGTTTTGTGCTAACTGATGTCTCATCCTACATGAAATTATTTTTTCTCTCTGATGATTTCTACATCATGTTAATACCCTTTCTCTTCACCCTCAAGGCTCCATGATGCATTTCTCCTTTGGTGCACCTCAGTTTTAATATCCTTTTACTTCTCCTTTAAGCTCTCATGCCCTGCCAGCTTCTCCTACTTTATGACCTGGTCCCATCTTCCTCCCAGCTTTACTTCTGTGCCCCACTCTTACTTTCTCCCTTGCCCAGGACATATTCACAGCCAAACAATAGTACTATGGCTCCCTCGAGTCTCCAGGATTCAATTTTTCCTGATAGTTTTCCAATGTTCACTGTAGTGTTATGTCCTCCTGGTTTGATAGCCCAACTAAGTATATTATTACAATTACATTCAGAAAGAAGATGAATGTGTCACAAATATAAATCACTCAAGTGTGATTGTTGGGAAATGTCTCCTCGCCTACACCCCCAGAACACAGCACTGTGTGCTGTCAAAGGACTGTTTCTAATTTAAACTGCAAGTTGCCCAAGGCAGGGAAAGCCAGCTCTGTGTGTTCATAAAGTCTTACTTTTTCCTTCTGGTTTATTTATAGCACTTTTAAGGGGGGGAAAATCATCGTCTCTCTAGCTGAGGGAAAAGTGGTGCTTTTGTGTTTGCAACTGATGTTTGATGAATTGTCTTTGCAGAATCTGCTCTTCCCAAACCAGCCTCTCCAGCCCAACAGCAGATACTCTGTGTCACCGACCGGAGACCTCACCATTACCAACATCCAGCGGTCGGATGCAGGGTACTACATTTGTCAAGCACTGACGGTTGCTGGAAGCATTTTAGCAAAGGCTCAGCTGGAGGTTACTGATGGTGAGCTATTAGAAATTCCTGTTGTTTTTTTTTTTTTTTTTGTCCTGTCAAAAGTATTTTAAAAGCAGTGTAAATAAAGGCATATGAGATCACATAATTCATACAAGTAAGCAGACCATTTTCTGTAGGAAATAAAATGGAAAAGGATCTCGGTGCAATAGTCTGTGGAGTCAAAAAGGCATCAATGCCTTTTGCTTGCTTGCTTGCTGAAGGGTTCCTCAACAATGCAAACAAGGGGAAAACAAGCTGAAAATAGGGTTGGTGAGAAAGGAAGCTTGTTGGCTTGCTAGAGCTATGAGCAGACTGCAAGAAAACATTGCGGAGAATGAATAGGTTTGTGATTAAAGCAGTGAATTGGGGTGCAAAAAAATTAGTGCTGATTTCCAACAGTCTTCACTACTGTCTTACACAGGTAGTTTGGGAATGTCCTCAGCTCATTTAAATCAACATCATTGTTTGAAGGTAGTGGAGTACTGTTGGTTTAGAACAGCTACAACAGGTAGCCTTTTAGTCGCTCTGTGAATAAGCCACCTACCTCAGAGCTGTGTTCTGAGAATTTCCTTGCATGGTTAGGTGTGAAAAAAAGTCGTGAAAATACGTAGGTAGAGAAGAGTGTTCAGGAAAGGAAAAGCATCTGTCTTGATGCTTTCTGTTTCAAATTTTTGGGTTTGAAATTTATCCTGCCTCGAAGTTTACCTTACTCCATCTCCAAACATGAATCCTTTTCATATGTCAGGAATCCTGTTGATATCCCCCTTCATCCTGTTGTGGATAGAAGGCAGTTTGCATCCTTTAATGCTAGTGAGGAAAACAGAAGAATTCCTCTTATACCAGGAGATTGTGGCATTCCCCAGCATCATTATTCCTTATCTTAACTGACACATTAAATATCTCCTGACAGACTTTGATGAATTTTTGCCATTAAAACTGTTGTTATATGCAGAGGTCTACTTTTACTGTTCCCTTAGAGACCTGCCTGCACCATGAAAGTTTGAAAAGATGTCTAATTTTGAATAATCTGCCTTTTCACAAGAGCATATTCATCACAAGTGACAGGTAGAGAGGTTCAGGCTCAAGTTATAGAGGTTTGAGCATTAATTTGATGCCTTTTCTTTGTTTTCCAAAAGCTGCCTATATTTCTATGACAAGGGAAGATAATTTCTGCCCTATCCTTGCATCTCTTCAAGCACGTTGCTTTTCTATAGTTTCTGGAGACTAAAGGATTGGCTTTTCTCTGCGATCCCTTTAAGTCCTTTCTCTCACGGTCTATGACAAAATGATGCATTTTCATTCAATTCAAATTTAAATGTAGATTAAAAGGTAATTTAAAATTAATGGAAAGGCAGTATTTTTTAATATCTGTCCATAGTGCTGCCTGACTCAGGGCCATGGCTGTGATTGGAATAAATAGAACGCACAAACATTGGCTGAGAGGACATTGAGCTGTTAATGGTTGCACCTGCTGATGCTGTACAGATTTACAGCAACAGGCGCTGGGTGCATCAAATCAGGTTCAAGGACACTAGTGATGAGAAATTCTTCCTTTTGACAGGCAAGGCCTGTGGTCCTTCTTTATCTATTTCTTGTGGGGGGAAAAAAATTAATCCTAATTGATCTCTTTGCAATGTTTTGTTAGTTTATTAGCGGGATGTGTCCCTGCTAAAATGCAAACTCACCTACAGCTAGTTGTGATTAAAGGCAGTGTGCATTCCACATGGCCGGAGAAGGCATTAGCTGGAGGCTTTGCTGCTCAGAGAGTGCAAGGCCTGCGTTCTTCAAACGCTTTCCAGAACCCACTGTCAGCGTGATGGTTATGAAATGATACAAAATTGCTTTATAGAAATACCATTTCATCCCTGAGTCAAAGGGCGGGTGAGGTCAGAAGAAAAGTGCCAAGACGACATTGTGGAACTGAGATTATATAAATAAATGTGCCATTAGATCGTAGATATTTTTTTAATTGCTTTTAGTTAGGAAGTTACCCATAAATGTCGAAATAATCTGTTTTGGTTGATGTTGAGCAGAAGTTAAGGAAGCTAATGATTTTTTTCAGTAGGGAAATCTAATTTAATGGTTTTAAAAATATAATAAAAGATAAACACTGTGCATGTTAGCTATATACTTAAGCATTAGTGTTCTAGTTTTTGGCTGGTGATTTCAGTTTTACTTCATAGCCCAGAATTTTTCTGTTTGGTTAATGATTTAATAATAGTGGCGAGCCATCTTTTTCATTTTGAACACATTTTTGTTTGATCCAGAGTAATTTAGATCCAATTGCAGTTCCAATACAGAATGAAAACATGTCATGTGCAGAAAAACAAGTGCTTAATTATACCATATATAGCAGTGTTTCAGTTGTTACATTTTTGCACTTACAAGTCTTCACTGGAAATATTTTTAACTCAAGTGTTCACATGAGAAGAGATTACTAGCTGTGATGAAATGTGCTGAGTTGAGTGATAATTTTGCTGATTATGGACTGTGCTAAGAGCCTTCGGTGTATTTGAAATTCAAATCTTGTATTTTCTTGAAAGGCTATCATGTAATTCATCGCCTAACGCACATCTGGAGAAGCAAAATCATTTCAAAAATTGAACAATCTTAGCAATTCTTTCAAACTCAAGAAGTGAATGTGCAGCTCACACTCTTAAAATGATGGATCCTGCAAATAAACCAAATGCTTCCATCCTATGTCTGTGCTCAGCATAAAATGAATAATTTACAGCCAGTATTTAGTTACATAAATTTATTCATCATGCACAGAATATTTTGGAGAAGGTCTTCATTTCTCCTTAGTTAGTAATCATTAACAATTATTAATAATTATTAATAAAAAATGTAGCCAATGCATGTTCAGCTGTAGCATCAACCTACTTTGTCCAGTTTACCCAGCAGTTCCTGTTTTGAGTGAGTACTGGATTGGAAGGAAAAGATTAGCCTCACAACATGGATTTTTCTGACAACATGGGAATGAACTGGTTTAGGATATTAAATTAATTAAAAATACTGTGTTTCTGGGATTTTGAATTAAAACAAAAGGCATGATCTATAAGGATAATTCAGAACAGATTAAAAAAAGTAAGGGGAGGAGTTGGCAGCATACCTCAACAGCCTACTCTCCACTGATTTGGAACAGACACTTCAGGCATTTTACCCAAACTCTTTGCATTTTTTTTTTTTTATTTTTTATTTTTTTATTATTATAGGTCTGTTGAATACTCTGGGGTATCTCTTTCTCAAATCCTCTACTCGCAGTTTACTCACCTGCAAATCTGGCCACCGTGATTCTTAGCCCTCATCAAATGTATATTAAATATTTTATAGCAAATGTGATAGCCTCAAACAGGAGAGATTCAGAACAACTTCACAGACCCCGTGAAGCTCTTCTGCAAAACAAAAGACAGAAGGATTGGTCTCTGCTTTTCCAACCTAACCCTAACCCTCTCCTATCATACTAGTGTTCATCATGTGAATTTCATAACTTATGTTCGGTTTTCCCCGTTAATTCACCAGGAAAGGTTGTGAAATTCTGATTTTGGAAGTGACAAAGTAAAGACTTCATTTTGTCATTCTCTTATTTTAATTTCCTGTTGTAATTTAAGCACTTTCCACCCAAAGTTAAATATGATTTCAGTTGACCCAAATTTTCATTTTTGGGGAATAAATTGTAATTAATAAGTATAATTTGTTCTTTTCCTGTAATTTGCTCCAAATTTAAGACTCATTTTATCACAAAAAGAAATATTTTAATTTTTCAGTTACCAGAATATGTGAATATATGGATAGTGGCAAATAGTTTCAAAACCATTTTTTAAATTAAATAATTTTGAAATCATCCTCTGTTTTACCATGCAAATATATTTGTAGCCACAGAAAATGTTTCTGTGGAAAGGATGTAGAAGTTTTCTGCAAGAGAAAACTCTCCAAGTGAAAAAAATCCCCAAACTTAAAATGTTTTAAAAGCAACTAACAAACCCCATACCATTTATGGATATTTTCCATTATCTCTCTGTTCTTCGGAATGCTTAGGACATATGTTTTTAAACCTCTAAGTGAGTTTTGGATCCTTACTAATGTGGAGACCTATGTGGTAGGAACACAAGCACCTACACAGGTTTTACAGAAGATTTACAGGTCCTGGTGGTGAAGACAATACAGTCATTCACAGATCAGTGGAAACCCTAAGTGTTCATTTAACCTTTAGCCTTGGTGTCATGGAAACCTGTAGTGGTCTCTCACCCATGACACCCTTGAAAATGAAGATTCCTTCTGGCCAGGAGACTTTCAATTACACTATTGATCAGAGCTGTTTAAAGGATTATGAGCTCCTCATTTGTGCTGTAAAAAAACTAATTACATGCCAAAGAACAATATCTGTAATGCAGTAGGTTTTGAAAATACCCACATTGCTGCACATATGCAAAACAATCAGATGAAGCAAATAGCTGCAATAGAGTAGTTAGCAACTTAAATAGTAGTTTGTCCATTGAATTTTAGCTACCTAAAATACTGGGATTTCCTGTTTTACATTAAATCTAAAGGATAGCTTGCAGTTAAGTTTTCATCTGAATATACCTGTGCTGCAGGTATCCTTTCGAGAAGAGATCAATTTTTATTTCACCAGATGGCTGAACTGTGTAGTTATGAGGAACCTTAATGAGCTAAAAAATTTCATATTAATTTGAAAATGCATTACGTTTATTCCTTTCTTGTAATATAATGTTTTCTCTGAGTTCGGTGGGTGATATTTCAGAATTTCCAAAATAGTTTTCACATTCTGGTGTCAATAAATAGTCTGTATTGGCTTTCTATTTTCAGTTTCAATTTCAAAAAATGTGATGAACTCACACTCCAAGGTGTGATTCTGATAATAGTAATTATTCTGTCCTTTGTGAATCTTGTTAACAAAACAGGGTAGTCGTATTTTTGCAGCATTCAATTTTCAGAAACAATTATTTTAGGTATAAAATGTACCGCCAACATGTCCCTCATATTTTTTATTTATTAAGTAACATAATGAAAGCACTTTGGATCTGTTGAAGTTTCAGAGGTTTGCATCTCAAACAGCTCAAATACAACAGAAACCTTATTGCTTCCTAATAATTTCTTTTCACTTCATTGTTAGAGTCAAATGTTGTGTGTGGACTGTAATAAACAGATTCTTAACTAGAATAAATGATTCAAACTCAATTGACATCAGCAGAGGAAAGCTAACTTACACTAGTTTAGAAGATAATCCTGCCTGTTACAATATTTAATACCAATCACATAATTGTTTAGTTGTTCAAAGATTTAAAATAGCAGCAATGTGGCAGGTAAATATATAAAAATAAATACTCGGTTCTGTTATGCTGATTTTATGCAACAGTCAAAGCCTTGTTCACATTCAAGTATTTCACATTTCTTTTGTATAAACACATGCTTTAGAAACAAAAAGTCATGTTTTTCTGCTTAACAGATGGCTCAGAGTATTGGTTCAACAGCAGAATTATTTATGAAAAAATGGTCTTTCAAGAAAAGTGAACCTGAGCATTTTACCTCATCTTCAAGGTATCCCACCGGTCACGGAATGAGGTTTATACAAAGCCATGCACTCGCTTACTGGTTGCAGAGTCCTTTGAGCAGTATTTCAAGCTTGCAAATGTGAATTATCAGGGGAAGAAAGTAAGAGAGTTCATGGCTTTGAAAGGTGATGAAATGATTTGATAAGTAAGCTTTTAAATGGTGTGATTGAGTTTGAGCTTTTCTCCACTGGAAAGAGCGGCACAGTCATTTAGATCGCTCAGATTATGGAAATGTTTTGTATGACTGTGAGGTATTTTTGTGGATGAAAACTTACAAATTGAGCAGGACTGGGGGATGTGGTTGGTACCTACGCTGGAATAGTGTTAGTTTTTCACTTTGAACTCTTAACAGATTTTCTCTTCTAGGCCGTAAATTAGATAAGCAATTAAGCGCATTTTGATGTGACATCAAATGTGTGCTTTAAGTGCTTTCCTAAATTGGGAGAAATAAGTGATGCACTTCAACTCTTTTCTGAATCAAGGATTAATTTTCATCCTGTGTTAACCAAATGAGCCTGATGATCTTTGCTGACAGAAATTTACATGTCTAGGTGTTATCTCGCAATGGAGAAATAAAATCCTTACAAAAGTACTTTTCAAATATGCCAGCAAATTGTTAACGTGTATCTATGGGTCTTCTAGAAATAATGTCTTTAACCTCTTGGATGCTGACTTAAACCAGTCCCTTAGGGTTGGTGCTGTGTGAAGGAACGGAGCTCACTGGAGCAGAGGATCTTTAAAGGTGTGGATGTCGCTGTTTAGTCTTGACAGATAGGCCTCCACCCATCATCCTCCAGGGACCCATCAACCAGACACTGGCAGTGGATGGCACGGCTTTGCTCAAGTGCAAGGCCACGGGTGACCCCCTTCCTGTCATCAGCTGGTTGAAAGAAGGATTCACCTTCCTGGGCCGAGACCCTCGGACGTCCATACAGGACCAAGGGACGCTTCAGATTAAAGCGCTGCGGGTGAGTAACGGTGACAAAACAAGCGTGACAAGTTCTACACGGCTGGTTCAGACCTGCTGGTGTGTGCCTTGAGCAGCTCTGCCGCCTCCCCCTTGTCTTCAAAAGTAACTTGTCTTTTTTTGCCGTGCAATTCTCACCAACTCCAAACCCTATTTCATTCTCTGACACTGTGTAGGGAAGGGGCGGGGGGGAAAAAGAAGAACGAAACTGGTATCAGATATTTCTATGAGAATTCCCTAAAAACAGAACTGATGTTTAAAATCTTATGTATGTTTCAGTAAAACACATGAGTTGAGAATGGATAGAAATATAAAAGGACAGTCCTTCCTGTGTTTTCAGTTAGTCTAACCATGAAGCCATTGACCTCTCTGTTAAAACTTAGAGCAGTTCCTTGGCAACACGTGATCATAATTTTCCAGGGACTTGTGGTGTTAGCACGTGATCTGGAGTTCATCAGGGTTTGACCATGCACTTTCTCCATCAGTGAGTCTTGTCAGTCCTGAACTGGATGATTTATTCCAATGTTATGCTTGCTGGAAATATTCCACCAGGCTACAAATGGCAAAGGACAACTGGAACATGAAGTCAAATGCAGCAGGATTTCTATTAAAATAAATACCTATTGTAACATTTGCGTTTTGGCACATGATATTATAATATTCCAAATAGCATAATGTCCTATGTTGTTGATAAATATTGCATCACTAATCTTTTTTTTTTTTTTAGCTTTTAATTTTTCCCTGTTCAAAGATAAACGTTTAGTTGTTTGTGTGTATTTGGACAAGCGTGTATATGGAAAAATAGTAAGTTAAGTGTCCTTATTTGTCAAGAACTTAAAGACAATTTCAGGAAACGCTTAAACCGTCAGCAGAAATTTCTGCACTTGGCTTTTCCATCCAAAAAAATGTCAGTAAACGTAGCTACTGATGACAGGACATAAAGAGCAGTTTTGTTTTCTGATTCCATCTCATCAGTGATCGTAGATGAATTGTGAACTTTCCTGGACCAAAATGGAATTTATTAAAAAATTTATGCTAGCTTTCCTTGAGTAAACAATTTATCCTTCCTCCCTGGGCTGAAGGCAGGTTTAGGCCATGAAGGTTAATGCATTTTTCCTGTAGAGCTGGATTAAAGAGTGCGCTTGAATAGTCAAGATTCCCCAGTAGTGTTAGAAAGCAGCAATTAAAGGTGGAAGCTTAGTGATTTCAAACAAACTTCCAGGCACTGATGATGGGCTTCTGTGGAGTGTCCATGAGGCAGAAGCTCCTGGGATACCTGCCTGCATGCAGCTATGCAAACAATGAAATTGGTTCTGAATCGTGCCAGCGCATTAATCTCGCTGTCAGAGGCCCAAAGTCTGTAAACTGAAGGGCAAAAAAATTGCTTGCAAGGGGAGAAGAAAACAGTATTAGTAGTGAGTGTGGTTTTGAAAGGCATGAGGCTTTTATTGATCCTTAAGTGGCTCATTCACTAGTAACCAATTTTCCATAGAGGTTCAGGAAGGCATTTTTTATAAACCCCTCTTTAGCAGTGCACTCAGATTCAAGAACAAAAACTACACAGGACCTTAAACCCCAGATTTCTCCTGTCCCTTGCAACTTTTATGAGATTTAAATCTGGAATGTTTAACTTTTCTCTCAGGTCTACCTGAGCAAGGACTTGCACCACTTCCTAAGCAAAAAGTGGCCATGAAAATGTCCAAGTACACTTACATACCCAAGTTCAAAATAAATTAGTATTTGTTACCCACATGTCCTCAGCCTTCTGCATGAAGGTAGATTTAGATTAGATACCAGGAAGGTATTCTTTATTGTGAGAGTGGAGCAGGTTTCCTAGAGAAGTTATGGATTCCCCATCCCTGAAAGTGTTCAAGGCCAGGTTGGGTGGGACTTTGATCAGCTTTGGTTTGGTAGATGCTGTCCCTGCCTGTGGCAGAGGGGTTGGAAAGATGATTTTTAAGGTCACTTTTTAGCTGGCCTTTTTTTGCTATGTAGCTCTTTCTGTTACATCACAATCAAATTATTCATGAGCCTGCAGCAGTCCCAAGGGCCACAGTCATAAGGATGAACACAGAGATTTTTCTGATGAGCCAATCTTTCCAGTTGCTCTGAGGAAGACAACTGAAAACTCACAGAAGTCACTCGCTCAGTACCTATTCAGACAGCTCAGCACTTAGAGAAATCTCCCTTCTGCTCCACAGAAATGTACCACACCAGGTTTAGGCACCTCCATTAACTAAGGAGCAAAAGTGTTTATATTTTACTGAATAGCAAACATTTTTCCGTTCAGCTCCCCCATTGTTTTTTCCAAAGCACAAAAAAAAAAGAAGTATAAATAATTGAATTATCAACACGCTATGTCTGTATCTAATCCATCCACAGTCTGGAAGTCAGATAATTTGCCATAACTTGCAAGAAGCAGTGTATCTCCAGCTTGCTTTATGTGTTGAGTTTGCCTTCTGCAATTTACTCTGTCGTGTTCACCACATACTTCATTGAGTGTGCCATACACCATCTGTCACAGCAGCACACAAATGAAGTTGAGAACCATAGCCTTGAGAAATATTCCCTGTTACCTTGTAATGAAGAATTATATATTTAATAAAAGCTCAGAGGAAGCAAAATAAAACACTGCTTCAGAATGCTGTTAAGGCTCTCTCCTCTGGAAAAATCTCTCCTTTCAAGGGTGTTTCTCATTTCATTAGCAGCACCTCTATATTTTGAGTATCTGAGCCACTGTCAGAGGGGTTTCACTCTTGCTTGTATTTCATGGAGAAAAAAATCTCCTGAAATGTGAGTTAGGCTCCTTCAGACTTCCTTTCTCCTTTAAGAATTCCTCCTCTTAAGTTGTTTCCTCCACTAGGAATGGTACACTGCAGTCCCAGTGTATCTGAAGAAACTACCAACAAAATTCAAACATGACCAAGGTTAAAAATCAATTAAATTACATATCAACAAGTAGCCTAAAGAATATCTTGCTTGTTTGCCTTGACATTCTTCTTGAAGAGTGAAGTATGAGCACATGCACTACAGTGCTGATCTGCATTTAACAGAAAACCCATTACAATACCTTAAAGTCCAATAAAGCATTTTGGATGTAATTCTATTTCCATCAAGTCATCTGATGGTGAATATAATTCTTCTTCTTTATCACGAGAGTCAACACTCTCCCTCTTCTGCTTCTACCTCCAGATTACCATGCTTTATTCATAGTGGTAGGAGAGCTTCTCTGTATATTTTGTGCTTTGTAAAGTTACTGTTTCCCAACCATCTCTGTGGTCTTTGCTTGTTCCTGACTCAGAAATCTTTATTTTAAATTTAAATAGGGAATAGGAAAACATTTGGCAAATTTTCTAGTAGAACAATTTATACAGTGATGAGATTAATATTGACAATCAAATTCAAACCTTTTTCCCCAAATAAATTTAAAGTATTTGAGCTGACAGGGAATCACAATAGTTTTATACAGATGCATTTTTTTTGCTACTGAAAGGCCTTGCAAGCCTGAAATAAAATCCCATTTAAAACAGAAGAAAGGTAAGCATGGTATAGGATCTAATTTAATCTCGCTATTTGAAAATTGCTTGGTGGACTGTCTGTGTAGAGAGAACCACTCTTGAACATCAAAAGGATTTGTGTGGTGGCCTGTATAGAAATGACTTCATCTGTCATAAAAGTCTAAGATGATGTAACATCCTTTCTTGGCACTGGAGCCTGTAATTCTGGGTCATCACGGGATAATGAATGGTGAGATTTTGCCCTCTAAGAGGTTAATTGTTGTTATATTGTTACCTGATTTCACCTGCGTTTGTTGTAACCAATACAAACACTGGCACTGTCAAAAACATCCATTGTATAGCATTTACAGTACTAGTACCATTAACAATATGAAAATTAGAATCAGTGAAGTATTAGAAGCCAGTAATCTTATTATAGTTCTCTAAAAGTAAGCCACCATTAAATGATTGTTGGAAAATATCTGGTGCCCTCTAGTCTGATGTAAAATGTAGGCTAAGTCCTTCTTACCGAGAAACATTTAGAAAAAGAAAATTAGAGTAAACTCAGCTGGTTCCAAAAGGTTGTTAAAACTGCCCTTATGCCCCTTTTATCTCCAGCTGTCCGATACTGGGACTTACACTTGCGTGGCTACAAGTTCCAGTGGGGAGACGTCTTGGAGTGCTGTGCTGGAAGTGACAGGTAAGTGATGTCCAGGGCTGTTTCAGCTGGCACACAGTGAAAGTGTGGACCATAGCACAGGAGTCTGAGCCAAATAATCCGTTTTAGAACTTCTGGGATCAACATGGTATTGTTTTGGAGGAGAAGGTTCCGTTCTTTCACATGCCTTGCATATCATTCCTGTTATCTTCAAATGCCCATTGACATTGAAACAGTTTTTATGTTTGTCTCCAGTGACAGAGGGAAACTATAACTCTTCTAAACAGGAGTATTAATAAACTGTGCATTTATCCAGTAATTGACTTGACCAGCAAAACTATTATGCCTACACAGAGGCATTTCAAAGACCAAAGTGCTCTCTGTCAGTACTGGAGTTGATTTGGATACAGGAACTTTCTCAGCTTTCTAGAAACTAAGTTGTTGGTATTTTATGTAAATTTCAGTAAAGCTGGTGGGGTTTGTTTTGTTTTTTCTTTTTTATTTGTTTGTTTGGTTTTGTTATTATTTAATTTTCTTTTAAAAATATTTTTATATGACCTTTTGATTTTTGCTTTTTTTTTTTCAGTATGTACTTAAAGAACGATAGCTCTTCATCCAAAACCATGCAATTTTTGACTCAGTTCTTTGCAGATTAAGAATATTCATAATGATTTTTACAGATGTTTGCCATGTTTTTCCTTTTAATCTTCTACTTTGATCAAATTATATAACCAAGGATAAAGAATATTTGTTTTGTATTTGCCCTTCACAGAATCTGGTGGAGCAGCAGTCAGTAAAAATTATGATATAAATGACCTCCCTGGGCCACCATCCAAACCTCAGGTCACTGATGTCACTAAGAACAGTGTCACCCTGTCCTGGCAGCCAGGGACCCCTGGAAGCCTCCCAGCCACTGCATATATCATTGAGGCTTTTAGGTATGTGAATTATTCTACTTTTAAGCTCCTTTCTTTCTAATTTTGCTTAAACCCTGCTAACAGCTGTTCTGGTATTGTGGTGTTCTTTTGGACTCCACTCATATCATTAGAGGTTCATTAAATGACAACTCCTATAGCAGCCATTGATTCGTATTTTTAAATTGATTTTTTTTTAATTGATCACTATTTTAAAAAGTGATTAATTGGAGAAGCATCTGACAATTTCTATGGGAATATAACAACAATGCACTCATTATTTGTTACTTAACTTTGATGGTCAGTGAGAGTCTTCTGTGGGAATGCTGCAGGTTATTGAATTAGTACAAATTATATGAAAATAAGTGGGTAGTTCTGAAACTTCTCTGCTTACTTTAATTCCTGCTCTTGTTAAAGCAGTACCTATTAAAGAGTCAAATCACTTTAAATTTCTGTTTCTTACTGTTTAAGATAGATGAAAACTTTTAAGTGAAAAGGCTGGTGTTGATAATTTAGGATTTCATCCTGCAGCCTGAGGCTGAAGAGGCTCCAGCTGCTCCCTCCCACACAGCAGCAATTACTGTGTGGTACAGAAGAATTCCTGGGCTCCGATTCAGCAAGTTTGGTTAAGCATGGGCCATACCTCTGCAATGGATCTGCAGGGCACATTTCTGCTTAAAAATCCACAACGTTCTTAAATGTTTTCCCTAATCGAGATATTCAACAAACGACAAATATTTCAGTTCGTCTTTTAATTAAAAGTCACGCAAGTCAAAATCACATGCATGCAAATTTTAGCTAAAATGCTTCATTCTGCTCTGTTAATATGTAAAGAACATTATTGTGCCTGCAGTTAGTTGGTTTTGTTCTAGAACTTACTCTTTATGCGCTGCATGAATGAAGAAATTGAAACAACATAGAACTCATAGCTTTCCATTTTCTTTTTCCTCTTAATATATTTAAAGATTTTTTTCAATACTTTATACAACAAAGCACAATAACATAAATTTTTCACTTTAAAGTCTTGTGATGTTTCCCCCTAGATAAGCTTTAATGGCATCCCATCAATAATTTTAACAAAAGCCAGACATTTTCACTAAAAGCTGTTTTTACAATCACATTTGAAATCTTTTCATATGGTGGATTTTAATCTAATTATAATAATGTTGAATTGAAAATGTAGTGACAAAAAAAAATCATATACTTTCCTTCCTTAAAAGCAAGGGTTTTGATTTTTTTTTTAAACTTTTATGATTTTAATTCAAGGAGACTACTTTTCTTCCAATGACAATTTATTGACATCGTTTACTTAGCAGTATAAAAAATAATTCTTTTAACAGAATTTTCCTTTTAAAGGCTTATGTTCAAAAGTAGCCTGTTTATCATTCAAATTTACTTTACAGCTCTCCACACTTTCCTTTTGCAGGCATTTATTTTAAAGAAACAGCAAAAAGTTTTACTTCTGTTGCAATGAAAAATGCTTTTGAGAGCTGTGTTATTTTTTTTATCCCATCTCAACGAGTTAGCTGAAACAAGTGTTTTTAATTTTACCCCGCTTTTACTAATCTTTCCTGTGCTTAGACTTTATCTTGGGTTACAAAATAGGTGTTTCGCTCCTTTATTTTTCTCTTGCGTTAGTGTATGATCTTCAACCCTCTTCTCATTGCAGTCAGTCTGTGAGCAACAGTTGGCAGACAGTGGCAAACCACGTGAAGAGCACCCTGTACACTGTGAGGGGCCTGCGCCCCAACACCATCTACCTGTTCATGGTGAGAGCCATCAACTCACAGGGCCTGAGTGATCCCAGCCCTATGTCAGATCCTGTCAGAACACAAGGTAAGGGTGGTATTAAGGCCTCTGTGCTTGAGCTAAAATAAAAAGAAAGATCTGAGAGTTGGCCAGTGGGTCAGTCTGGGCTTTAGCACCCTGACTGAAGGAACAGTGTATTGAGATTAACCAATGAAGGTAAAAATAGTCCAATGTTTGCTGTACCAGTCTGGAGTTTAGGAGAGAGAGTTTCCTTTTTTAATCCTTCCTGCAGCATAGACCTTTTGATTTGCAATTCACTTACACTCGTTGTGCTCCTGGTTTTTATTAAAAGTAATTTGAGTTACCCAAGCTTTTCTGAGAACTTCTCTGAATTCCATGCTCTCCTCAGTATCTCTTCTCTCCATGTCCTTACTTCCTCTCCATCATTATAATAGGGATATACTGTAGTAACAGGTGCTTATGACAGGCAGACATTGTATTTAGTGCTAGTTTTAATCAAAAGAATGGCACAAAATATCTGTAGTGTGTTGATTGATCCAATCCAACGTTTAGGCGGACAATTCATGTAAATTAAGGCATCTGCATGCTAAGAATGTATAAAAGTTATTCTGAGAAAAGTGCATTCTATTTATATATCTACATTTCTGAACTCTTTATATTAATCCACTGCATAAACCAAAAGGGAAGGCTGAAGTGAAATCCCTCATTTATGGAGTGGTGATAGGACTGATAGCTGTGATCCTCCATTGCTATTGAATCACCTATTGAATTCTGTTCGCATTGCATCAAGTTCTAACTGCACGTAACTTCCACAGACAAATTTCCCTGCACGGCATGGATGTGGTTTTTTTTGGCTTTGACAAGACATTGCTGGACTAATTAATTCAAGAGTGTAGTTCTGTCTTATGCAGGCTGTAATACAGGAATTAATAACTCTTAGGAGTCGTAATTTTTTGAGTCCAAAGCAATAGCTCGTCTCATAGTTAATTTAAAATGAGATCCTCTCTTTGTGTTTGTGTGTGGAGAGAGCATCCAGCTTGTGTAAGTGGTTTCTGTACTTCACTGGTCCTAGGTGGAAAGAGATAAACAAAAGTAGGGTAGTATTTCTTAATCACATAACCATCAGATCCAGCCTCTCTCATCCCAGCCTAGTCCTGAATAAATCTGTCCTTAATCGTTAGACACTCAAAATAGTAATTCTGGCTGGAAAAGAAGAAACAGAGCTGCTTTCTGAAAAGCTAGAGGAGTGAGTTGTGCAGGGATTTTGTGGCTTGACTATCCACAGAGCATCACAAGTTCTCTTCTTTATTAGTCTCCCATTATTATAGGGTGACTCATGCTTTTCATTGCAACAGCCTTTTAGTCTGCATAACTTATCACCTAGCTGAAAAAAAACAACTTTGTTTGGCATTTGAGTGTCAAGTATAGACTTTTTACCTGACATACTGACAAGCAATTTGATTTCAGTAAAAACATGTCTTTTAATTAGCTACAGCATGTGTTGCAGCTTCCATTTCCAGAAGCTGTTCAGCAGTCAAGCACACTGAGACATGTACAGGATTTATAGCTGCTTTGCAAGCCTGCAGTTTAATAGAATTAAATCATAAAATCAATTGAAAATTAACATAATGTTTTGATGTGATTTCTAATTATGCCTGAATTCAATTCAGGCTCACAGAAGAAGCTGACACACAGCAGAAAGCCTATTCACAGTGGCCATGGAGAAACAACAAAGCAGCTATAGCAGTGCTATATAATAATTTGCAACAGGTGTCTCTGGTAGCTTTAATAGCTGAGCATTTAATGTCCTGGTTTTTGAAGTATAGCAAATACAAGTAATAAGATTTTATGTATATTTTCACCAAGGGACTACAAGTAGATGATCAGGTACTTTCAATAGGTTTACCTTATATGACTTACAATAAAAAAGGACAGAGAAATCATAATTACTCTTAAGAAAGGAGTTGATTTCTTGTTGGATTATTAATAGATCAAACCACATATTAAAAAAAGAAACTATATATAATCCTATCCCTGAAATTTAAATTATTACAAACCAATAGTAAATCCCCTGGAAGCTGATAAAAGAGAGGTTATAAAAACCATCTAACCAATTAGGTTTTAGAACCCTCTCAATGGTGACCAGAATAGAGCTTCTTGAACCAGTTTTGCTTGAGTCATGATTTTATTATTCCAATACTTGATGATACTCATTTTTCACTGTTATGACTTCGTGTTATTCCCTCCTGGAAATATGTCCCAATAAAATGAGGAAATGCCATTCATACAAACATACTATGTAGAAATGTCCTTTCCTCTGAGGGAATACATGTACTTTGCTGGTTGTATACCACAGAGTAATTTAACTTGAAAAGTAGCCGTGTAGGTATTTTGGAGCAGGGCTCATAGCTTTTTGTGGATAGCAGCATAAATTATCACCCCACAGACCAGTCGGAGTTGCTGTCAGTTGCAGATTCATTTTATATCTCTCCATTTCTTGGTTTCTTTGAATAGACATAATTTGCTAGACAAGCTCCTTGACTGACATCCATATTTGTATTATATTCCTTTGGAGATCCTTGGAGCCATTGTGAATTGAATATCAATAGAAGCCTGTGGCAATATTGTTTACTGGTGACTCAGAACCTGTAACAATCCAGAATTAAGAGCCCGAAATATTGATCATCAAGAACTCCTTTCTGTCAAAATCTGGAGTCATGTGATTCAAATTCAGTTGTTATATTTAAATGTTTTATCTTTAAGACCTCTATTCCTTCTTTTTAATAGTATTTGGAAGATCAAAAGAAGTCACATAATGCCTGCCCCCATATCTAAGTCCATCAGAGTGGGAAAAAGTTTTATGTATATATTCTCTTCACAAGGACATGATGTTAATCCAGAAAGTGAATCCCAAGGGAAAACCCAGCAGAATTCACAGATGCCTAGACAGGCATGACCATAATTTATCAGGCCCTTTTGAATATAATCTGTGCTTGTGTTCCAGATCCCCTCTTCTGGAAAAACTACAAGCAAATTCCAGCTGAAATAATCAGTGTATGTGTTTCTAGTAAGCGTTGTGCAATCCACATAGACAGCTGACAGAGTAAGGGCTTCTGTAACTATTGACAAAGAGTGGTGGTGTAAGATCCTTGAAGGAACCATTGGAGGGATCCAGATTTCACTGGCTCTAAAGAGAGTACCTGAATTTCTGTCTAAGCTGGAGGGAAAGGACGTGCTACAGTTGGGTGATAACTGTATCCCAGCATTCTCCTTTTGGTGAAGTGTGGAAAAGGCACATTGCCCACCTCCTTCACCGTTTTCTGACATACATTCTGCTTGCAGTTTAGCAAAGGTGATAAAAACCTTCATTCAATTTAACACAACAACCCAAATATGATCTCTAAGGACTTGGACCACAAGAGGTGCTGGAGCTGGAATCACATTTTTGTATATCGAGTTACCAAATACCTTCAGATTTTAACTAGAAGAAACAATTTCCCCACACACTTTGAAGGGCACGTAATCTTGAAAAGAAAGGTTTTGTGGTAAAGTGGGGTTTTTGACCTTTTATTAGATCAAAATCAGTTCGGCTTCCTAAATTAATTCTTTTGCTTTTTTCATATTTGCACTAGATTTCATTATCTATGCCTGTAAAGGGAAAATTTGCTTTGCAGAGGAAAATGTTATTTTTGGTGTTTGGTTTCTTGTGTGCATGGCATGTGGGGAGGGGAAGCTTAGTGACAGTTTAGAAACATATAATGACTTAATGTCATGGATGGTCTAAGAAATTTTAAAAAGCAAAACCCAAACAACGAAACCTGTTCATTTTCTTAAATTATACTAACCAGTTTGGTCCCAGGCATCTAGGCAGCATTATTATTATCTGAGTATTTTGGAACTGGTGAACATTGCATCTCTTGCATTGCTTATTGGAGCAGAGAAAACTTTGCCATCTAGTCTGAATACTCATTTGAAGATATTTATATTTCATTATTTCCTAAGTGGCTAAGGGTGAATGGCTTGGTGAATTACTTTATATTCTTTGGAGTTCGTATTTAAACCTTAGTGTTGTATTGTTTTAAAAACAGTACCATGAAGGATGTTTAAATCAGGTCATTAATCTATTCTGTAATTTTTGTTGATGCCATAAATAGCTCTTCTCATTAAAATAACGTTTTCATGTGTGTGCCTGGCAGATATCAGCCCACCAGCACAAGGTGTGGATCACAGGCAAGTCCAGAAAGAACTGGGAGACGTCATTGTACGGCTGCACAATCCTGTTGTGCTGACCCCCACGACAGTTCAAGTCACCTGGACGGTGAGGCCTCTGCTATTTCCCTAACAGTGCTTTCAGTTTGCCTCTTTTGCCTATTATTACTTCAGTCTTTTACAACCCAGAAAAACTCCATTCTTCACCCTAGCGTGAGTGCTCTGACAAAATAACATTCTACAGGTGTGTGTATATATATATATATATATATATATATATTCACACACATACATATATATAAGTTAATGAAATAGTCTTTTTAATTTTCTCTTTCAGGACAGGCAGGTTCAATGTCTTCAGTCTGTGAGCTGGCTGTCTGGCTAGAAAAATATGATAAAAATGAATGTGCTTAACACCATAATCTAGAGGATAGATGATCTGTGGATTCATTACTGTGCATCTCAAAAAATAATCAAAGTTAAATATCAACACAAAATTGCCGTATGAAAAAGCACTTTGCACTTCAAGGCATAGAGACCTCTGACAATACCCTATTATTTAGTGACCCAAAAATGAAAAAAATAACTTTATTATAGGGCATTTTTAGTGAAGTCTGAAGCACATGGTGCTAATGCCTGGTCCACTGTTTAGCATCTGGTTTTCTAGCATAAGCCTTACCCACAATCTGAACATCCTTTCATTATAGAAGACCAGAGTCTTTTTGGCAGTACTTAACAACATTTCTATTTGAGGGGTCAAACTACTGGGTAGAATTTCTGATATAGTGCTTTGGCTTTCAAAATGCTGTGCCTCCCTTCCTGAGGCTTGAAGGAAAGGGTTTGTAACAGAAGGAGGAGAGAGTTCCCAGGCCATTGCACACCAGAAAGAGGACATTGCTCCTGGGGCATCTGCCCCAGAGGATGAAGATCCACAAGGGGAAGAATAAGAGAAATATTACTGCCCTGCACATCACTGAAACTGTTGTTTTATGTAGGGTGAATTCTGCTAAAGGGATATTTACAATACTCAGGGGTTTTCTTCCACATGTCATGTTGCTAAGAGGTTAATGTGCACAGAGGATTACACAACAGGAGATAAGAAGTGTGGTGATAGATGGTGTATTATAAGGATTACTGTTGTTTTTGCACAACTCAGCCATATTTATGGGGGCTTCTGCACCATCCTTGTTCTGACAGATTTCCGTGGTCAGGGTACAGATTAGAATAAAGAGAGAAACCCACAAATGTGTCTCTCTCAGAAGATTATTTAGAGTACGTGTCACTGCATTTTTCCTTTGATGATGTCAGTATGCAGCTTGCCTTTCTAAAAACATTCTGTTTCATCTACATACCTCCAGGACAGGCTGACTAACCTTTGCAGCAAACCCTTTTGCCCAAGCAGATGGATCAGTAGTTTAGAAACTCTGGATGTTAGCAGTCAGTAATTGAAAACTTGGATCACATCCATGTGGTGCTCCTTCAAGCCCTTTCTTGGATGTGGCAGCTATCAGAAATACAGTTTCATAGGCTGGCCCTTGCTTTAGCATATGCTACAGAAGGAACCTTCAGTATAAACAGAATTCAGTTTTATACCATGTAAACAATGCCATTATATTATAATGAAATAGATATAGATATAGATATTTATGTGTACGTGTATATGGGGATATATATATATATTTCCCCTGAAAAGAGTCTCTTAGCGTCCCTACTGAACAAGTAATGAGTGAAGAAAACATGGTAAGGTAAAGGTAAATTGTTGGGAATGCTCTGGATATCAGCTTATTGGGAAGGTCCTCAAAGCAGTGACCCAATGCCACCTGACAAGCTCACAGGCCTCTGCAGAGGCATTTTGGAATTGCCCATGGGAAGACACACACAAAGAAAGATCTCTGAAGCAGCTAATTAGAAACTACCCAGCAACCAGAACAAAACCAATTAATTAACCATAGTCTCTAGGAAAAAAAAAACCAACACTCTGTCCAGAGAATAAAGACCACACTATTAATATAAAATGGTTAGATAGTGTAGCTATCATACAAAGGAACAGAAGTGCCATGAGAGTCATAAGACTCTTTGTGTTGACTTTCTGCAATTCAGAGAATGAATGCCAAGGAATGTCCTGGGTTAGTGAATTTCTGGCATCCTGACTCACAGCAAATTAACACCACTTTCTTCCTCCTTTGTGAGATTGTTTTGGGTTTGCTTTCTCTTTATTTTTTTTCCAAATTTGAGTTTAAAATTTCCAAAATCATTTCCTACTAATGTGTTGCAATTTTAAAATATGCACAGGCATATACACACATATTTTATCTGTTTTAAAGGAAGGTCAGACTTACAAAGTGAGTGTCAAAGAAAAAAAAAAAGGAGACGAATGTCAGAAGTTAGGTTTTCAGTGTCACTTAAATGTATTCCTCTTGTGCATAGGTATTAAAATATAGCTGTAATTATCTGGTCACATAGAGGATCTCTTCTTCGTGGAGCTATTCAATATTTCTTTTTATCTTCTTTATTCACTGTGTGGTGCCAGGTCTTATTAAATTCATTCTATTGAAACGTTTCATTGAATAAAAAATTATTAGTTTGTCTCACATGCTTGCTTATCTGTCATGCTCTCAACCGTAACATTTGGGTGCTTCACAAATAATACTGAGTTTAACATCACAATGGTAAAAATGTGTCATTATCCTAACTTTACACAGGGAGAGGTGAGGTGCAGAGGTAGTTGTTGATGAGGCTTGTGGAGTCAGACATGCCCACTGTTATCAAATGGTTAATTGCAAGCCCTGGATGTGAATTATTTTTACTTTTATCAAAACATTTTGCATTGCAAGAGCATATGGTGTACTCCAAGCTTTTTTTTTTTAGCTGCCCTCAGCTATGGTTCAGCACTTGTAGCCTCAGTGGGCATTAAACCGAAAGTTTCTTGAGTGACCAGATATGAAATGTTTCCCACATTAGAAAGAAGCCCTGTGGCACAAGCAGGAATAAAAATACATTCTTCAATATGACAAAAGAATTGTTGCTTTGAAATACTGACTGCCTTCTAGGAGGCTACCAGGCAGAGGGATAATTTATTTTCATCTGTCTTTTAATTTGATGTAGATCTTAAATGAATGTACTTCACTGGAAGCTTCAGGAGTCGAGTCCATTAGACTGTCTTCCAGTGTCTCATCCCTTTTTGCCTTGTTCCTGTAGGACAGATGAATGCTAGTGCAGTTTGAATTTCCAGAGAGTATTGTGAGCCCATGCTAGTGAGTTCAGCACAGCATGCAGGCTTTTTCTGCCCAGGTGGAGAATTGCTGTGGGTATTGCTGTGGGAGCAGAGTATTTCTTAGAGTATTTTGGGGTAGAAATTTTCCGTATTAGAGAGCATGATCCAAAATGTCTTTAGGGTGCAAATTAGCATGTTTGCCTGGGAGGAGCTTATATTTGTAGCATAATCTGCATTATTAGTTGGTTTTTAACAACCTAATAGCCATTGAACCTGTCTTGTGTTCTGCTGGGGCACGTGCAGATTTGAACATCCGGGGAAAATGAGTTTCTATTCTGCATAAATGGGTTTTTAGGTACCTCCTTCACTGTGTACTCATCATAAAAGGGGGTGAGAAAGAGCACACAGGACCAATTATACTTGTAGGTCGCTTTAAGGATTAGGTTAGTGATGAGCAGCAACTACCCATAAGTTCTTTCTTCTGCCTTTTAAGGAGCATTTGCATTTTCTGCTTCCTTTCCTTTGAGGGAGAAAGTGTGTCTTTAGATCAGCAGCTCTTGCAGATCTTTTGAGTTGGTATCACTGCTGCTTGTACAAATTCAAGAGTAGTTAAGTGTCACAGGAAGAGCAGAAATATTATCTGATCCAAATATATCAATGCAGAGAGTTCCTGCAATCACTGAAGGAATGCTGAGCACTTTGTACAAGTGACAACCACTTACCAAAAAGAAAAAAAAAAGAGAGAGAGAAATGAGAATACCTAGAAAGTATTTCACTCTTTCATCAAGTTACAGTGCATGTTTCTGCAACTCTGCCTACGTGTGATCATGTACCAAACTTACAGAGTTGTTTAATGCTTAGCATAGTTGAAATAATTTCTTAATTGCTAAGCATATAAGGATGTTTTTAGTGGCCTGCTGTGACACATAACTGACAGCAAACTGTTAAGTCACAGGCTTTGTATGTGCAAGTATATAGACATATACAGATGTGTATGCATATATACATGTACAAATGTATATGTGTGTATATATATGTGAAATATACCTGTCCTGTACCTCACAAATGTCTATGGTCAGTCCGTGTAATTATCCAAGAGTAATTTTTTACTATTTTGAAATCTCCAAACCAACAAAAAAAAAAAAAAAAAAAATCCACCTTTCTCAATAAGTGAATTAAGTGTAATTTGCCAAGATTTTGACCTTAAAGAAGGCCCTGTTCATTCAGGCTGACTGGGCATGAGATAGAGCTCTGTATCCTCTCATTGATTCTGAATGCAACTGGATGTTTATGGAAAACATTAAAAATGCATAGTATTTTCTCTTGGCAGTACCCTCCCTAAACATAAACAATGGAATGAACTCACTGTCAATAATGTGAAATTCGGGCAGATCACTCAGCCCAGCTGTAATCAAACTTCTGACTGAAAGCTCTGTGAAAATTGTGTGAGCCCCAAATCAAGCTAGTTTGTAGCACCCATAAACATGTCAGCCTTTTCATAGTCCTTGTATTTTTTAGTCTTTCAGGTTAGGAACTTAGAAGTCTGGGAGGAAAAGATGTGTATGTACTACTTATGTATTCCCATACACACCCATATATATTCCCATATGTACACAAATAGATACAAAAACGTAATGCAATCAAAATTGTTACACTATAGGCATACTTTAGGGGTCCAGTTCTTCTCACTGAGTTGGTGGAAGCATTTGTGTTTGTGCTTTATAAAACACTTTCCCTTCTGTTTTGTAGCAACACAGTGTTCAGCCTCGTCCACTCTGAATTTTCAGTTGTTCTCCACTAGGCAGCAGTCAGTAGAGCTGGAACATACAGCAAAGAAAAGCTGGAAAGTTCTAAGAAAGTTATGCCACTTTTCTCTGTGGCTTCTAACTCAGAAGTTAGGCAAGTGTGATTATTAAACATCATAGCATTATATTGTAATTTAGGTTAAGAATCTGTATTGCAAAGTTCACAAAAGTGTTATTTTTGCTGAGTTTTGGGGTAAACGCAAGGTTCATAGAAGTCTTTGTGTCCGTAAAACATTTAGTTAATCAAAGTCAAACATGGATAAAAACAATTTACTCTGATTTACAGACTCCCTTCATCTGGAAACAGCTGCTTAATGTTCTTCTTAAAAACACAGCTTGATTCTTTCGGTATTAACAAGCTATTATTGTGAGTTATATCCCTCTTTCAGTGCATAAATTCACTTAAAGTGAACGTAGAGAAGTTTATAAAATGCAAGCTTAATGTTGTTGTAACATATGTTGCAAGGTTTTTAACAGTGACAGTTTTGATGAAAGACATTTCTGCCTTGCTTTCATAAATAAAGCTTTCCTCTTGCTTGCCCTGCTTTTTAATGTCTAAGAGTCTGTGTCCCCTCTGAAAGCCTCAATAAACTGTAACAAGATTATAGGAGAAGCGTAATAGGCTGTGGTTTGTGTTTTCAGCCTTAAATTCGTTTATTCATAAGAGAAGGCAAACAAATGTATCTCTAATTTTGGAATATCTTTGAGCTAACAAATTGACAGGAACATAACAGATATCCTACTTGTTGAATCTTGGTTATAACCCAGAGATTTACCGAACACCTAACTGTATGGTCTTGTTTGTGCTGCACTTTTCTTTGCTCTTTATTTGATGGCTATAGAAGCAGCTGGATTTGGTTTAGGTTTATACATCAGATTGTTTTGACTGGTTTTTACAGGCAAAATTAATCCAAGCATCATAATAGCTAAAATCACTGGGGTTTGCCTTCTTTGTTTTTCCTGCAAGATAAAACACATACAAAGTTTTTCTTCAAATAAAAATCCTATTTATATTTATGATAGGTTAAAATTATTAAACTTCTAGGCATGGTCCAATCTTGAATTCTGCTTGCCTAGCAACAAATAAAATATAAACCAAAACCAACATTCCGTCTCCATCTGATGGCCTGAAAGCATCACAGCCTCAGGATGCAAAGAGACTGCTCAGACTGTGAAGGCAAGAAACAGCACATGTCTTTGGAAGTTGTTTTCCCTGCATCTGTCTTATGTTTATTTTATTTTCCTGTGCATCCCATGAGCTGTGAGCCAAGTAATGGACTAACTGTAAGCATGCAGGGTATCTTCAAAGACTTGTCCTTTTCTGAAAAGAATTTGTTTTTCTTTTCTTCTCCTAGTTCAGCACATCAGTAGCCAAGACGTGCTTAGTAAGTTTACATGCAGCAAGCCTTATGCCAAAGTTTTCTTTTCATGATTTGTTGCAGGGGTGGGGCCTTGTTTTATGATTTTAGGTGGTATTTGCCATGATATACAGAGCTGGAGAAAGCAAAACAGAAAGAAATCTTCTATAACAAGTAATGTGAGACAAATGTTCTTTACAGGCAATTAATCAAGAGTGACTTACGAGAAGGCAGTTTGATTATTAAATTCAGCATGAATGTTAATTTTCTCTTTTTGACGAGGACAAAAGTATCCTAGGCGAACGTTTTGCTTTCTTTTTATACAGGTTGTTTCTTTTTTCATTTCCATTTGTTTATTGCTATGTTATGTAATGTCGTTTCCAGGTTGACCGGCAGTCCCAGTTTATTCAGGGCTACAGAGTGATGTACCGCCAAACGTCTGGCCTGCCTTCCCCAGCTGTGTGGCAGAATTTGGAGGTCAAAGTCCCCACTGAGCGCAGCGCTGTCCTTGTCAGCCTGAAAAAGGGGGTCACTTACGAAATTAAGGTTCGCCCTTATTTCAATGAGTTCCAAGGAATGGACAGCGAATCAAAGTCCGCTCGTACCACAGAGGAAGGTTAGTAAAAGGGTCAGAAAAGCAACAGGCTTCTGTAGCTACCACTGGGGGTGAGGAGAAGAGTGACCATTTTGGTTATGGTGTCTATGCATTTCTTCCGCTCTATTTCCTCCACGTGATATCTGTGTGTTAGATACACAGGTGATGTAAGAATTTGACATAATGTTCAGTTTTGTGCTTTAAGTGTTCCTCAAGAAAGCACTGGGCCAGTCTTCTATTCTTTTAGTTGATACATACTTCTAATGCACTGGTGGCTTCCAAAAAGTGTTTGCTGCAGCCGTTCTTTTATAACCACTGCTGCTGCAATAAAAGGCTTTGATCTGCACTTTGAAAAAAAAAATGAAAGCTTCCGCAGATGAGCGTTTGATATTGAGCACATCTTTCACAATGGGTAATAATGCAGATGAACAGTTGACTGGGAAACGAGGAGTAGAGAAGGACACATATTTAACTGGTCTGAAGGAACTCCAATCTCAAAGGGATGCCACTTCAATGTTTCTGTTAGCACACTGTTTGTGAAACTGCAGCGTCCAGTCCTTTGGAGGATTTCCTTAAGCACCTTTCAAGCCTCTCTGAAACAGGCAGAGTTCAGACATAGTAAACAGTTTATACTACTGAGTTGTTCAGGCTTTCATATCTATGGAATATAGCCTGATGCATAGTTTTGCTAAAGCATATGCACTCCTAGGCTGCTGGTTTTGACTTGAAAAGTAAAGGGAGTGAGATGAGATATAAGTAATTTTAATAATTTTCTCTTAGAAACCTGTCTTTCTACCTCTCTAATGCAGCCTTTGCCTGGAGAATCTCTCCTGTAAATGCAAGATCGTCACAACAATGAGAATTTATTTCTGTTTCACTGATTTTTTTCTTTTTTTTTTTTTTTTTCCAAAACAAGGTAAAGAATTACTGGTTCAATAAGCTTCAAAATGTTCATATGGTTTCACAGGGTTCTAGGTGCACTCTTTCCTTCTATTGAAGATGCATCTTAATCATTTACAGTAGTCTCCCGAGGTTTAGTGTTGATTGTCAAGTAGTCTTTAATTCTAGAACAGACTTGCTTTTACTCACTTTTCCTCCTTGATTTTTTATGATTATTGTCCAACATGTAAGTGATCCTGAAGATAACTTGGTTGGAGTTTGCACTTTATGGATGAAGAAATTCACTGTCCTGAAACACGTAGAAGAGTGTGTAGGAAGGCATTGTCCAAGTCTCATTTGGAATTTGAGAGTTTATGATTCAGTTCTTTGTTCAAACAGTAAAGCCTAATTCAGTTGGTAAAGAATATCTTTGCATTCTAGAGGTGAAATTGCTTTCCTAGAGTTAAAATGTAGGATTTTGTCCTCTCACTAACAGATTTTCTTCTTGCATAATTTCAGTTGATTTTTGGTGTTTATTTAGCTTCATCTAACTGTCTCTTGCTAAGGTAAATTAAGAACTACTGAAAAAAAAAAAAAGAGAGAAGATTTTATACCTTCTGTCTCTTTCTATAAAATACTTGAGGAATGACATTCTCTTTTATAAGCCTCAGCTCCCAGCAGAGCCTGTCAGGTAATTTCCTACCTTAAAGGACACTTTGTTCATGTGGAATAGCTTTCCACATAGTGAGGATTTAAAAGAAATTTCATGCCCACAGATATGTATAACTCACAGCCGAGGATCTGCTTTGTAGATTAATATAACCTTCAAGGAGTCTGTTTACAACTACCTCTTCTCAAAAAAACATCAGCCTAGAACATGTAGTATTATCACCTGACAAATGTTAACCCTTGTAAAAAATTTTTCCTCTTCTTTGGGTGATAAAATTAAGTACTTCCATGAGAAAATTAAGGCATTCAGCAGGTGCAGTTTCTACAGATATTTCCTTTAATTCCTCATGTTATCCTTGTAATTATATTGGTGTTCATGTATTTCAAAAATAGCATCAGCTAAATGTTTAATGCGAGTGGTTTGCTTCTCAAGCACTGAAGAAAGATGGCAGTCTATTTAAAGGTATCCCACTCGCTCTGGCGCCTGTGATTCCATTTCGAAAATGAGCTTTTTTAGACTTGACTTTTGAAAAATGTCAGCTGTAGTATTTTTAGAAAATAATTTGGGAGAGTGATACGCATGTTGGAAGCTTTTTTGTGACATCAAAACAAATAGCCCTGATAAAGGCAAAGTAGGACCAAAAGGTAGTGGCAGCTTTCTGCTGGATTGGATTTTACATGCGATGCTACGTCTGAGGCCTACCTCCAAAAATCAATTTTGCTGCAGTTAGGCTTCTCCTCTAGATCAGACATTTGTCACAGTTCAGTATCCATCCATCTCCTGCCTCTTTGGCCTTGTGAAGGTAACAAATGGAATTCTGTTTGGCGGTGTCTGGAAAAGATGAGCAGCGATTTGGGTTCTTTCATATCTGTAAGAAGAAGCTGAGCACTGGAATAATTGACCTGTCAAGAAGCAGGCAAGGTGTTCTCCACAAGGCAGCAGCAAGGGAAATGAGAAAATGGTTTTAAAAATGTTATTTTTCAATGTGATCTATTTAATAACTGCAGCAGTGTCAGACGGGTGGCTTAATTTATATCACGGTGCCAGCTTACAGAGTGATGTTATCAGGGGGAGGAAGCAGAACTATTATATACATACGTGTGTACACACATACAAGGAGGAGCTAAATCAAATATTTTATTTTATCACTTTCACTATTTCTTTCACATATGCTCTAGAGACAGAGGACTTTTTTTTTTTATTCAATTACATCCACTGCTTTAAATCTCTTTTGGAATAACTTTCTGGAGTCGTCTTTTGTTTGCTACCACAAAAATAGGACAGTTGGTAGTGGAAGTCCACTTAGCTTTTAAAAGCTGCTGTCTGTCAGTTCCTCCTCACCTGAGTCCAGCTCCTAAAGTGATACTTTCAGCTATATTCGTCAGCTGCAGTTTTAGTTTTGCTTGCTAGTTATCATATATCCTCCAAAAAAACCCAACCACTTACTGGTAGAATATTAACTAGAATATTCATAGCATTTAAATGCAAAGACAAACAAATACATACAGTATGTTTTTCTTAAGCTGGTAGAGTATAGTAGTAATTTTACATTTCTTTGCATTCACCCCTCCCCAGGTATGTCTACATAAGAAATTATATTTCTGAATACCCTTTTTGTTTGAGTAATGAAAGTACATACGTCTGAGTGAGCTGTTCCATATTACTTAAAAACAAATATGAGTTACACAGCGTTAAGCTTTACCATTTTTATGATTTTTATTTTAATTCAGAATATTCTAATTAATATCACACGCATGCATTTATTCACGGTTTTGTTGTTACTGCAGACTTGAAGACTTTTAAAATGCTAATTTTTTTACTGTGTGACGAATGATTTCACTTGCCATAAAACATACAACACAACTATTAACTTCACCAATTTTATACTTTGCATGATTGCAAGGAGTAGCCCAAGGCCACCTTTCTGTGCTTCACTTGAGCAGGCTAAGAGTCAAATTGTCCACAATGCAGCTCCATTTCTCCCCTCCAGTGCACTGTTTCTCTGCATCAGGCAAGGTCACAAGCACTATAAGCTTTGCAGCTGAACCAGCATCTGAAAATGTAGCTGTCGAAATGTGCAGCCTCCAGGGACTGTAGTATGGGTTTCGTGTTTTGTCTAAAATATATTTTCTTTTCTGATATAATCTTGTATGGTCCCTTGTCCTCACCTCTGATACCCTGGTTTGAAGTTATGTCCTTCCTGCAACAGAGTGCTCCAACTCTTCGGGGTCGTCAGGGTAAAGATTGGAGCTCAACTCCCTAAGCCTGTGCCAGGTCAAGTGCTGAGGAGCTTCTAGAGTGGGAAGGAACACAGCCAGTCCCAAACAGGTCATGGGGAACAATAAGAAAATCTGAATTGCCTCAGTAGACTTGAATACCTCTGATATCTGTGGCTGTGCTTACTTGTGTTAAGTCTGCCAGACTTTAAGACAAAGATGCCAAGGGTCTTGGCTTTCCTGGGAAGCGTGGTGCAAGCGTGGTCATCCACTCAGGATATCTGTTAAAGATAAGAGTAGAGCCCTGTTGCCACAGAGCTCAGCAGTGAAGTCACTCTGGATTAGGGGAATGGAGTCAGGGAGCTGTGACATATCATGTGAGATGCCCAAACCCAGAGGGCTATCTAGATTTGAAGTTGGGGTGGGGGACTGATAAATATTTTAGGTTCTGGTACAAGGCCTACTGTAAGCCTTCAAAATCAGCATTCATATTCCATATTAAATGTTTTAAGATCATATTAAAGGCAATGACAAATACATGGAAGACAAATTCCATAAATAGTTATTAAACACAAAGACATCACCCTGGAACAGAAGGCGTCTAAGCAACAGTTTTCTGTGAATTGGAAAATTGTCCTGGAGAGGTATCAATATATATCTCACTTTATTAGTTCACACTTTCCTAGCTTCTTTCTATTAGTTTGTTGAAGACTAGATAGATGGACTGGGATAAACGGAATAGTTGGATTTTAGGTCCATTTCAGAGCAGATGCTATCAATAACTTTTCCCTCCCAAGGACTATACCTTAATATAATACGCTTGACCTCGGTGGCTTATCTTGCCACTGTGGTGGATTTTCAACACTTACCTGGAAGAAGGGGAAGGGCAAGGGGGTGCTGCAAGAGGTTTTAAGTGGCTGGGGAGGGCCATATTCCCAGCCCTCTGCTGTGGCAGCTGTAGCTATGGTGGGAAAACCCCACGAGGAGATGCAGCAGATGCTCACAGAGGGGACTTTTCCATAGCTGAGCTTCTGCTCCTCTTCCCAATCAACTTGTCCTAAGCCAACAAAAGCACCCTGCTGCTGGTGTAGCTGCAGCAGGGGCTTTGCCAGCATAGCTCTGATCGCTAACAACTTTGATTTTTTATTTTTTTTTTCACATTTCTAGACAACTAGCAGGGCTGGCAAGCAATTGTCTTGTAGAATTGGCCATAATATGCAGTGACCAGCAAAACAGCTGTGAATGGTTGAACTGAACAGGACTCTGAAGAGAAAGCAATTTGCCTAGGAGGAAAAAAAAGGACATAAGTATATATCTGACCTAACTTAGCACCTGCCCTATTCACTGGCATTTGATGGAAAGCCATGAACACTTTAAACCTTGCAACTCTGAAGAGGAAAAGGTTTAATGTTTAAACCTGTTCAGGCCAGGTGAAGCAGCTTCATGTGTGACTCAGTTGACGTAATTATCCATGTTTATTACGGGAAACAAAGGCAAGAGTGAGACCAGTTCCAGTGCGAAATTAAGAAATGCTAAATATAAATAAGTGAGGAGTGATTTGTATTGATTCTCCATTGCCACAAATTCCACATTGTCATTCAGCTCTATGCTTCTCTCCAGAAAGGCATTTTTCAGAATTGACAGTGCCTAACAAAATGTGCACACCTAGGCCTGCAGGGAGTGTGAACTTTCTGCACTGCCTGCTTGCTCTTGCAGGGTTTCAGCAGAACTCATGCTCTAGCAAATGGATTAATGCCTTGCCTCTGTTTGTTCTCTCTCGTTGGTGTAGCTCCAAGTGCCCCTCCTCAGTCTGTTACTGTCCTGACAGTTGGAAGCCACAACAGCACGAGCATCAGCATCTCCTGGGATCCACCCCCTCCAGATCACCAAAATGGAGTCATCCAGGAGTATAAGGTAGAAACGATGTCTAATGGGAGGGTTTTGTGTTTAAGGAAACAGCCTGCTTGAGAACAATAGCCCTGTTTATGGATTTAGATTCTGACGGCTTTTATAGCTGCCCATGTAATTATATGGAGAAAGAGGACTGACTGCTTATGGATTTTTTGTTTTTTTAAGCAGTACTACTGTTATATGAAAAAAATAAATACCATGGAAGAGAGATGTAATTTCCAGCAAGTTTACTTCTTGCTTTTCCCTGCTATGGAACGAAATAAGAGGGTTTTTTGTTAAGGGCTTCTGTACTCTAAACAGGCAGTGAAGTCGCTGTCTTAGACTGCCTTTAATCTGGCAGAAAAGCTGGCAGGAAAGATACTTTTTCTTTCCGCTGAAGAAATGCTACTCCTGACACTTCAAGGTCAAAGTCAAGGACTGTGGCTCTGGGAGAATACAAGGCTTCTTCTGAATACTGTTTCTGTCAAGCTTCACAATTTAAAATGCTGGGTTATTTGCTCCGAGGAACAGGTTGAACAGAACAACTCTATCCAGAGTTTGTTACATGAGAGTTGTTTTCATTGGATTGTATATTTTTCTTCTTTGTTGCTATGATAGCTCAAAGTATCCACTCCTTATTTTGTTGTAGTCTGTATTTCCATACTAAGATCACTTTTGCACAAGTATGTTTTCACAACATGAAAGAAATGCAGTGTTATTGGGTTGGAGGACTAGGGAGAAATTGGTTGGACAAGGTTCAGCACTATGGCAGGCTTGTGACCATGGAGCATGCTGCTTGGTAAATTAGCCTTGCTGTGATTTACTTATACGCCAAGTGTGAAATTTTTAATTGAAATAGTACAGGGCAGCTTCCTTGACAGTCCCACAAAGGGTGGAAGTGGTGGGTGCAGCTTATTTCACATAAAAAGATGTAATTTTTTTGGCCATGGGGTATCTTGAGGGAACACAGCATGAAGAAGGGAGAAGGTGCTTGACTTTTAAATCAACTAATTGGTTCAACTTCTTCCACCTTTTTGCTTGGTCAGAGGGATGCAGTAAATACAATATTTATGTTTAGCACAGGGCTTCCTTTGTTTTGCTTTTAGTCAATGTCAAGATTTATTAATCCCAGTATTTTATTGATCTAATTTTCATATCAGTTAATAATTATCTCTTGGCTTAATTAATCTTGGTCCTGACTCCGGTATAAGTCAATATAAACCGTCAAGGGCTTACAGGCAAATAAGTAAAGCACTCTCCTAAACCACAAAATATGTAGATATGAAACAAAGAGAGCTGATGTTTAATAAAAGCCATGTTCCAGGTGAGTGCTCAGACCTCTGGGCTGTGTATAAAAACAGCTGGAGTCACTACCTATTACATCCCTTCTGTGTTAGATTAGGTGGCTGCCTGATTAGTGAGCTGGCTGCAGGGACTGTGGTGCAGAGTTTAATATTTCCCTGAGCATAAAATGTCTGCTGAGGTTTCACAGTACAATTTCTGACAAATTGAAAGTAGATCTGTTGATTCCACTTCAAGCATCAGAGCACCTGTAAATTCATTTATGAATTAAATGCCTTTAATTAGAGGCGTCTCATTGCTGCTGTAACCTAAGACCAGGACAGAAAAGGAAAAAAGAAATGAATGCAACAGTTTCTCACCCTAATTCATTGTGACCCTCAAATAAGTTCTCACTGAGCCTATGAAAACAAAGGAGTTTTTTTCTTTTCAAATCTTTCTCAGTGTTTCAGAAAAAAAAAAAAGAGAAGGTATGATAAAACACTAAGCAGAGTCAAAAATAAGGACAAACATAGCATTGCTGTTGCTTAAATGCATCAGTTGGTTGCTGACAGTGGTTCTACCAATAGTGATCTTCTGCTATTATTGTTATGTGGGTATACATGTGATGTGTTTGTGCATTGATTTTCTTGAGTGGTAGTAAATGCTTTTTAAAATAATACAGAAGCAGTATATGCAGATAACATTAACTGAAGAAGTAACCCTAGAAGTCTTTGTTTTGAAACCTCTTTGGAGAAACCTATAAAAAAATACCAGAGAGAGACATAGAACTTTGAAATCATAGAGAGCTCTCATCACAAATGCCAGTTGAGATTATAGAGTGGTTTTCCTGTTTAATTATATAGTAATTGAATCAGGAACTGATATCTGGATTCCTAAACAACGTGAGTAATCAGAAAGGCAGCAGTACAAAGTGAGTCTGTACTTATTCCCTTTCTTAAATTTCAAATATCCCTATTGCAAAATGAAAGGAAGTCGGAAATAACTTTGGAAATTGTTTGTTCTTTAGTACTTTAAGAAGTGTTTCAACCTGTGCTCATATTATTTGGTGTCTTTTTGTTATTCAGTGGAAAATTCAGAAGGAAAAAATGTGGGTTTTTTAAAGGACAGGTTTGGTGGTAATCGTGTTACTGAACAAGATTTTAGTTAAGGTATAACATTTTTTTTCACTTGGATGATCTGATCTGGGCTTCTAAGAAGTGTAACCACAGAATTTGCATTCCACAGAGAGCCCAAGTCCAGAGAGTTATTTGCAAGCAATTTTTGCAGCTGTCTTGGTCCTGTGCTGATCTGGCACAGTTTGCTGAGCTAAATCATTCTAATTTCAGCTATTCCCGGACAGTAACAAAATAAGTTATTGTCGTGATAACGAAATAAGTGATTGTGGTGAAACACTTTGATATGTCATATCTGTGCACGTTTTTGTGAGTGTGAAGAATTTCATCTCTTTTAACACATCGACTTTTGTCCCAGATCTGGTGCCTAGGTAATGAGACTCGATTTCATGTCAACAAAACAGTAGATGCAGCCATTCGGTCTGTAGTAATAGGTGGCCTATATCCAGGTATCCAGTACCGCGTGGAAGTTGCTGCAAGCACCAGTGCAGGTGTGGGAGTAAAAAGTGAGCCACAACCCATAATAATTGGTAAGTGATTGTCTGTTCTATTGTTTTGGTTTGCCCGTTTTTTTGTTGTTGTGGTTTGTTTTTTTACTTTCAGAAATGCTTTCATAAATCACTTTCAGAAGCATAAAAATCCACAGAGCAAAAGACAAGGTTTGAATAGAGCTGGTTAGTTAGCTTTTAACGTCCCACTGCCTGCTGATGTTGTGTCTTCCCTTTGTACAGAGTTCTTGCAGCCAAGGGAGGGAAGTATGTTCCCAAGACATGAGAGAAAATGCAGATTGTCTAGTGGAACTGACTTAATGTGGGGTTTTTTAATGAATTTACCACTTCTGCAGCTTGACTGATTTATGGAACTAACAGCCCAAGCTCCCTTTTCCTTCTGCTAAGATGACTGTAATATTGCCTTACTCATCCCTTTGGTGCCTAAGGCTCTGTTTACCATTGCTTTCTGAACATTTGAAGCCAGTGTTTCTCAGGTATCCCAAGCAGACAAGTGTCCTCTGACAAAGAGTAAGTGGCCTTTAGACCAAATAGAGAGCAAAGGTAGCATTATAATCCCTGCCTTTGAAATGGTCATTTCTTAGTAGTGGTTTCCATGCAGAATTGATTTCCTAACCTGGGGGAAACACAGATTCTGTTTCTTCTGAAATTTTTCCTGAGTATAAAACATAAAGACAGGAACAATATGGAAGAATAGGAGAAGTAATCATAATTAGCAAACCTGAACTTGAGCTATGCAAAGCAGCGCCTCCTTTGAGTGCATAATAAAGGAATTCTGTTGCTTTTATCTGTATGGCCTAATTTAGTTATTATTTAAATATACTTTTCTTTATTTGTGGGACTTTTGTTGTTATTAAGTATTTTCTTTCTAGAAAATGTTGTCAAGACACTGTCCCAAACATGGACTATCCTGTTATGTGTAGACCTTTACAAAGGTCTGTACATAACCGTAAGCATTGCTTAAATGTTTAATGATATTTGGGTTCCCCATTCATCAAAACAGAACCTAGGGTACTTCAACTTTGAATATATTGTCGCTGGAGACAGAAATACAAGAGTGGAGGTGAACGGAGTACTGGTTTTTAGAAAAAGGCAGTCAAAGATAGGCCAGAGAAAAGGGGGGAGAGGGAAGATTTCTAGAACTGAAAGTAAGAAATCCCCTAATAGGTCTGGATTTTTGACCTCTATGTTAATAACTGATGTTGTAAGATTAGTCTGTCACCACATCCACTTTGAATAGGACATCCTTTTATTATTTCACTAAGGAGTCCATCTAACTAGGCACTCCACTTAATCCAGCAAAGCACAAAAGTGTGTTGCATTTTAAGTACACGAGTAGCCTTGTGTCACTTAATATGTTCTGAGTTAAACTTGCACCAAAGGTCCTCACTGGGTGATTCCCAGAATGTTCAGCCCCACATCTGAGTTCAGCACTTCATCCTGAATTTTTCCTTAACAAAAAAGGACTGGTATAGTCAAGAGTTAAATGAGGAGAGATCTGTATTGTTGCCAGAAGAGGGAAAGGGATGTTGGGGTGTAAATAAAGTAAGAAAGAAGGACAAAAATGAGTTGGCATTTAGAGACCTAATTTTGCCCTTGTTAATCTTAGTGATATTTATTTGTTCCTTAAATGATCCCAGAATGTCTGCTTCAGCAAGTCTGTCTGGTGGCATCTTTGCACATTTAAGAGTCTTTTGCATGGAAAGTAAAGGAGAGTATTTTCTGTTTGGGTTATATTTCTGTTCTCTTTTCTGTTTTCCCTTTTGGCAACCCAAAGCTGGATGTGGTGACTACATATATGGTCTGTCTCCCTTTTCTTTAGACCTCCTTTTTTTATTGATTGCTGGGAGTTATTTCTCAGACTATAAATTTGCTTGATAAAGGTAGCAGTGTCTAAGTGATACCATTTCTGGAAAACTTGAGTTGGTACCATTCAGTGTTTGACTGTGAATCGAAAACATATAATGTGAAAAATATTTTTTTTAAGTACATGAAAAAACTAATTGAATGGATTTAAAATGAGCTGATGAATAAAGCTCAAAATATCATAATGATTGTGAAAACATTAATGAGTGATTGCATTATAATGGAGTCCTATATGGCCTGGTGAATAGCTGTACTATTGAACAGCTTGCAGAAAGAACAAGCAGCTCCAGAAATGCTGAATTATGGAAGGAGTAGGTCAGTGATGCAGAAGAGTTAAGCAGTGTTTCTAAGCAGTACAACTTTGTCATGAAATACAGAGTCCCGTGTATAAAAAAAAAGGGAAGATGTTATTCTTAAATAAAGGAAGAAGGTATTTTCTGAAAATAACTGTTTTTCATGGTGGATAATCAACTGTTGTCTTCCCAGAGCAATTCTAGATAACAGACCTGTGCCAATCCAGCAAGTAAAACCAGGAGAATATGGAGCAGTAGGAGGTATATTATTTCTTTAGTTAGAAATTGTCAGGCGTGCTGTGCCCATACTTCAAGCAGGACGTCAAAAAATTTTACGGAACACTCAAAGAGAATCAAGAATAAAATTTTTATGATCACTAATGATATGCTAAAAAATTTTCTACTGGAAAACCAAACATAAAAGTGGAGATAATGGCAGTGTTGGTTAATGCCATAGCTATTATTTCTCCTCATCAGTTGGCCTGTTCACTCTTACATTCCATCACTGGCGTAATAATATGAGGAACAGCTGCAAACTTTCACAGTAATAGGTACAATCGAATCTGATGTGTCTAATTAATTTTTGGTCCAACAAATTAGTTTTGTTCTTCATTACTCTCCAATGGGAGGAAGACATTATATTTCATTATGTTTTTGTCTTCAGGAACAATGGAGCGTTACGGGTCGCACACTTCCCTTGTCTATGTTCTAATTAGTTGAACTGACAGCATTGTTACAGAAACACCTGCAGTATGTGAAATAGTACCACACTGGTACCTTGGATGACATATTTATTACTTCTGCTTAAATATTATAAAAAGAAGTACAAAACTAATGCCGTTTGTTTCCCCAGCCCCCACCGATTATATTAATTTCATCAGACATCAGCGGGTAACATTCATCTGTATCCATTTATTTTTCCGTCATCGAATTCACAAAGCATATGTTATTTTGACATTTAAATGAGTTATTACTTTTGCAGTTGTAATTGCTAGGCACAGAAGGGTAAGAGCAAGCAGCCAGACTGCAAACTTTAGAAGGTAATTTGGAGACAGATTGAATCTTCCCCTAGAAGAGAGGGAGAGAGCAAAGCCCACCGAAAGCTCTCCACAGGCGCTTTGTGGTTTGCTCTCACATCCCTCATTTTCAAAAGACTGGTTTCTGACTTTAGAGAAGAAGATGGGATCCTCAGATGTTTTGGAGGCTTCAGTGGGCAGAGCTTGTACTTTTCTTGAGTGCAGGAACATCAGCTTCCAAAACTGGTCTCTTGAAGGACATAACTGCCTGCTCTTCTCCATGGCAGCACAGCTACCTTTGAAGCAGTGCCAAAATTACCTGTTTTCCCACCATCCCACTGATTTGGCCTCTCTTCCAAAGGGCACAGAAATTAACTCTAAGTTAATGGCAATTAAAGCAACACAAATTCCCATGGTGATTTCTATGAGGAAATGAATTGTGTGCCTGGAAGAGCATGCCACAGAGTGCCTCCTTCTCTTAGTTTTACTCTTAGCCCTTCCTCTTTCAGCACTGGGATGCACATATAGTTGGTTCCACGGGCAGAAAAAACAGGGAAAAATCAGATGAAGGAGCCACCACTGTCTCCCTTCTTTTCCTCCTCAGTTTCATTCTCCCTTTCTGCATCAGAACTGGAAACTGCTGGGCCTTTGGCAGAGGCAAGACAAGAGAGGAGAGCATGGGGGAGGACAGCTGCAGCTCCCAGGCCCTGACATTAATAGAGCTCACCAGCATGGCCAGGGTAGACTGATACATGACGCCAGTACTGGTGTACTGCCTTTTTATACACTAGCAGACCTAGTCTGTCAGCATCGTTCTGTGGGACCTATTTTGCTTGCGGGAAGCCCCTTTTGTTTCTTGCCCAGAACGACTGAAAGCAAGCCAAGCTCTAGCACAGTTTTAACAGTCTGTTTGCAGAAGCAGACGGTCATCATTACTAAATATTGACATGGTGCTGAAAGAGAGAAGGCTTAATAAAATCCCCGAGCTCATCAGCAGTGCGATAGCGGTTCCTTCCCGAGTAACTCGGCCCGGCTCTGAGCACCATCGAGGGCCTGAAGCTGCATCTTGGCTGGGGCAGTGCTGGGCAGAGCCAGTCCCCGAGGGAGCGGGGCAGGGAGGGCACGCTCAGCCTGGCAGGCTCTCTGTGAGGGATCCCCAGTGGCAACTTGGCTCTGGGTCACCTGCAAAGAGCTGTCCGTGGAAACAGAACTGGAATTTGTCAGAATTCTCGCCTCTATTTTAGCTGGTGACCCTGTTTGGGGGCTTTAGGCTGAAGCCAGCGAGCTAGTCTGTTGAAAGGAGTGGTAAATCTAACCATTGCTGAATTGTAGAAGAGAAATACATCCTGTTTTCACAGCAAGGCATAAGGATACAATGCTTTTAATAATTTCCTGTGAAGGGCCATTTCAGTGTTTTATTGCAATATTCGACTACCTTTATACATGTGTGATAGACTTTCATAATTGAGAATCATAGTGTTTCTATCTTTTTTGTCTCAGTAGAGTAGCTACTCTTGCAGCTCCTCAGCATGCATAGAGGCATCTGGTAATATTGCATAAACATTTCAAGGATTAAGCTATTTAAATGCTTTTATGGGAAAAGATGGATAATATTTCACAAATTTCCAAATTGCAGATGTGGGTAGTTTATATCAGATGTACATAGAATCAATATTCATGGGGGGGGGAGGAAGGTTTGCAGAAAAATATGTTCTGCATTTCCTAATTGTAAAACTTAACTATTTTTGACAAGGGGAGATTTGAAATAGAAAAGTGCTGGCACTAGAACTAAATACTTTAGCATTTCCTGAATTTCCGTTCAGATTTTTACGATAATTTGTTTTCCAGCCAGACATCAAGCTTTTTCTTTTGAAAAAGTTCCCTTTTAGAGAAAGAGGGGGGAAAAAAATATATTCAAACATCTACTGAAATTAACAGTTTTCTAATGTAACATACAATTTAAGATCCCAAATAGTAATTTTTGATGCATGTAATTTTAATTGGGATTCCACGTAATAATTATTTCTTACAGGTTGATGTTAAGAATTTGTCATGCGTATTGCGTGTGAAAAAAATAGCATCTGTTGCTGTGATTGCTTAGAGTTTGCAGTTAACTTTGTGATTTTCTGCTTTGTGTCAAAGCTGATGCATTTAGAATTTGTATGGATTGTTTTCCCTGTGAAATAATTTCTGGAAAATACACTTTATATTTGATTTCAAATTTGGAAACTCCAGCATTCAGGGAAAATAAATTAGTTAAGTAAGAATTTTTGGCATACTGACAGCAATGAGAGAAGAATCTTCTGATGTTGTAACGTATTTTTTATTTGGATTTCTTATTTGGAAAAAGCTATTTATTGGTTGCTTGATTTATTTTTTATTAGTTTCCTATAATCCGTTTTCTCGTTATTGTATCCTGTCTATAATTATGTGAAAACAAACCAACAAAAATTTATATTGTTTAAAAAAAAAACAAAGCTCTGGATTTACATCTGTTCGATTGCTTGAGAGTGTGCTATAGACCTGTCTTTTCAAATACATGTTTGCAAAATGGCTATGGATTTAATCTCTAGAAACACTGGGTTTCTGGGGTGCTTTGCTACTCCCTAAAGTTCTTCCACTGTGTATAATTCTTTTCAGGTCCATTACTTTTTCTTTTTTTTGCTGATTTTCACTAGCAGTACTTGCTTCCTGTTTGTGTTACAGAATCCATAATGGCCGCATTCCTTTGAATTTCTTTTGTGCAGGAGGTCGTAATGAAGTCGTCATCACCGAAAATAACAACAGCATAACTGAGCAAATCACTGATGTTGTCAAACAGCCTGCCTTTATAGCTGGCATCGGTGGCGCATGTTGGGTGATTCTGATGGGTTTCAGCATCTGGCTGTACTGGCGAAGAAAGAAGAGGAAGGGGCTCAGCAATTATGCTGGTAAGAACAGGAGCTTTACTACCATCTCATCAGGTTTGGTCATGAAGAGAACAGGGCCTCTTAAACCTGCTTAAAAACCACATTGAACTTGCAGCAAAAGTGTCCTGGGTGAATTTTGTATGCTTGTTTTTAATGTATGCCGTGAAACTGCTGTTGTATGAGAAGCTTTAAATGCATTGCTCGATACCACATTTCATCATTGTCATAAGACAGTATTTTTACATCTCCAGCACATCTAGCATAAAGCAAGCACTCTGATAGCAGTGCAGCTCTATTTATGTGTTCAAATATGAACTAGACTAGACCCTTATAAGGAAGGTTAGAGAGAATTCGGTCTTCTCCTTTGTTCCCATGCATTTCCATGTCTCTGAAGCCATGTGCATGGGAAATAAATGGATGTGTTTAATTAGTGACTTCATACCTATAGCTGGAAGAGAGGAGTGAGTGATGTGTTAGACAGAGAAGTACGGTCAAAATTTACTTATGGCAGAAACCATAAAAAGATTTGCCTTTGAGGTAGAACTTCTTGGAATGTCCTCTTGTACCAAATGTTTCTTCCAGGTACAAATTAGTGTTTGAAAACTACATTTGGAAAAATAAATACACCTGCCCAATGAAAGTATTTTCATCTTTCCCCAACCTCTTTGTTTTGTGTATTCTGTGCTTCAGGATTCTGTGAATTCTTAGGGAGTCAGGTGATTGCCCATAAATCTGAAGGTCACTCTGAAGCCTAATTTAACACCCCCTACTTTCTTCAGGCACTGGGACAGGTTCTCTAGAAGTGCTTATTAACTTTTAAAAAGAGAAAATATTTTCTTTTTGAGGAAGATTAGCCCAGTTGAGGACACAGCATATTTAATGTCGACATTTTATCACACTAACGTTAAAAAGTGCTCTTCTATTACATGTGAACCTGAGGACACAGGTTCCCTAAGTGGCTGAGCATTTCTAGCTCCTTGCCAAAACCCCACATTCATTCACAGCCCAAATGTCCTTCTCAGCTTAGCATTACCCACTGTGAGACTCCTCAGTGTCCTGACTGGGCTCACTAAACCAGAAGGAAACTATTCCATGCTGGTTTTCCATCCTTCCTGCTGGATTTGTTTTCCATTGGCTTAGTGAAACAGGGAAGATCAAGAAAATGTGAGATGAGCAGTAGAGGACAAGAGGAAGGAGAGACCAGTGGCTTTTGGATCTTCTTGGTTTCTGTGGAACCTCATATTACCATGTGACTTCTGACATTCAAGGGTTGTGTATTTTCATTTTGTTATTTTTTTTTTCTTTCTTTCTTTAACAGCAGTGACTTTTACTCTCTGAGAGGTAGGGTGTTGTTAACTGAGAAACTAATATCTCTTTCACACACCTATAGGTGTGTTTCTACGAAACATCATTCTAGATCCCAAGATTTTTCATACTAAGGGACTGCTGGGCTATTATTCCTCTTAGGAAAGAGTCCTACATAGATTTTTGGACACAAGCTAAAATTAGTCTTTTCTTAAAAAGGAGAATTATTAGCCCTGTGTGTGAGTTAACATATTGGGGAGGAGCAGAGGAGAATTGAGAGCGAAGTCTTTTATACCTTTAAATGCATAGCTGTAAGTAACTGTAATAGTTGTAATAAACTGTGTCTCCTGCAACTCATTCCTTCTCATGACGTTTGCTGCATCTAACTGTGATGTGAACATTGCATCATGAAATTGTGTGTGCTTTCAGCAAGGAATGTAGATAACAGATCATGCTTCAAAATTCATCCTAATGTTTTCAATTTGGAGAACAGCATGTCCACGCAGAGAGTCTTCAAATGTGACTGTTGAAATTCACTGCTCATCTTTCCGCCCATCGTCTCTCATTGGCTGCTGGCTGGTCAGTGCTTTAAGCTCAGCTGTTATGTCCTGCTTATGATATTCAACCCCAACTTGAGTAAATTCCAGAGGAAACTCCTGCCCTGCAATTAGCCCTATTTCTCTGGGTGTGTAACTCACAATGTGTTTGCTTTCTTGTTTTGCAGTTCAGTCCTTCACCTTCACCCCTGCAGGTACTGTCCATTAGTCTGTCTCTTACCTCACCAGCACATCACTGCAAACATTAGCTAAGTGTTTATGAACATGTGAGATACGTAGAATCAAAACCAAATACAGGGAGAAATACTCTGGCTGCCTACCTGTGATAAAAATGTAGTATTTATTTCCCTAGTGATCCAAGGGGAACATAATAAAGTCTGCCACCATTAATGTCTCTGTCATTGTAATTCTGCATACTTACTCATCTAACTCTTTGAAATAATGCAGTTTTGAAAGTAATTTGCAGGACAAGATGCTTGAACTGGCTTAACATAAACAAGCGTTAGTCATATATAACTGAATTTTGATTTTTAAAGCTAAAATATCTTGAACATTTTTGCAGTGGAGAAATGGCACTTTCTTCCACTTTAGCTCTTAGTTATGCATATGTTTGCTTTATTGTGAGGTGTTCAGATCTTCAAGCAACCTAGTGATTAACAGATTCACTCATTTCCTTTACAGGGTTTCTGGAATTAAAGCATTTTCTTTTTTTCTGACTACCCAGTTCAAAGCTGGTATCCTATTTTTCATATCTTTAAAAAGATAGCATACGGTAGACTATTATCATAAACATGATTAAAGATATATGAAGGATAAACCAAGTGTGGCTGAAACAGCAGGTTGCAAACAGCTTTTTCAACATATGGATAGCCAGAAAAAATAGACTACAGAATTAATAGTAATAATGGATACAAATAAATAGCTTCTGCTCTCGTACTTAATCCGACATTTAAAAACTTTAAAGTAATTGTACCTCAGTGTTACAGTGTAAAAGACTGATAAATCTCATCATTTTCCAGCAGAAGTCTGTAAAGTTTTCTGTGTGTAGTTTGGCCACTCAGTTTCATTTACCAAAGCTGTCTCCTCTTCTGTCCTCTCTGCCATCCACGTTACAGAGTCCAGTCTTCCTACTGCACTGCTGAACCAGTCCTCATGCTCAGGTAGCTGCTTTCTCACTCTTACTTGTCTTCAGCCACAGCTTTTGTGTTTACCTTAAGCAGGAAAGGGCAAATGACTGTCAGGACATCTGAGTGAAGGTGGTGGTGTCTGCCCCAAGGGCCTGTGACACTGTGAGGGAGAAATGTCCTTGTGGAAAAGCTCTGGGGGCTCAGGATTGCTCCTCTAGCTCCCAGGCAGGTTTGGCCGAGCTGGTGCAAGTAGAGGCACAACACTTCCTAACCTAAATGCTTTACTGGCTTTTCTTTGAGAGACAACGTAGGATTTTTTCCCCAAATTCAATAGTTCATCTTTGCATTTGGTTCCTCTAACTATACCACTGTCAGCTGTCTTTAACTTTAAACACAACTTTCCACTGTGTTTGTAGCATACACTGGCATGCGTGTTGTGCTGTAGCCACAGTGGCTGTGCATGATTTAGTGCTCGTGATCCACATGTGCTGGGCAACCAGGATATATCAGAGGCACTGCCAAAAGTGTACTTTTTTTAAAAGTAGTTTTGACATCTTGTGGACTTCATAGAACTAAAACATCCCACAGTTCTGTTTCCTGGCCTATCATCGTTTCTGGAGGCACTGAGAACCTAAGTCATCCAGCAGTCAAGTCCAAAAAAGCAACCACTAATTTAAAAAAAAGTCTTCCTTAAGACAGAACATGGTCCCTAATTTTTATCTTTATATTCAGAGTTCCATAAGAAACTTTGTTAATTCTCTAGTATTTAATTTGCCATTGGTATAATATAATTTAGATGAACATATCTGTGCTTGTGGGGATTAGTCACTCACAACTGTGTGTTGTTCCCTTCAAAGTTATGATTCATAAATGGTTTGGGTTTAGATATAATTATTTAGAGAGAGGTATGTAGCTTTCAGGATCTCATCAGAGACAGCTGTCAATGAAGTTTTGCTAAAGATGAATTTATCCTAATATACTCAAATTTTAGAAGGTGTTCAGCTTTTGTTCAGACATCTGCTTTAAATCCTTCAGAGAGTTGCAGAACGTGCACATTTGATTGTATGATAAAGTGAATTGAATCTTTTAGTGGAACATTCAAATACTTTATTTCACACACAAAACAAAACCCCTATTTCTGATGTGAATACTTTTTGGTTTGTTTTTCTTCGGCTGCATTTGCCTATGTGTAGAGCTTAGAACACTGAAAATAGTTGTTTAAATGTCTGGATCCTGCAGTTTTATAATTACTTGCTAAAAATGTTCTTTTGGGTAATTTTCGGATTATGGGTCATTCACTAGGATCATGTGTTATTTGTATTCTGTTAAGAGGAGAATAAGATGTATAATTTCTGCTGTGAGACTAAACTACTGTAACACCTCGTGTAGGGGAAGAGCGAACAGCAAATGTCAGGCAATTGGTAATGATTTGTTTCAGAGAAGAATAACTGAGTTAAACTCATTAAGTTCTCTGTCTTTGTGAACACTTTCATAAGCACTGAGAGATTGCTCAGATGGTCGCAGGTAAAGTGACATTGAAAATCATAGCTAATTTTTTTTGATTACTTTCAGTTGAACTGACTCCAGTAGTTGCTGAGCCACAATTCCTTACATCACTATTCTTCCACTTCCCTTCCCCCATCATGAATCAGCAGGCATTGATTCTCAGTAATATCAGTCCTACAAGACATGTGATTAGCTAATATGTTTGTTAGATTACAATTGATAAGTAGTAGTGTCGTCATCCGCAGCTGTACCAGAACTATACATTGTTGTGACCATGTAAACCCCAAATCTGGCATAGAAACAGTAAATACAAGTGTTACTCCTTTTCAGCCATCACTTCTGTAATGAAAAGATAGATACTTTTGTGAGTTTCTGTGTAAGCTAAAGTGCTGCTGGTCTGGGGTTTTTATAGTACTTTTCTGGTTACACTTTACTTGGACAACTGCCTGGATATAAACATCCACGATGGGCTTCCACATGATACAAAGATAGATGGCACAAACCAGATATCTGAACGCTTCTTGTATAACAGATGAATTATTTCAATGCTGTATTACAGTGAAAAAACAGAATTTATTTATTTATCTCCTTATCTTTCCTGTGCCCTCAGACTTGTGCCAGTACCACCTCACTTGAATACTCAGGTGTTTTCAAGTGTCTAGGCCATCAGCCATGCAAAAAAAAAAAAAGTAAATATGTATTTTCACTTACGAGTAGATAAGCTTATTTAGTGACTAGTGCTCCTTGGGATTAAAGATTTCACAGAGCTGAATAAACAAAACCCAAATTAAAAATAGATAGAGAATCATGAAATGCTACGCATTTTATGTGCAGCTCCTGAAACTGTTAAATGTTAAATGTGGATAAACTGTATGACAGAATCATCCAAAGGTAGACAGAAGATTTGATGGAATTTTTATGTGCTGATTATCTGTTCTGAGTTAATGCTTATTAAAAGAGGATTAATCTACATTCATATTTGAGAAACAGCTTATCAGAAAAAGGAATGAGACTTGGCTGGCAACATTAAAGTTTTCATTTGCAGTAGGAAAATGTGGCCTACTAGAGATAGGCATACAGAAAGCTTTCTAAAGCTTTCTAAAGCTTTCTTGCCTCAGAATGTCAACTTACTATACATTCATATTTTTCCAGTTCTAGCAGGCATGAAGATTAAGTTTAACCTTGTCAGATTATATTAGTAAATGGTTTTGGTACCTCCTTATATATTTAATAAAAAGCATCTGAAAAGCTCCTTAACATATGCTGTTTTTCATACAAATATATACAATATAATTTCCTGAAATATTTATGCATTTAAAATGCTCTTTGGATTATATTTCTGCATTTTTACAGTCCTTGAAGTATAAGCTGGTGGGGATTCCTTCAAAATCTCTCTATGCAGAGGTTATTTTTTCATCTCCTTTTGAAAACCAATCTCACCCCTGCAGGTCTTCAGCCTTTCTAAGAACATATACCAGATGCAAAGACTGCTGAAAGAGCTGTTTTGCTTCCTTGGTGATAAAAAGCAAGGGAGATGGGTGGGTCAGTGATAGGGACATCCTTCCCTTCCTCCTCTTACACTGCCCCTTGAAATTGCTCTGCTGCTTTTTGAAGTGGAGGCAGGATGAATAAAGCCAGCTGTCTGTGTGTTTTATTTTTACAGTGACATCTACAAGCCCGCACTGCATTAAGTCTGCTTCTATTCAGGCGTTTAGACTTGTTTTGTAATTGCAGAAATCAAACTGCAGGCAAAAATGCTGACAAAATGTATGGCAGGAATGATAAACATAGTGCTTGTGTTGGCAGCCTGACCATATCTTCTGTTGTTAGCTGTCTTGCCTTTCACAACATTGATGCTGAAAAAAAAGCACCTTCTCTATCCAGCCTCAGGTAGCCATTCATGGATGGCATCAGGAACAGGTTTTGCTGTGTTTTTTTTTTTGCTGTAGCATCCTGGTGAAGTGTCCACACTTTAAGAGGAATTTTGGCATGCTTAATTAATATGCCAGAACCTCTTCCACCAAGCAGAGTAAATAACTCAAATACTGTCTTGTTTGTTTTCTCACTGCATACACTGGTGTGCAGGGTGGAGGGTAAACGAAAGAACCTGTGTTCCTTCCCAGTTCCATACACATCACATAAGTGCAGTCTTCCCCAGGAAAAACGTCACTGCAAGAAAAGGTCTTTTTTTTTTTTTTTTTTAATATAAACTAAGCTGAAACTTTCTTCTAAAAAGAGTGCTTATATTGGGAGGGTGTAAGATTAATGTAGGCAAAAAACCCAAAACAAAACAAGAAATAGTTCCTACCACGAGGATACACAGGTAGAGGAAAAAGGAGCAAATGCTGTGATGATACCTGTCTGTTCTCAACAATCTCATATGTCACAGCCAACCTGCAGCAACTGTGGCTCTAGCAAAGAGGTTTCGGTGTCATTTCTTCCCAGTATGTTTCTCACAGTTTGCCTTGGAGTTTTCCCATCCCTGACTACCCAGAAAATAAACTGTGTCAGGCAAACATTGCTGCAATCTCCTACTAGCCCCTCCATTTTAGCTTTGCACTATAAAGCTACACAAGGGATATAACCATTTTGAAGAGCACAAATGCTGTTGGGATTTTTTTTTGTTCTCATGTGACATGCAAAGTTAAAATCTCACACACCTGTATGTGCTATACGAGTGGTGATAAAATAGCTTCAAAATTATTTCTGGGAGATGATAGTCTAAAAAAGAGCATTAATCCTAAGCATTTTTTAGGAAATATGTTTTAGTGGAATTCCCTTAAATCTGTAATCTTTATTATTATGTGTTGTTACCCAATTAGCCTTTCGTTCTCATTTGCCTTATATCTTGTCATTTTGACAAATGCAGAAAGTTGGAGAAATCAAGTACTAAATTTGAAGAGGAGGAGGAGAAACAAAGCAACATCTGATGTACTTTTGAACAAGATACTTTGAAACAGCCAGGCAGTGCCCGCATTTTTGCATATTCATGGTAGTCACAGCACTTCAGATTATTTACTTTTAAGCAACGAGTGATACAGTCATTTGACAGCTTGTTAGAGAAAGCAGTGTTGGATCTAAAATGAATTACCTGCAGTGTTTTACCATGTCTTGTTTTTCAATAGCAGACTTTTATTTAATACTTTCCATACTTGCATTTTGATTTTCTTTCCATTAATTGGTTTGATTACATCCGTTCAAAATTCAGCTATTAACCATTTTGATGTGACATATGACTGCAGTGATTTTCTGATATTGATATTAGTCTGCTCTGCAGTGAAGGATAATTAATCACCCTACCCAAGCACTCTTCCAGCAGAGCTTCCAGAGGGGTCAGTTTTGTCCCCTTTGCTGAATGTAGACTGTGAAATTATCCTAGGAGCTAATAAAGTGAAAAGGATTCTATAAGGTATCAGAAGTATTTTCCCAGTGGATTCATGCCATTGCTAATTCTTTTAATGATCACAGAATTTCTATTGGGTGTAGTAATTTTGTCTAATTAGAATAGTGTATAATAGCCTAATTCTGAATTAGTGCAGTTTGGACCAATACTTGGAAAATCTTGCAAATATTCTGGGAGCTATAATGTAATGATGGGAATGTATGTTTTACAAAGGTAAACAGTATTTCCAAACCAAGGCCTATGTTAAAATAATCTGACCACAGACTTTTCCATTCCTCTCTGAAATTCAAACCCTCATCTTGTCAGAGACCCGTAAGGATGCAACTGTCCAGGACACTGATATAATTTAATAGTCTGCCTTATCTATGCTTGACAATAAATAATGGGATATTGCCACTGAGGACCAGAGTAGTCTATTGGCCTTGGTTCAGAATATTTGCCAGTGCTTCAAAAAGGAGCATCCAATATTGTCAATTAGCACCTCACCAGTAATGTGGGTTTACCTATATTGCCCTGAAATGTAATCCTGTTAATAAGATAGATAAGGGAGAGGCTGGTTTTTGTCAAACACCCGTGAATGGAGACATAGAAACAATTGCCTCCCTCTGATTATGTCCTTGGCATCCCCCATGGGTGGAAGACTGGAAACACTTTTTCTTCCCAGTGACACTGGCATGTATGCATTTATGTGTGGCTGCTAGTTCCTAAACTGTCCTTCTGATGGAAATGGTGCAGCTGTATGATTTTTTCCATCCCTTCAGCTGTAATAGAGCTGCCACCTCTTTCCCAGGACTGTTTGTCCTGGGAAATGGCATATTTGTGTGGTGACATTATATGACTGCATTAGGACATGATGTTATTAACTCACTGGTGCAATGTCATTATGTACTGAGGCAAAAGCATGCCAAGAAACAATTCCATCACATGGCTCAGTCTTGCAAGGCAAAGTCATATGAAGGGGCCCGTGGTAAATCCAGGCCTTTTGCCCAGATGGCTGGTTTGCCTTGCAAGCTACAGAGCAAGTTGGTGTCAGTCAGTAGCGTGCAGTGAAATCCTAAACAAACTGTAACCCTGATGTGCCTGATCCTGTTCCTATAATTTCTGTGCTTTATTATGTGATGATGCCAAGAAGCCTCCTATCTTGGACGCTGAGTGGTTTGAATTGTTACTTTTAATTATCACTAATTGATTTTTCCCTGTCTTATATGTGTGTGCTTGTGTGTGTGTATGTTTGTTTGTTTTGTTTTCTCCCAACCAAAACACAGTCACTTTCCAAAGAGGAGATGGAGGACTAATGAGCAATGGAAGGTATGTTTCTTTGTATAAAGGTCTTTCCATTGTATTTATTTTTAAAAGTAGGGATCTGAACCATGCTGTAGGTGATGCACTCGGGTCATTACAGATTATTGGGAAGACTGGCAACATCAGAGGAGTTAAGTAGCTTACCGCAGGGTTTAATGACCTATCTGTTGTGCACTTTGTAGGAATCAAGCCCAGATGTTTCATATCTCCCAGATGCCCTGGAAGAAATGAGTAATAAATATCACAAAGAATGTGTTCATTTGTTACCAGGATGTTTATTGCATTAATTAGACATTAGCAAATGAAGTTGCTGTTGTTTAAGACTCCTTATTGGCTCCCCCTAAATTGCTGTGAGTGAACAATTACACTTAATCGATCATGAAATAAATGATTCATGGATGATGAATAGGCTGTAGATTGATAGGACTGGATTCCACAACTTTGGCTACTCAATTGAAATTGATAAAAGCTGATAACAGGCCCATATATCCTCATCTATTTTCCCTTTGCCAATATGGAGATTGTAATTAGGCCCTGGTAATAACTTCCAATCTCCTGTTTAATCAATATTTTAGCAAAAAGAGATTAGGCCTAATGAGAGCCAGTAGATGTGGCGAGAACGTGGCTGGGCCTTCTTATTGTCGTTTCCATGGAAACTGATGTTTCTCTTAGGGATTGTTCCAGGCAGGGGTCTATAATGTACAATGATCGGAGATGTTGCTCCAACTTCATGAGTGCTTTAATAACCTAGAAAAGCTGCAGAACTGTGGATGGCTTTTTGTTTTCATTTGGGGAAAGGGGGGAGGGGGGTGTCTGCAGGAAATTGTTTGTTTTCCCTGTGAAATACAAATACAAACAATCCACCTGCCTTGCTAAATTTCTGTTTATCCTGGGGTGAGAGAGATACAGCACCTCATGGTCTGAGGGTGCCTTCTCTTTCACCACGCTCGCTGTTTAATACTGCTCTCAAAGCTGGGAATTACAGGGATATAAAAGCCGTGCAGTAGTGGCAGATAGAGATAGCTGTGGACTTTCCATTAATTCTACTCAAACCTGTTTGCCTCTAAACCATCCAAGAGTGCTCAAAGAAAGAGTTACCAGCCTATAGATGACAGGCGGGCATTTGGGATGCAAGGGAAGGAAGAAATAGTAGCCCAAAGTCCTGGAAATGGCTGATATGGAGCAATCAGTTTGAGTGATGGCTCCCTTGAGGTGGTAATTTATCATGCAGCCGTGTTGTAGGATCCCGTGATGGTGCTGCCTAACTCCTGTTTCACACAGACAACGGAGTTCATTTGGATTCTGGCAGAGTCACGACGGAGGCCTCGTCCCACTTCTACTGACAAAGTTGATTTGTATATAACCTTAATTAACTGCTCAAGGTCTTTAAATCATGCAAGGCTACACAGTTTTAAATTGAAATAAATTAAAGTCCTCTAAATTGTTAGTTACCTGTGGAGTTAGGAGAACAGTGATATGACTTGTTTGATCACTAGTTGTCTCAGAGATGTTGTAATTTTAAATATATTTGTATATATTTGTATGTATATCTCTTTTTTCTTATTCTGCTTCAGTCGACCAGGTCTGTTGAATGCAAGTGACCCCAGTTATCCTTGGCTTGCAGACTCCTGGCCTGCCACAAGTCTGCCAGTAAACAACAGCACTAGTGGACCCAATGATCTTGGCAATTTTGGTCGTGGAGGTAGGTTCCCTTTTATTAAGTCACCAATATAGCATGCAGTAGGCTCCCATTAGTTACCATTTATGATAAATACTGTGTAATATTTTTATCATTATAGATCTATGTGTGATTCTAGATTTGACTGAAAATGTACTTCAAATTGGTAGTTTTGCTTTGTTGCTTTTTACTTCTTTTAAAAGCTAGGTCTGGTTTATAATTTACCCCACAGTGGTGAGACAGGGTCTGCTTATGATCTAAAGAGGAATGTGTTTGTTACTCAAGCTCATTCCCCTTTGTGTGGAGATAAGCAATCTGTTGGGCAGGGCAATATAGCCAGGGATAAAATATATCCATAAAGGCAGAGGAAAACCTGGGGGATGCAGGAAGGATGTTCCTTCAGCAGAACAGAAGAACGTTGTTGCTGTCACCTTACCCATCCTCTTCCTACTGAGGGCCTGCTCTCAGTCTCAAGCATAATCCATGAAGAAGGGCTCAAAGGTCTCCACTCTTCACCAATTTGCCTTCTCTTTGGAGGAAAAAATATAGAAAAGGGAACTATTTAGGTTTTTTTAGGGGTTTGCTTCCATTTTGAATTGAGGGAGGACTTTTGGGGAGATGAGGTGATGATTTATTAATGGCCAGTCTTCGCGAACAAAGAACCGGGGAAGGTCTTTACACCTTCCAGCCTGCGCATTGGATTTTTTAGGTAAGACACAGTGTGCGCGGAACTGAGCCCACCCTTTAATCCTGAGGTTCATCTGCCGGGGCCAAGCACGCTTGGACGGTGGCAGCAAGGTCCTCAGGACGTAGATGGATTGCCTTACAGGGCTAACGAGCTCCATCTGCCCGGGGAGGGGCCCTGACCGGGAATCGAACCCGGGCCTCGGCGGTGACAGCGCCGTGTCCTTAACCACTAGACCACCAGGGGCTCCCTGATGATTCATTATTATGATGGGGAATCTTTAGAGGGGTTGTTTTCTTTCAAACATTTTACTCAAATGGGAATTTTGAGAATGAGAATTTTAAAAGTCACGGTAGTATTCACATCTCCCAGTTAGCCCCTTGGTTTCTGTGATAACAGAGCTAGTTCTGCATGGTGGTGTTCAGAACAAGACTTCCTAATGTAAATGAGCATATAAATATCTTTAAGACATGAATAGGTTAACAAAAATCAAGACAACTTTATATATCAAAAATGCATTAAAATGTAAAAAAAAAAAAAATACATAAACCCATCAAATTGATAAATGTGAAAAGAACTCCGTTTTGAACTGTACCAGAACCTGTTTCTGAAAATCATCCCTCATGTCAGTTATACATTCCCATGCAAAATCTCTTGCCTGTGGTTTGACTACTGTGACTTCAAATTACAGCAAAACACACCAGATTTATATTCCATATAAAAATGTTGTAAAGCTCTTGTCATACAAAGCTATTTAAAAGTAAGCAAAACTTTTGATAATATTTAGAAGGCAACTGAATATCTGCCAGGTTCTTTGTTGCAAATATCTTGAAAATAAAACCCTTCAGTACTTTTCCATCTTTTCTTAAGCTCACATAATACAGAAAAATTACCATTTTCTTTTAGCATTTGGCTCTACATGACAGAAATTGGAAGCATGTTTTTAAGTTTTTGGCCTCAGTGTGGATGAGGCATAGGTCCAAATTTGTGCAAGAGATAAAACAGTTGCATTTTGAAATTCAGCAGCTTAATTTCACCCGTGATCTTCACAGTTGAGCTCACAATTTTATTCTGGCTGGTTTGGGACCTCTTATCCCTATCTGTTTCAGTAGTTGAGATTGGATGCTTCTGCATTAAGGATGGACTAAAAAGTCAGATGTCTTTCAACATGTATAGATAGAACATTAAAGTTATAGATAGAACATTAAAATTATAGATAGAACTCGCACTGGTAAAAAGATCTATGATAATATAAAAGGTCTGTATGCATTTTAAAAACAGTAAGGTGGCACTGAATCCATCACTGGCAAGTCAGAAGCTGAGGCAAACAGTTTTAACATTGCCCTGAAGAGTGAGATCCATGCTGTGTCCCAGACAGACACGTGAGAGCAAGGCTGTGAGTGGCAAGCACAGGTTAGAGCTGGAGTCATGTCAGGCCACAGAATGGCACTGCATCTCCTGAGGCAGCAACAAAGAGCTTCCCTCCAGAAGTACTTCGGTGCTATTTCATTCATCTCAGGAATTACAAAACAAGTTGGATTCTGGAGAGTTTTGGGGAAAGCATCCAGTGGGAAATGCGTGTTCGTCTTTGGTCTGAAATGTACAGTGTGGGGTTTTCCGCTGTGACAACTTGGTGGGAAAATCACACTTGACTTTTACTGGGTGATTGTGGCACTTTGTAAAATGGCAATTTAATAGCTCTTTGAGTGCTTAATGCATACATCTCATCGAGGTCAAAAAACTAATCCGTGGTGGTACTGAAAATTCCCAGAATGTCTGGAGAACCTCAGCTTTTTTGTAAGAATGACTGAAAGTTCTTGGCTGGTGGAGAGCTATGCAACTTTCCTTTCAAGTGTGTGCTATGTGTAGTTCTCCATTTTAAAATGACTGTAATAGAGATGATACCTCTTCAGTTGCCAGAAATGTGCTCTAAAAGACAGATGTATGTCTGAGTACTTGAGAGATGAGCATTTTGATCGTTTTTACTTCCCTGAGTCTGCAAATCCAACACAGACAGGTTGAGCTGGATTTGCTTCACTTTATACATCAACAACAGAATTTATTTACCAAACTTCAAGCCATTATAGTTTGACGAAACCAATTGTGGAAAGGAAAAATCTTCATACTGTGGATGAAATGAAAGAAAGATGGGACTGCATTTGTCTCTCACATCTCATACTGTATTTGGACATGGATGCTTTTCTGTTTGTGTACAGCCCCTAGAAAGCACATTGCATGTGTGCAGATAGATAGTAATAAACCTGATTTTGAAATATGAGCTGTAGTTTGCACTAATTGTAATTTTTTTGCACTTAAAATTTGTCTGCAGTTATAAGTTAATACAATTAAGATCTTTTAAATACTTGATTGTGTCCATTTCCCTGTTGTCTGCAAAAGCAGATCATGCTGATAGACACAAATTTAATCTCTGTTTCTGCAGTGTCTCTGCTGAGCACTTGTTATTGCTGTATTTATTGTTAGTATTATGTTGTTGCCCTGAGACTGAAGATGTTATTAGGGTCCATATAAAAATGTTCATTGTTGCACACATAAATGTAATAGAAAATAGTTTGTGATCCAAATGTTCATCCTAGGGAAAAAAAAAAACAAAAACAAAAACAAAACAAACCACAACAGAACAAACCAAGACAATGGGAGGAGACAATGCTGTCACAGCTCATTGCTGGATAAGTCTTTGAGACTGTGAGAGAACAGTACTCCTTGAGCTTTCACAAAACCCCATCTGAGTCTGAAACTGAGCCTAAACCCTCGTGTAGGTGCAAGAATCATCTTTTCTTTCTGGGGTTCAAGGTGTATACAAATTGGCTGTGATCCCTAGAATGGGACCTGAACCTCCTCACTATAGGAGTGTGAATTATCTCAAGTGTGATCTAACAGTTGGAATCCATATCTGCCATCTGGCTGTAGAAAGAAACTGGAATATAAATGATGATTTTTAAGTTTTGTTTTTAACAAGTACATTCCAGAACTGATTCAACTTTTCAGAGACTAAATAAATGGTAAAAATAGTACTGTTTGATATATTGACCTCTGAGAGAGAGAAGGAAGAGGATTATCTGCTGAGCTGTGGTTCTCCTTGGAACATCATGCCAGTCATCATTAGATTCTTCACACATCAGTAGTCTCAGTTTCTAGATACAGTATTCCACCAGCAAAGGTCACTTCACTGTTTAGTAAGGAGAGAGATTGCCAATCTATCTGATTAAACTGCACTGTGTGATGATTCAAAAAATGTAAAAAAAGTCAACAGATTTTTAGTTAAATGTGTTGTACTGTTTTTCAGGTAAATGTACTGGAGTATTTGAACAAGTTGTTCTCCATTATCAACACTGCTTTGCCATTTCAGGGACTGATCACTTAAATCCCTTCAGAATAACAGATTTTCTTTCACATATCAGGAACAACTTGGTCTTGTCATGTTTTTCTTTGTGGAAAAGGAGAAATGTACTAGCTAATGTCAAAAAGAGAATTAGATAAGCTGATGCACAAAACTTCAAGGAAATCAAGGTGATGCCCTTAAAAAATTACTTTCAGAGCTTTGGCATCCATGCAAGAGTTTTTCTACACATTTTCTCAGAAAGTTCCCTCCGTGATTTGTAAATTCTCTCCTTTCATCATTTCCCTGAAGCCCAGACAGTTTCATTGGTTCTGACATAGAGTGAACAATTGAAAACATTCTTTAGGAGAGAAATATTCCAAACTTCGCTTTCAAGCTGAAGGTATGGAGGGGAAAAAAAACAAAAAACGATGGTTTTAGGCAGTGAGACGTGAAGGACAAGTGGTAGGCCTGTCACAGATGCTGATAGCTTGGCGATGGTTGTACATCATCTTCCCTTCGTTGGCTCGTGGACCTGTCTCAGCTGAAATGCAAACGTGCAAAATGACACATTTATTTCTCATCTTAAACCTTGATACTTTCAGGCTTCCTGTGCATCAATGATTTGTTTCATTCTCCTGTGTTCACCACAGATGTGCTGCCACCAGTGCCAGGGCAAGGAGATAAAACCGCTACTATGCTTTCTGATGGAGCCATTTACAGCAGCATCGACTTCACCACGAAAACTAGTTACAACAGTTCCAGCCAAATAACGCAAGCCACACCATATGCCACCACCCAGATACTGCATTCCAACAGCATCCATGAGTTGGCTGTCGATTTACCTGATCCTCAGTGGAAAAGCTCAATTCAGCAAAAGAATGACCTGATGGGATTTGGTTACTCTCTCCCAGACCAAGGCAAAGGCAACAATGGTAATTACAGCTCTTATTTTCCAGAGACCTTGGCTTTGTACTGTATCATCTGTGCATGAATTAGAAAATTCTTTTTAGTTATGTGAGACGCTGTTCATGTTTACCTTAACTAATGCTAACATGCCTGCTGAATGTCATACAATCACGAAGTACATCGTCCTGTGCTTTTATTCCTCCTTGTCCTGTGCTAATCACCAAGCCATCTGCCTTCCATTAGGCTAGGGTAGGTGTACCTTTGAAAATAGGTCAGTTAAAACTGCCACCCCACCACATCTGCTGTTGACTTGCTAACTGCATGTGTCGCATGTGCTTGTGCTGTCGACTAATCCCACGATGCCACTGTGACCTTTGCCGTTTAACCCTTAGCCTTGCTTTACATCCCTGACTACCGGGTGGCTGAGGGACTGGCTAATAGATTGCCACACAACCAGTCACAGGATTTCAGCACCACCAGCTCCCACAACAGCTCCGAAAGGAGTGGCAGCCTCTCAGGTTGGTTCCACCGCCGTGGGCAGGGGAGTGAGGGACGGAGGGGTGTTGGCGAGCGGCTCGCCACGGAGATTCCTCCCAGCTGGGGCTTGTCGGCACAATTGCCAGCCTTGCCTTGTCACATCCTTTCCCTGACAGCACAGTTCGTGGAACAAATGTGTTTCTGCATCCATCCTCAGTTTATAGGTCGCACTACGTGGAACATCATGAGGAGAGTAATATTTATATTGAATGGTTAAGAGATCCCCCACTCTCATGAGCTGTTTCTAGATGCTGTTCTTCAGCGAAGCAGCTTAGAAATAATTGTAGGGCCCTGAACAATGACTGGGGTTTCAACAAATTGTGCCAAGCTTGCATACAAACAGGATGTAAATTTTGTGTGTGCTGCATGTTCTATTAGAAACATGATGCATTTTCATCAGATGAAAATGATTGTGGTACATGTGGTTGTGTATTATATTTGAACACACCTTTTTCTTGATTTCTTTAATTTGCTTACTTGTTGCTTATGTTATGTATAACTGTCTTTTTTTTATTTATTTAAAAACAAAAACTGAAAAGGCAGTAATTAAAAAGAAAACCTCTGAATTCACTTAACTGAAATATGAGAGAGCTGAAGGGACTTAACCTTGATATTCATTCCATATCCATAGCCTTTTGAATTTCCACTACAGGCTGGAGCAATCGTAACACTAACAAACCAAACCTAGAAATTACTTCTTTATGTCAATTTAAATGACTATTCAAATTGAATCTTGAGATTAGAAGCCTATAATCACTGGCCCATAACTCAAATAGCCAAATGTGTTTGCAAGTCTTGTGTTCTCAAGGGGGAGTATGAGCTGATTTGAGTGAGACTGAAAAATAGGCTTATGGCATTGACAGAGAGGTGTCTGGGAGCGAGGTTCATACAGTGCTGCAAGAAAGGTTCTTGTTCCTTGTATGTGAGATGTATTGGCAAGTAGCTTAGGAAATCAGCTTGCTCCCCAGGCTGCATGCAAATGCAGAAATTGATGTGCTGAGGTACATATGTGGCAGTTATCAGAGGGCAGGATCACACTTTAGATATGTTGACAGCTACGGATGCCTAAGAATTTTCTCAGAAAATATGAAGTTTCATTGGAAAATGCCACTTAATCAAAAGCTGGGTTTTTATCAAATATTTCAAGTGAAACATATTTTGCATAGTGTTTATCAGTTTGAAATAAATCTTCTGAGGACACGAGGAAACTTCAGCTCAGTCTTTCTGCCAGGGCATTTCTGTTGTGACCAAGGCAGCTCAATGCCTGGATGCCCCAATGCTCAGAGGAGTGTCAGATTATTGGACAGCAGAGTCAGCATTTTGCTCTCCCTTGCCCAGTAATTATGCCTTTGATACAGGATAATTATGTCTGTAATACACAAGAAACTGGGGGAGACCTTCAAATAGTCTGATAATTAAAGCATCACTGGAGTCAGAGACCAGCTTTGGTTAAGTAGTCCCCATCAGAGTAAGCAGGGACTTGTTCTCTCACTTCCTTGGTTAGTACTTTAAGTACTACTTATTATTCTGACTAAGTTTCTGTCTCTCTTAAATGAATATCATGAGAAATCCTACCCCACTGTGGAATGGAAAATAGCTAAAAAACTCAAATGCTTTATGAGGCAGGGAAATTTTGTAGCTGTACTTCGCACAGCTCCCAGGTATATCAGTGCTATGATCATCAGCCCAACTGGCAAATTCTTTTTTCAGGACCTGATTCATCTAGAGATTTAAACAATATAATTGAATTTCAGTGTGAGGAGGCATTGAAACATCAAGCATCATTGCTATGGGGAAACAAGGCTCTGGTGCATCAGTTTTCAAACACACATCAGGCATTATGTATTAGGTGTCTGTTCCACTAGTCTGACAGTGGAGTTACTCTGCCTGTGGGGACAGAAGAGAAATCTGCCCAACTATACAGCATAGGCTGCTTTCCCTACCAATAATGACCTTGGAGTTCCCTTCTTTCTTTCCTTAATCTAAATAGTTTCTTATCTCTCTGCTTCACTCTTTCTAACAACTCCATTATCTTTAACCTTTTGCTCTGAAACCCCCCAAATCCAAGTGATTCCGTATTAGCACCCCACACATCCAGCCTCTACTGTACTAGTCTCCCGGCGTTATCAAGATGATACACTTCCAAAATCTTCCTCACCACCTCACTGATCTCTGTAGTTGTTCTCTGCATTTCCCTTCTCTGAGTATTCCTTGTTTAAATCCTCCTGCAACACACACACACTCATGTGCCTTTCTCCTAAAGCAACCCCTCCTGCTTTAACTCTACTTCTGCTGACTTTTCCAAATTTTCCCCACATCCCACAAATTTAAGTTAACCTACTTCCTTTACACTGTTCTGTGACCCTGTTTCTGTATCCACTTTTTGCCTTACCTGTGCTTTGAAAGCTTCATTTTCCCTCCAGAAGGTCCATGTGTTTGTTCCTTTATCTCCACCATCACTGGGGTTTCTTTTCAGCAGTTGAAATGTTCCTTCCCTTTTCAAGAAAGCTTCCCTCTCTGCCAGGCTACAAAAGGAGGGAAGAGCCTGTCTTGTGTCCTAATAGAGGGAATATCGGCTCAGTTTGCACATGGTGAATGACAGGATCTTGGCTGGAATTTACTGTATGTCCCTCCAAGAAAAAGAAGGAAGAGCTCTGATCTGGAATTGAGTACTGGAAAGGAAAGTCTTGTTTGCCATGTGCAGTCAGGCCAATTAGAAGCCTTACTAGCAGGCACAACCGGAGGTAAAAGGAGATGGCTATTTCAGAGTCACAGAATCACCTTTTTCTTCCCTCTCTATTCTTTCCTGTTTTCATCCAGCTGACATTTGGAGGTAACAGAAGAAAGTTGCTGTCCAGCAAAAAATCCCATGACATGTGCTTGTCTCTGTTGCTAGAATTGCACCTCCTTCTGTTTTCCTCTGTGCCTAGATCTAGAGCCATGGGAAAGAGGATGGTGCCTGCCAGTGCACACCTGATGAGTCAGTTGCAGCTTTTTTTGATTCATTGATTCATTTTTACTTTTTTTTTTTTTTTTTAACTGATCCTTATAAATCAACAAGAGACGTCAGTGGGTAGGATGGATTAGACTGTGCTCTCTCAAACAGGAAAGGAATGAGTGATGGCCAGCTGGGTACCCCAGAGAAAAGGCATGTGACAAACCCTTCCTCCCCTCAACAGTCCAAAGAGTCTGAAAGCTGCAACAAAACAGCAAAAAATAGATGGTTCTCCAAGCAGTCAAGGGATTCAAAATGTTGTGTTGTTCTTCCTCTTAGTGAATTCCTAACAAGAAAAAGAAATCTCAGCAAAATAAAAGAAGCAAAGCAAGTGGGATGAGAGCTTTCTCTACAGGATCAGTTTCCCATAAATGGAAGTGTCTCAACTGGAGAAGTGGTTACAAGGACAATAAGAGAAGAGCAAAGGGCTTACACAAAATGAATTGCTCTCTTCATTTTTGCCAGCCTCATCCATTAGAGTTATACCTCTTCTTCATAGTGGCAAAATATATTTGAATCCTGTGAAATTGCACGTGACTTCCTGATCTTTTGAAAAAAACATGTTTATTTTGTTTTGACAAGTTACTCTTGTCATTCTGGCTGAAAGATATTGAGTCTAATGACAATTTTTTTAGATGGTGTCCTTAACCTCTATGTTTTCCACAGGAAGTGATTATGCAAAACTGTGTTATAGTCACACTGGATTCTGACATTTGAAATAATTTGCTATGTTTTATTATATTTTTATCTAGGAGTGAATTCAAGAAGTCATAAAGAACACATGAATAATATCAGGAAATATATTTCTGATACAGAAAGACATGTCTTTCCTCGTTTGTGCACTACTGTGGTGCAAATGTACAGAGTTTTAAAAAGAAGTGATTTTCAGCAAATATTCAGAATATTTTTCCATTCCATTCTATTATTACTTATAACCTTGTGACAGCATTAGCACGTTGGTGCTGATTCTGCTGAGATATAAATACGTCTTCTTTTTTGGGGCATGCCATCTGGAATCAGAATTCTTTCAAAGAAATGTAAATAGCTAGCTTTTTTTCCCCACATTACATCTCTAACATTTTATTTTTCTTTTTGGATTTGCAGGTGGCAAAGGAGGGAAAAAGAAGAAAAACAAAAATACTGCCAAACCCCAGAAAAGTAATGGGTCGAACTGGGCCAGTGTTCCCCTCCCACCCCCTCCTGTGCAGCCACTTCCAGGCACAGAGCTGGAACACTATGGGGTGGATCAGCAAGAAGCAGGGTAATTTTTTTTTTTCTTTTGAAGAAAAACCTGTGATTTGCAGAGATGGGGCCTTTTTTCTTATTATTTTTTAAATTTTGCTAAGTGACAATATTATTCTCTTTCATTTAAAAAAAAAAAGGTAAAATAGCGCCTTATCCTGTAGACTTATTCGAGGCTGTGGAGGAGAAATGTTTGAATAGCTTCTCTGGAGAGTGACTGAAGGTGGAAACAAAAGTGACCTTGCTTTGTCATCATGTAGGGCTTCACTGCTTTCTCATGCTGAGAAGTATCTCACTTCACAGGTAGCTTAATTGAATTCTGTTGGGACTGCATGCAGCTGATGGGACTAGAAGTGAGTAAGGATGACATAATCTGGCTCTTTGTATTTCTTCACTGCTTTGATGTTTAAAAATATTAGAGCCAACAGAACAAAAAAAAAAAAAACAACAAACTCCACCAAATTGGATTATTTTTTGAAGATCAGCCAATGGATAATAATGTTCTCATCAGCTTTTAGAAGAAATTTCACGGTTGAGGAAGGCATGCTAATTATGGGCTTTTTGTTGTTGCCGTTTAAACAACCCTTAAGTTTCTAGAACCTTCCACTTTTTTTTGTATAGCTTAAACTTGTTCTCAAGGACACATAATCACACAAGAAGCACTGGGGGAGAGGAAAGAGACATTTTCTGCTCAGACAACAATTATAGAATGCTTTTTATAACGTGTAATTACATGACATACCAGGTTATCAAACTCTGGAGGAAAATCAGAGTATACAGAAAAATAGTTTACTGTGGTCAGTTCTATTGGAGCCTTTGAGAATAATTGTTCTGTCAGGGACAAATTTCTGCCTGTTTAAATATATGGATCAACCAGTATTTCCTAAGGATGAAACATGTTTTAAAAGAACAATGTAATAGCTTTACTGACTAAAAATATTTCAAGTGTTGTCTCTTTTGTAAGCCTGAAGCATTGATCATTACTAGTTTTATAATGAAAATATTATTTGAGTTTATACCAAGTTCTTTAACTCTTAAATGAATAACAACTGACTGTGTTAGTCAGTGGAATTCTTTTTAAAATTATGACCCGTTCAGACTCTATTTGTGTTAGAATTGCAAAGCAAATATAAGGGAAAATTAATATCCTTACTGATTGTAAGTGTTGTTTAAATCTCAAGGCAAGAAGTGCATATAATCATGGTGTTCTGTATTCTGTTATAAAAGACGAAAATAAATTTTAAATGGTTTTACCAGATAATACTTGTCTTTATCAGTTTACACCCTTAGAACACATTTGCAGCCATTTCACTGAAACAATTATGCTATAGAAGGCAAAAAACTTAGATTGTCTTTCAGAACAGTGACATAGCATAAAAGGTAAATGGAAATACCTTGTAAAAAATTCCTTTGTGACACAGGGCTTGACTCCTCAGTTGCATAGAGTATCTGTAATTTAACTGGAAGGAATGATGTTGGTCACCAAGACAACATTGGTTATTTAAGGATAAGGTAATCACCAGCCTTCCACTTTCACAACAATTCAGACTTAGTTTTTCTTCTGATTATCTTCTGAATTACTCTCCTCTGGTTTTTGCAGTGCCTCATTAACAGTGGTTGTACCTTGACCTTGTAATATGCATTTTACCAACCACACAAAAATCTGAAGATTAGACTTCCAGTATCAGTCTGAAGCTGTAATTTGCAGCCACCTGTGTTGAAGAATGGATCTGCAATGTCCATACTTTCTCAGGATGTATCCAGTACTAATGGTTATTCTGTATTCAGGGGTTGATCTTGTTTCCATGGTTTTCAACATGCTAAAATGGAATGAATCGTGGACTGTGGTCCTTTACGTTGCCTTTAATGTGGACATAGTGGGTAAAAAAACCCCCAAAACAACAACGCATTTTTTAAACTGTTTTGTTTGTCTTGATTTGTTTTGATGTACTCTATCTGTGACAAGTTCAATGTGTTTTAATGTTAGAATTAATTACATGCAGAGTAGATGCTTTTGCTTGATTTTATCTAAACTTGACAGTAAGGAAATGCTCATTATTTAGTCATTATCATCTATTTTGATTTTTCACTGATACTATGCATGTTCTTGAGCCAACTCCAGTAAAAGCAGCCTGCATATTTTTATTCGGCTATTTCTTGCTATTGATTGCACTTTAGAAGGGAATATTAGCTGCTGGATGTCAATATATTTGAGACTTGTTTTCTGTCATTAGAAGAAGTTAAGAAAATATTACCTTTCACATCAAAAAAATCTTTTCTGGTGAGGTCTAGGGAGGGAAGCATCCTTTATTGCAACTGTGTGTGTAATGAAACACAGTTGTTATGGAATGTGCCCATTATCCATCACCTTTATTTTTTATCTTGAAGGAAAAAAAAATCTATCAGTGTAATTAATCAAGTTTTTTAGTAGCAAAAGATTGCTATAGGATAAAAGTGTTGAGAATACTAAATAAAAGTATTATAACAAAAGTTATTAGAAGCATAGAGAGTCATGTTTGTTAACCAGAACTTAATAGAGACTCAATTAATGGAATTACAGCCAGAGATCTCTAACATAGTTAAGGTGCTTAGATTTTAATAAGCATACTTGAAAAAAGTTGCATTTTCAGCACATTGGATTTACTCAGAAAATCAGAAAGGACATGGGTGTGACCAATACAAATCATTTATGTGAGGTAACTACTGTGTAGTTTCTTAAGTTTGCTAGCTTTTTCTTGCAGGCTTTTTTTTTTTTTCCTTCTCTAAATGCAGGTTAGAACCTGTGGCTTTTTGGACATCTTACAATATGAAGGCAAGGGTTCTTGTACCTCAGACCTTGAACCTCAATGTCCTGAGCTTCAGGCTTAGGCTGCTTTCCATTTCAAACAAAATTTGGGTAAAGATACGATACTTGTGCAGAATCTTTTCACTAAGAAGTCTTTTTAGTGAGAAATCTTTTTACTATCAAGCTGAACATTTGGGGATTTGAAGCAAGTAGGGTCAAAAGGCGAGCACTTCCAAAGCTCATTTATTCATCATTGGGAAGTCACTAGGGAGTATCTTTTTGCCCTGTCCCTTTTAAAGAAGACGTTATACCAAAGCATGAGGTTGAGAGAGCAAAAGTAAGTGAGAGAGCTGTTGCACTGTACATTTTTAGCAGCATGAGTTAGGATGGTCCCTTCAGCCTGGGGTGCAAATGTCATGAGTGAGTATTGCTAGGAAAGAGAAATAACAGCTGGCCATATCTTAATTGTCTGCTAAGGATGAATATGTATCATGTAACATTTTCTTAAGTCTCTGTGTTATGAAAATGGTAATGATCAATCACTGAAAAGCTCCTAAATGCCCAGGGTTAAGATCTAGCCTTTGTTTTCACCTCTGTACATGTACATGTCTTTGTGTATCTATATATTGTTATACTGACATACAATTTTAAAGTAATATCAGTGTTAATTACCAAATATGTCTTCCACAGACTTTTGGATGGTTAGGTGAGGTTGCTTAAGCTATCTAGAATCTGTGCTTTTAAATAGAATCTGAATAAGGAAAAGATAGTCCATTTAATTTTAGAAATCTGTGGGTTTTGCTTAAAGTAAATGTTTGTTCATAATACAGGTTTTGAAACTTCTTCATCTCCGTGTTCCCAGCATTGTTATAACCTGGCTTCACACTTGAGAAAATTGGCAGTAATTCATTTTTCTCGGGGAAATTGGCAATTCCTTCCTTCTGAATCAGAAGCCTTAAGGAGTATTCTTAAACTGGTTTGAGAAATTAGCTGTGTAACACAATGCATTGCCTGCCTGCATTGCAGAAAAAAAGGACCTTGTCAGCAGTCCTTGAAGGTGGAAAGAAGATAAAGTGACTTAGTAGATGATGCTTGGGAAATGGCCTTTAGAGTGTGAGATGGTTTGACAGTGAAGGAGCTGTGAGAGCTTTTGGTTGTCTGGTTGCCTTTGGAAAAAAAAAAAAAAATGTCTATCCTGAGTTATTTTGGAATAGACTGAGAGTTAAGAAGAAATGTGTGCCGATGCTCAAGGGAATGCTGACTGACTGGGTGTTTTGAAGATGGGAGTAGTAGACAGTTGAGACTGGCGTGGTGTGATCGTCAGCAGAGCTGTGCACAACTGAAGTTGTATTCAGATTAGGGAGTTACTCTGGGGAGATAATGCACTGGGAATGACCATAGTCACTTAGGCCTATACTCCTTGAGTGATGCTGGTGTCTCTAAGTGACAGGATCCGGAGATGATACTGAAATACATCACTGAATTGAAAGGTCCTGTGATGAGTACAAAGACTGAAAGGGATTGACTTGCTGGTGAAGCTTACATAAGAAGTGATAATAAAATATAAAGCTTCTGTTTCTAGCCATGATCGGATATAGTATCACCCCTTACAGCCTTGGTATAAGGCAAAAATCAAACCACAAACACCTATGAGAATACCCCTAATATATGAAAAGAGAAGAATTTGATGTTCAACAATACTGGTAGTTGTTTTATCTTTTAACTTACTTTGGGCAGATGTGATGAAAGTGTTCAGAAATGCAGCAGTGTCTAGGTGAGTCCCAGTACAGATTGGTTAGGAAGTGGGGTGCTGGCAGATGTACCTTATCAGCTGGTGCTGTGACATAGCATATGCTTAGGGTCAGCACTGCTGTGACATGAATATATTACACATCATAGGAGATACATATTTGCAGTGTGGGAAGACTAGCACTTAGGAGGAAAGTGTAGCTTCAAAATAGAAACAAAGAGTAAATTTATAGACAAAGGGGAGGATGGAATAAGTGCATAAGTGCAACTATATAAGGCTTGCTCTACCTTTTAAGAATGCTGCTGTTTTCACGTCTAGGTCAATCTTCATGCACTCTCCTAGATTAATGATCCTGGAAGCGAGTTAGTTCATTGTTGTTGTTGATTGTGGTGTAACATTATCTAATCACCATTAACAAATGCAATAACGGGTCAGTAATTTTTTTGTTGTGCTTCTTGTTCGAGCTGCTTAGCTGATGTGGGAAAAATTAAACTGACTCAGTAAGGACAATTTAAGCAATTATGACCCTGTTTTCATTAAATGTTAAAAACTTCCACTGAGTGTGAGGGTTATAGCTATAGCAGAAATCCTGTATGCCCTTTACACCCTCGGCTGTGTGGCAGAGATGAGTTTTGATATACACTAAGTTCATTTGGTTTTCATTTTAGATATGACAGTGATGGTTGGTGTCCGCCTTTGCCAGTTCAGACCTACCTACATCAGGGCATGGAGGATGAGCTTGAAGAAGATGATGATCGTGTTCCCACACCTCCTGTCCGAGGAGTAGCTTCATCACCTGCCATCTCCTTTGGGCAACAGTCGACTGCAACCCTCACGCCTTCCCCACGAGAGGAGATGCAGCCAATGCTTCAGGCTCACCTTGATGAATTAACAAGGGCTTACCAGTTTGATATAGCAAAGCAGACATGGTAAATGTTTGAGGGGGCCACTCGTGATCTGGGAAATGCAAGCATAATTTATTCCTCTATGACATAAATATTGGCTGCGTTTAACAACATTTCAATAATATTTCCAAAGAAGTAAAGTGGAAGAAGAAATAGTAAAACTGTGCCTAGAGTGTGAAGGCCTTAAGCGTTAGTGGGTGCTTTTTAAATCATAATGCTTGGTAATAAGTTAAATCTTGTCTAAAAACATGTAAAAACAATATTTCTCTGAAATTTTACATATGCTCAACAAAGTAGTTAGCACCCACCTACTGACAGCTTTTATACAGTCAAGAGTACTCTCTTTCAGGCTAGCAAAAGATATGAATTTTTTAGGATTTTCAAAAATAATGAGATTCTAACTCCTGAAAATCATTAAAAATAATGATAGTTACTTGAAATAGCACTAGAGCAGCTTTTACATGCTGTCACATGAGAATGGAGCATTTGCATCTCTGACCGTAGTTTGAAATACCATGAGAATTTCTGATTCATAGGAAAAACCCAGAAATAGCTGGAAGAAAGTTGTTAGTATTTACCAAATGGATCTGGTGTTTTAGAGTGCTTTATGCCTATTTAAAGGAAGAGCAAGCAAATACCACAGTAACATTTCCCCTGCAAAACAAACAGAAGCAATCTCTTCAGGGACTGAAAAAAGAACTTGTCAAGTGCGCCAGGCTGGGGATACGGTGAAGGTCAGTTGCTTCCTGGATGTTCCCTAAGCAGCAGTTGTCCTTTTACAACTTTTCTACCCAGACAAAGCCTGCGAATCTCAGAGGAGAGGAGCAGAGCTACTTACGGAGTGGCACAGTGCCAGCAGAGGAGCAGCCTTTCTTCGCTGGTAAATAAAGCCACAAAGTTATTCAGCTTGAGCTCCCGTAAATAGAGCAGGCAGGTAGGCAGGCGGTGCCAAATCAAAGCCAGCTGTTTTCCCTGGACACCGTGGAGGCCTCGAGGCTTGTCTGCAATCTGCACTCAATCAACAGGGTACTTTGGTCCCGCTGCAGCGCCTCGCTGCCAAGCACGGACCCCGGCCTGCCTGTGGGACAGCCCAAATCCCAGGCAGCAGCTAGACCTGGCCTATGGAAGGTAGCTGACTTCTGAGCCAGCACACAGATGCACACCCTGTCAGCACAGTCACTCGCTGCTGCATTTTGCAGCTGTTACCCTTTCTATGCCCTACAAACCTGGGGTTCCAGTCCAGGCGCTGATAGTGGAGTAGGACACTGTAGCAAAGCCTTTTGCAGCTGACAAGAAAGGTCTTGCTCCCTCTTTGGAGAAGTGAAAATTGATTGGGAACTTTCATAATGTGCTTAGGAATATACAGATTTTAATGTTGCTCTTGGGTAAGGTCACAGTAATTGAGCCTGAAACTCTAGGGGGGAAAAAAAATCAAGGAGATACCTTTTTTTCATACTGAGACCTTATAGGTATTAGAGCAAGTATTGAGGGTTGCAAATACAAGGGATTTTTATGCAATGGAATTGTTTAATGCTTTTATATTGTTTGACTGGACATGTATCATGCTGCTTAAAGTCAGTAGAAAGTCCTCTGTTGTTTTACCTGGGAAGGGAGATTTCTTAGTTTTCTTTTTACAAAGTTAACCTGTCCAGTGTAGAGAGAGGGGGAGGCAAAGCAGAAAGATGAGACCTGTCAAATAGGTTACCGTGGGAGTAACAACAGAGAAATATAGAGAACAGACAACTAGGAATTTAAGAAAGAGCACATTAGAGATTACTGGAAAAGTACATAATCATTATGGCCTTGATCCAGCAAATCACTTAAGTATATGCTTAACTACAAGTACATGAGAAATTGACTTCAATTGTTCTATCACAAGCTTAACATTAAGCATATACTTAAGCATTTTGCTTGATTGGGAGCTAATCACACTGTTTATTGAGGATTAGTTAGATGGTGGTGCCCTTTAGCACAGTGTTTTGAACACTGCATAGCTAAGAACCTGGTGTCCAGGAAGAAAAGCATTCAAGAACTGCTAATCAGGAGGGGGTTGTATATCAAAAAGGAAGCATTTGCTCTGCAAATAAGGTTCAGAATAAGCTATAAGTTAAACCCTACAAACAGGTGGAAGTTGATTCCAGTGGTGCATAAGATTTACTGTGACATTCTCCTATCTGATAGATTTACATTATGGGAGAGGGGGAGTGGAAGAAAGCTCAATGAATAAAGAAAATTACTGTACTCATTGAGTGTAGGCAATAATACAGCACAAAGTTTTCATTGAAAATATAGTAGAGCTCAGAACCTAACATGTGGCAGCTGTAATTTTTTTCTGTTATACTGATGTCCAAGCAAGAGAGCAGCAGAATCCTGGGTCCCATCCAGAGTGCTGCCGTTTCAAATCAGGCCATGGCACCTCACATACAGTTACCCAAGGATTCCTACGTGCCTAAGTTAGCACTTTTAAGCGTGGTACATGCTCTTATGCCAAGGTCAGTCGTACCTGGGCCCCCTGGCACAGCTTGTGGTATACCTGTTGTGCTGTGGGGAATGCTGCTTTTAAAGCTGATGGTGTTCTCCTCTGTATCCTCTCAGAGACCAGGCAAATGAGACTCCAAATCCCATGCTTGCCTTTGGCCATTTAGCTATCCTGTGGGTGTTTTTTTTATCTTTGTTTTCCTTTTTTTTTATTTGTGACTGCTGCATACAGTAATTTCACACATGCATGCCCTAATACTGCTGCAATTAAATCAATTAAACTACTTGGAATAAAGCGAAATGAAAAGGCCTCACTGATAATGTGTTCACTGGACTTGAAAATTTCTCCTGTCCTGCTGGCCATTTCCTCCTCTTTAGGGTGACTTCTGCTTCAGGGCACTGTGTCTGTTTAGGCGGAAGGAGTGAAATTAAAGTTTGGTTCAGTGTGTGATTTGCAAGGTGGAATATCGTGTGAGATGCTTGTATGCTAGGCTGGGATTCAGGACTGTGCTTTTCCACGGATTTCCTACCTGATTTATGGAGCCTCTGTGTATATCACTCTTCATCTGTAAAAGGACAGTGCTGACCTTCCCCGTCCTAGAGGAGGAGAAGTATATTTAAGACTGGAAAGTGTGCAGGTGCTCTGGTATTAGAAGCTGTGGTGAATAACTGAACTGTCTTTTCTTGAGTTTAACCTAACAAGCACATTTTGTAAATCTACTTCAGGACCTGTTGAAAGGCTTTTATTTTGTTGACTGTGGAGTACAAAGGCTCATCCGTTCTGATAATTTTCCTGTCTGTTTGTTTGTGTAGGCACATCCAAAGCAATACACAACCTCCTCAGGCTCCCGTTCCACCCCTAGGATATGTATCTGGAAACCTTATTTCAGATTTGGAAACAGATGTTCCAGATGAGGATGACGATGAGGATGATATTGAAGAAGAAACTGTAGAAATCAGTAGGCCACTAAGAGGTCTAGAGCATACTCCAGGCTCCAGTATGGACAATCTAGACAGCTCTGTGACAGGTAACCAAACACAGTTAACAGTGACACCAACTTGTTCCTAAACAGCAAAATACATCATCAGTCAAATCCTTTCTAAGTGAAAATTTATTCCACTCTATTTCTGCAACGTTTAAAATGTGTTAATACTAAACACTAAAGTTAAAGAAGGATTTGGGAATAGTTTGCTTTGCTGCAAAATGATAAGAAAATTCATGAATTTTAAAAAGCTTTAAAGACTTGAAAGAAAACTCAATTATATCCTAGCTTTCATGAAAAGTTCATTCTACTGGAGAAGCAAGGCAGTTACATAAAAAGGAGGGGGGAGACCTCAGCTTAGGAATATATATTTCATAAATCAGAAGCAGCATAAAAATGTTATCTTAAAGCACTTTTAGATATTTGGCTGGGAAAATGCTTTCCCAGATGAACACAAGGAAGTTAAAGACTTCAGAGTAAGTGTAGTTAGATCACCACAACATTTATTTCTAGAGTAAATATAACATTTATGTAGGAAAATGCGTATTTTAAACTCACTTTGCGTTGCTGAATTTAGTAATTGTTCCCTTTCAGTAAAGCTATTTAATTATTCTGACCCTCCTTGCCTTACTGCTTCTTGCCCTTTGCATGCCTTGGAAAGCTCCAACATCATCAAAGGGGATCTAGAAAGCTGTTCTAAACTAATGCACAGGGTCTGAATGAGTAAAATGCCTGTTGGAGAAATGCAGTGAAAGACATTTGGTTTTCAAATACACAAAGTCCTTTTTTTAAGCATCAGTGTATTTCCCTTTATGTTGAACTTGGGCCTCTCTATAATATATTGTGTCCATAATGTGCAGGTGTACTAAAGACCCGAATGTCCCAAATGTCCCAGTGTCCAGAGCTCATGGGTGCTGCTTCAGTCTTTGATCTCAGCAGACAAATACTGATTGTTAATTGTACCTTAAGGGAGACTTGTTCAGTACAACTTACTACCCTATTGCCCCTGAATTCCATCTCATTGTTCTGGACCTCTGAAATTCCAAGGATTTTGCGCCCTCATGTAAAAATTGCTGTTCTGAAAACACTGGGCAAACATGACAGTGATGGAGCATCAATACCTATAAATTTTCTTCCTTTTCCCTTGCTGAATGAAACAGTGTGTAGCTTAATCCCACTTTCCTGGTTTTCCTTCACCCTTGGGCCAGACTGCTTACCAATCTAATTAAGATTTAAGAACTGTATCTCTGCTGCTGTGATTTGAAATCCAGATTCAACTGAAGGCCATAGAGTTAAAGTTTAAATCCCTGAATTGAGAAGGTTAACTTATTAGTGCATGAGTATGTTAAGTCACTTTGCTTGAATTTCCAGCGTAATCTCCTTCGGGCTATAATTCTGCATATTTTTGCATATTTCACTAATGGCTTAGAAGTCTTTCCATTAGGAAAGCAGTAAGAATTTTGCAGTGGTAATACAGCAATAAATTTAAAAAATTAGGTTTGTATGTATTTTTCATTTTCATTATATTAATATGCCAATGTTTATGTATCTGTAAATCAGAAAATGATTTCACATTTGCATCTTCACCTGATATTTTGGACCACCCTACCTAGAGCAAATGAGGAATAGCTATATTCCTGCTCCAACTTGTAGACTTTTGTGCTTATTACAATTTAACCTTTTATGAATAACCTTCAAATTTCTTATGATATTTATAAATCTTGTTGGATTATTGGAGTTTTAAAAGTGTAATTATTGGAGTGTTAAAAACTTCCTGCTGTGCTATTTTAGACGAAATTGGGCAGAACCTGATTATGTAGACTGGGAGTGTACTCACGTTGATTTAATGCACTCCCACTCATCACCACCACTATCTTGATGTGGCCTCATCCAGGTGAAAATTAAGGGTTTCCTTTTGCCTTTTCCTTTGCCTGTTTAATTACTAGCTGGATCTGTTCCTTGATCTGGTTCACCGCATGGCAAGGTGTGTGCTGGCTCTGCAGGAAGGGAAAGTGCAGCTGGGAGGGAAGCAGAATGATAGACTGCCCCTACAGCATACAGCCAGTGTTTAGATTGACTTAAAACAATTAGGGAACTGTAGCCTTACCAAAATACACCCAGAGTGTTAGTCTAAATGATCTGTAAAATGGCAAAATATACAAATAACAAAACTGCTTCTGTTTTCCTCATTTACTACATGGGTAAAACCTTGATTTTTAGGAGGGTTTGCTTTGGGCTTGTTGTTGTGGGGTTTTTTTGGGTTTGTTTTTTTTTAAGGAATGGAAGGAAACTGCTTATTATACTTATTTTTTTTTTTCCGAAAGAGAATCTTAATTTTTGTTTATCTCTTTCTGTTAACTCTTCCAGGCTGTGTTTACTGGTGTTAATGAGGGTATAGCAAATTGCTTTCATTGTTTCCAAGCTGTTTCTCATTCTTCAATTTGATTGCTTTTAAAATACTGTAGAACAACTAAATTGTTTTATTGCACTGAGAATATATAAGCTACTTCTTTTCACAGAGCCTTTGGCTACTTAAACCAGCATTTTCCTAGGACTTTATAGACCATGTCTTCAGTTCTCTAAATATATTGAAAAATGGAGGCAAATGAGGATAATTATATTGAAAATGGAGGCAAATGAGGATATCTGACCCAGATGAAGCAATATTTCTGTTCATTTTGAAGTGCCTTGTGAGTTCGGTGTTTGTGACAAATCTATACTGACATCCCTTGGTCCAGACTTCCCTCAAATAGAGTTGCTGTACAGGGAGCAGGGCGAGTTTCCTCACCCTGTACTGTTCGCATGCTCTTGGATTGAAGTGGTGCTTTGTTCTCCCTGGCTGAGCTGAGACCCAGGATTTCACTGAGTGCCAAAATGTGGGATTCTCTGAGGGGAAACCCTGGCACTGCGTGAGCCAAAGCACAAACTACTAAATTCCTCTGTCACCACAGTGTTGCTCTTTTAAACTGTTTAAAAGTCAAGTTGTCTTCCAGGCCCTTGAGTTTTAGTTACAGCTAGCTGAAGATGCAGACAAGGATTTAATCTGCACTATTAAGCTTTTCTCTTTGCAGGTGGCAGAGACATAATGTTGACGTGTATAACAAAGTGCAAAGAAAGGAGGAGTGCACAGTGACTGTATCTTAACATCCTCCAGATATGGCAGAGAGAACTCGGGGAGGGAGGTTTGGATTTGAATGTTTGTGGGATGGAATACGAAATTAAAGCCAAATTTTTTCTCCGTTCCCAGTTTGTTAGGACACTTAGTCACTGATTCTGCTTTAAAAAAAAAAAAAAAAGGAAAGAAAAAGAAATGAAAGAAAGAACTGGAAAACAGTGGTAAAACTTTTGCTCACTCGACTTTTAATTCACAATTATTTAGAGTTGGTTTTGGCTTTCAGAGACACATTGAAATACGTATTTTCTTTTGTTTATGTTTAATGTTTGCCTTAATAATTGCTGTGCAGAGTTCTGGCATGAATGATCATGAAGAGTCTGTTATATTATTCTGCTTTAATAGATTTAATCAATTGCATATGATGACTGTATCAGAAATTAATTTGCCTCTCACTGAAATCACTAAGAACAAGGCTAATTGTTTTTTTTTTTTTTTTTTTCAGATCTAAGTATTATGGTTTGGGGGTTTTCTTTCCACCCTCCTTATTTTCTCCTCCCACAGCACCACCAGTGAAGCTGGTTGTTGTATCTTCAGTCTTGGTGCATTTTAACTGAGGGGAGAGATACACCTATTAACCAGCATGGAAATTAGAACAAGCCCTCTTGTACCTAACTGGTTACAAACTGACGTAAACAGAGAGATGTTCTTGTAAGCGGTGCCACAGCAAATGGATAATTTATTTTTTTTCAATAAAATTGTACAAATCTGAAATTATAAAAATATCTGTAGGCTGAATGGCTCAGCAAGGAAGAATATCCCTTATTTGACATGTTTTGATCTTGATTAAAAAAATCACTGATCACTGTATGTATGGAAAAAGTTTTACATTCATTGTGCCTGAGCACAAATGGAATAATTCTTGGAAATTGCACAATATCATTTTCATGAGCCATATTTTACCATGGCAGAGCTCAATATTTATATTGATTTGCTTAGGGATACCTATTGCAAAAGATTCTATTTTATAAGCAGTTAGACAGATTGCATTTAATAGGTAGAATGTGTTTCATGGATTAAATATGTGCTCAGAAAATAAGAAACTGCTACTTTTTGTATCTTATAAAAATGGTAATGCAACAATTAGCAGGGTCATATTATAAAGCACAGACTTTACTCTAGCTTAATGGATCTAGGGATATGCATTCATCAGCAACGATAGATTTAGCATAAAATGACATGTAAATGAATTGATGACTGATCATAAATTAATTTTAGTGCTGAAGAAGTAATAGAGACACAGCAAGATGCCACTTTATCATAGTATTTTACTGCTCAGCAACATTTGAGCAACTACTTAATGTTCTGTGTGCATTTCTTTTCTAACAGCTTGAATAAATTTGAGAATTTTTTGTGCCTTTCAGCAATATGGAAACCAAAAAAATCTCGAAAGATGGAATGCAAACAGAAATAAATTTGCCTAAGTGACATAAATTCATTTTTCATTAGATGTTTATGAAGGGCATTAATTATGGTTGGACCTGTGAAGTGCCAAATAAGTATGCATGATTTTTACCTCCTTTTGTTTAGTGTTTCCTGCCCCGAAAGAAAAAAAACTAAAACTTAAAGGGGTTTGTTCCAGGTGTATACATTTAAATATTCAGGCATTTATGGTGAAGTATAATGTAAGGTGTGAGACAAGGTCTAGTTTTTGAAGTGTGATCATAAATATCTTCTGCATTTAGACCCTTCTATTATTCATTCTTATTTTGGTGTTGCAATGACTATCTCCCCTTCTGTTCTATCGCTTTCACCAAAATCAGTGGGCACTTCTTTGTAATCATGGCAGTGGTCAGACACATCCAAGAGAGGATAATGTCTTTCTCCTGTACAAAGACTACGAGAAATCTGTAACTGATTTCAGCTGAAGTAGCATCAGTTCCCAAGGGTGTTACTCCTTCTTCACAAACCTAAGGAGTCCATCCCTGTTCCATCCAAAAAAAAAAACCTGCAGGGGAGCAGGGACCCAACATTACTATGTGCTTGAGGGTTTTGTGAAGAAAAGCACGTATGCATACACATGAAAGTACCAGTGACATCATGTCTTGAGTTTAAGCAAGCACACAGATAATATGGGATGTACAGAAAAGTATCTAATGGAATTTTCATAAGTGTTAGCTTTGCTGTGAGCAGCTTTTATTTCACAAGTGCATTAGATATTTTTATTTTTAAGTAAAGCAACAGCACACTTTACAAAGAAAAATAACACTTTTTTTAATTGCCAGCAAAATGCCACTAAAAGCAGTAGCAATGCAGTCTATATTAGAAGCTAGCACCTCTGTTCCCCTCACCTTTCCCTGAGAGCAAAGAAGCTTTCTGTTTGCGTTAGCACCAAGAGATATTTTATGGAGCAAGAAAACAGAGTTCAACTTTTCACAGAGCTGATTTTGTTCTGCATAAAGCATTTACTGCTGCTGTCAGCAAGAGTAAAATTTACAGTTGCCAGAAAGCGTAAAAACTCAAATGTGCTCTTGGAAAACACATAGTGAGTTGCATGTAAAGGAGACACTAAAAGCCTGTTTCATCCCATTTCAAAATGCACAGTTGATCTGAAAGGAACGTCAGCATCTCCTATTCTGCCTTTATTCAGAGAAAAACAAATGTGCATCTGATTTGGAAAACAAGAGGCCAGTGGATGCCTTTAAATGCCTCGTGTGCTGTGTTAACACAGCTCTGTGGTGGCCTGAGGGGCCCAGGGTGGGCTCCAGCTCTCCCATACCTCCTGGGCAATGTCCACACCTCTGCAGGTCAAAGCAAAAAGGGTTTTACTGCTGCAAATTCTGTTGTGGAAAAGAAATTGTTTATGCAGGGAAGCCGAATAGCTCTGGAATCAGTAGAAGTAATGGAGAAATTTTGCTTTTGGCTCCCTGGTCACACACAGCTGTGGGTGCTGTGTGTGTCTCAGGGTATCTTGCTGACTTCAGCAGTTATAAAAAGTTTTGACTCTGCTTCCAGCAACCAGAGGTTTCATAGAGAATCATAGAATGGTTTGGGTTGGAAGGGATCTTTAAAGATCATCTTGTTCCAACCCCTCTGCCATGGGCAGGGACACCTTCCACTGGACCTGGTTGCTCCAAGCCCCATCCAACCCAGCCTCAAACACTCCAGCAATGGGGCATCCACAGCTTCTCCGGGCAACCTGGTCCAGTGTCTCACCACCTCACAGTAAAGAATTTGTTCCCAATATCCTACTCTCAGTTTAAAAACGTGTCCTGCCTCTTGTCCTGCCACTACAGGCCTTATCAGAAAGTCTCTTTCTGTCTTTTCTATAAGCCCCCTTTATATACTGAAAGGCTGCAGTGAGATCTCCCCAGAGCCTTCTCTTCTCCAGGCTGAACAACCCCAGCTCTCTCAGCCTGCCTTCACAGGGGAGGTTTTCCAGCACCCTTATAATTTTGTGGCTCTTCTCTGGACACACTCTAACAGATTTCATGTCTGTCTCGTGCTGGGAACCCCAGAACTGGATGCACAACTCCAGGTGAGGTCATGATGTCCCAGTAAAACTCACATACATCCCTCCAAGAATGTGAGCCATGCTTCCATCCTCGCAGGTCCCTCCTAGCACAGCTGCTGAAGGAGAGGGGAAAGAGGGAGTGATCCATGGGCAGAGCACACTATTCCCAGCCTGGATAATACTTGTTGTCCATGGGAATGTGAAGGAGTTGAGGAACGGGACTTTTTTATAGGGTTAGCCTAGAAAGCTGGCAGTCTGATAACAGCAACTAAAATTTAGGTATTTTTAGAAAAAGTGGCATATCTATAAGTGTGTAGAACAACAGCTGTATTCACACATATTAGGAGAAAGCATTATGGGCTTTTGTAGATTTTAAATATGTTTCACACTTAGAACGTGGCTTATTTTTTTGGATTGAGTGACAGTCCAGTCCTCCAAAGAGTAGATGCAAAATAGCTACTAGACATACCCTGAAAGTGTCCCATACAAATTGCAGTGTGTATTGTATGTTGTGTAACAGCTGAGGGGTTAGCAAATGGACAGAGCAACTTGAGCAAGTGGAAATTCAAAGTTCTTTTAAAATATCCATAGTCTTATGAACTATGATACTGAAAACAATAACTGTTCTGTGCAGTATGTGGTTTTTTTATGTCTCTACATAGAGAGTAGAATGTATCACACAGAACCCTTGGGCTCTGAAACTAATGGGATACATGTTAAATTTTTAGCATCCAAGTATCCTCCTTTGATATCTGCAGCTCTAGTTATATATTTCATGTTTCAGCTTGTGCTTACATATTTTGCAGAACATGTCGATAAGCGATTGTTTGAAAATGTCCTCAGCTATAACATTTCATTTTCTTACATCTTCATGAAGTGTTTTATCTGTAGTATCTCTTTTCATACATCATCAGTAACTGTTGCTAAGCCCCTTTGCTCCCCATTCTCTATGATATCCTATCTCACTTGGATTGTTAGTTCACAAACTGCCTTCTCAGAGGAAATTCAGTGTTAGCCTTCCCTTGCTGTTATCTGGGTTCCCTTACATCTGTCTGCATCAGGTCGAGTCTGTTTGGAAAATAACAATTTTATGTGTGCTCTTGGCAAGCAGAATCAAACTCTGTCACTCCCTGTTGCACTTAACACACTTACTGCCTGTCAGACCTCCACAGACCTCTGTGGTTTCTTTTCTTGTATCTTAGGAGTGCATGGGCTTTTGTTATTATAGCCTGCCACTTCGCTGACATTAAAAGCTTTGGTCACTGCAGCATCACAAAATAACCCATTGTTCTTGGGCTTTGTGGTGCTGCATTGTACTGAATTCCAGAATTCATTTATTGTGCTCATGACTCGTTTTTGCAGGATGTTTTTAATATTTGACACCACCATTAGTTAATTAGCCAATCAGTTTGATGCTAATAAGAAGGTCATTATTGGTTTACTTCTTAGCAGTTTTAAACACAATAATACTTCCTTGCACATGGATTAAAAAAGGGCTACTGTTCTGCTTCACATCCTATGTATATTTGCACAAATTCAGCTGTGCTGACTGAGTAGTTAAATCGGGGCCGTGATTTATCCCTCCCCACGTGTCTTTGTGTCTTTAATAACCAGTTCTCTGCAGATTCTCATGGTTTTGCTGGGCTTTTTTTTTTTGGGGGGGGGGAGGGGCTTTTTTTTTTTTTCAACATATACGTGTGACTGTTGTTAAAAAGCAGATTTCAGGTATTTCAAGATAGGTGCCCGTACTATGTCAGAACAATATTCTGTGTCTACACAGCCCCACCCAATGCCCTGCAGTAGCTCAGCTCCCAGAAGTATCTGGTAGCTCTGCACCTCAGCTGGACTTGGTAACTCATTAACACAGCTGCTCCATTCCTGGGAAAATACGAATGAAGAGCAAATAAAATTAATCCTTCTTTCACTGTTTTGCTCTTTACATTCTAGTTATGGCAAGATTTCGATATTTCTTTCATATGCCTTTTCAGGTGTCTGGTTTTCTGACTGCATTTTTATGATGTTGTTTTCACTTTCGTCTCCTGCAGTGATGGTAATCCATAGTTAGAAGGTTCCATGGGGCCAGTGTTGGCTTAGTGACTGACTCAGTATTAAATTTGAGCATATATTTGCTCTGCTCTTGAATCTTAATTATTTTCTAACCTTTTAAAAAAGTTACTTTAATCCACTAGAATGAACTGCTTTAGATCAGCTTTCTTCAGGCCATTAAAGCTGCTCATTTATTTTAAGGTTTTGACTGACAAAATGACATAAAGCCAGTCTTGTTCAAGATCGCTCTTGAAGCCTAGGTCTGACTTTAGCTATATCTATCAAGACTTACACACGTGCTGTCTAAAATGAAAACTTGGCTTTGCAAAGATCAAACTAGATACTGGTTTGTAATAAGTCAAGTTAAAAAAAAAAAAAAAAAGAAGAAAAAAACCAAAACAATCACATTAATTTTGATTCCAGGAAAGATCTATTAACTTTCAAAAGAACTTATTATGGAGCTTTCACGTTTGTAGAGAATATGTATCATTTTGTTTACAGGGTCAAAGCTACATGGAGCAATTTATGAATGAGATCCCTCTTAGCTTTGATAGTGCTTTATTACACCAAAGTCTGCCAGATAAACTTTGGGTTTTGTGTTCTGAAAGGACATACTAACTAGGTCTTTAAGCTTTAGCTGAATATTGCTCTTTTGTACCAAGCTCTGTCAAATGAATTTTGGGTTTCCTATTGAGAAGGGACATATTAATTGGGTCTTTAAGCTTTTAGATGATCAAAAGGTATCAAATGTGCACAACTCACTAGACCCCTACATTTGTTTTTAGGTTCAATGGTAAATGGATGGGGTTCTGCGTCTGATGAGGACCGTAACTTTTCTAGTCATAGATCTAGTGTAGGTAGCTCCTCAGATGACTCGATCTTTACCAGCGGCAGTTTTGCACAAGCACTGGTTGCAGCAGCAGATAAAGCTGGTTTTAGGCTGGATGGAACTAGCCTGACGAGAACAGGTTTGTAGACTCAAAGTTGATGCTCTCTGCATGAAGGGTGTCTCTGCCTTTTCTCTTCTTTCAGTGAACCTGCCTCTCACACTTGTCTAACATGCATGGAATAAGGTGGATGGAGATGTTATTATCGGTATATTTTAAATGAAACTTTGCACTGTGTTTCTTCTTTGGTAATTTGAAGTAGTGAATAGCACAAGCTTTTAATCTGCACCTTCGTTCTGCTGCAGTTTCCCTCTGTAGTGACTCTGCTGTGTATTTACTGAGATGTGCTCCGTTTAATATTTCAGTGAAGAAATCACTAATTCTGCCTTGCAGTCTTTGATGATCTTATTTTCTGAAAAATCTCCTCACAATCATTCACATTTCCCGTGATGAAGATCATATTTAAACTATTATCTCCATCCCTGCTCTTCTGTGGCATTTCTTCTTGGAAAAGTGTATTTTTCTGTGAAGTTTTCCTAAGCATGGGGTGAATTGGTGTGCTTTTATTCTTAACAATGCAAACTGTTTAAAACCTTTATTATTAGCTGATTTAAAAATACTGGATTCAATAAGTTAATGTATTTTGATAACATTTAATTTTAGTTATGCCAACTGAGTCTGCCAAGTAAAATGTAACAAAGGTAAAGTGACTATTGCTTTTGAAAACAGCCAATCTTATAAAATGAATTAGTGAAAATGAAATATAATTTGGTACATGTTTTTAAAGCTTCATATGTCTTATTTCTATTTTAAAAAAGTAAGGAAAAATATCTTTAAATATTCTGGGTGGAAAAACAAGAATGTATTTGCATTTTCTAAGTCTTATCAAAATAGCAAAAATTACGAATTATTTGAATCCACAAATCTAATAGCAAAGTATGAGCTTGGGTCCTATTTTTGTTATGCTTCCTCAGCCAGTTCCTGCCCACAGGTCCCATAATGTTCCTATCATTTAAATTTTTTTGCTATTAGTCTGGTGTGAAGTCTCTCCCCCAGTAAAATTTGTGCATTTATGAGAAATGTCTCACATGTTAGGCCTGAAAAATGCACTCTTTCTGCATGCAATGACTTCATGGCAAATAGCACCTTTTAAGGACATTAGGAGTAAAGAAAAGAGTTGATGGCAAAGTCCTATGTCTCCAAGAAAACCAGAAGGTGAACTGATACGACTTTTCTCAAACCCCTGTGAACTTTTGCCACTGACTTTTCATATGTAGTCATCCTTAAAAGGTAGTTATTTCACTGTAGTTGAACCCCTCAGCAGCTTCTTACACTGTGGAAAATTGGCTGAGTATATTTGATATATATCATCAATTTGATAAAAAAACAAAGCAAAACAAAACAGGAACGAATGTAGACCTTCACTCATCTACTATGGGCACATATGGCCAAACTATAATTTAAAATATACTATTTTGCTTGAAGAGTCTCGTAAGTCTTAAAAGAAAGGAACAAATCCTTCCCAGCTTTTTTTTTTTTTTTTTTTTTTGGTGGTGTTCTTGGTGTCAGTAAAAGTTTACTGCAACAATTCACCCAGAGTTAATGTCACTTTTATCAGGCCTTTGAGAAGTGCAGTTCCCACCACAAACACACACATAAGAGAAGTAAAGAGACACACAAACACATAAACATTTAAAAATAAATATGATTTCTTATTGTAGCAACGTGAATGGAAAATAAAAGGAAAGGCTGAGAACCCTCTTGTCAGTTATATTTTCCCAGCTTAATTAGGTCACGAATGCACTTAAACTGAGTGCATGTGTGTAATTCCTCAGACAGACTATTAGAGTGCAGGGTACAAAAAAGTATCTAGGCGGTTGTGGTAGAGACTTTATGATTATTACCCTCTTACTCTCTTAATGATCCAGAAGGCAAAATGGAAATAAAATAAAACCCACACGTAAACAAACAGCCCTCCCCTCTTTTTCCTCGTGGAAACCCCAGCAAATGGAAATATCCCCCCTGTGCTCACTGCAGTTTCATTACGAGATGAGACCTCCCGAGGTACGAGGGGATCAGTCAGACGTGCCTGGTACAGACCAGCAGCCCCCACAGTGTGAAATGGTGTCCAGCAGTGGAGAAGCAGCAGTGTTGTTTCTGTTCACTGCTCTGGAGGGAGTCTGAAGATCCTGACTCTTTGCTCCTTTGCAGTCTGGACAGTTATTTTCACCCACGTAGAACAGCTGTGAGATGTTCTCACCGGCAGATACTAAAGGAGATGTCCAGCTTGATAGCCTCACGTGGGAGTGTTTGATTGCCAAGCATAAGAGGCGCTGGTAAATCCAGATGCGATGTGTCTCTCCTGCCAGACACTTTGATTCCAGTTTCCAGAAGCCATCATGTGATTTGCCACGAAGTTCAGACAGATTTCCTTTTTAACACCCTTGGGAAATTAAATCAAGAATTAGTGGATTCATCCTTGTCTCCACTTACACGCACTAAATCTGCTACAAAGTCTGACACTGCTCAGCAGTTCTTACTGGAAGGGCTGCATACAAATACAAGATGCTGTAATCAGTTATTTAAGTGCATTGAAAAATGTGTTTTGGGAGTCTGCACATCATTTGTGTTTGCCCCATGTCTGATTTAGGTCAGTGCTATTTATTTTGCCGCTTTTTCATGAAGGGATAAAAGAGAATGTTTGGTGTCTATTTCTCTTTGAAACCAACATTCTGAATGAAAAATCACATTTCTTTAGTCCAAAGAGTAAGTGTGAAGAATCTGTATCCTGCACTCACTAGTTGCACTTACGTGTGAGTTTTTTTTACAAAACATCTGTGCAACATGCTGTGAGCTGAGATGGAATTTCAGGCTCATGTCTGCATTTCTTTGCATTACTGATTTTTTATTATTATTATTTTGAAATGAAATTTTAATATTTTGTCTGTGTTCATCTGCTGTTTTATCCTTATCCATGAAACAAGGGCTTGATCACTTGTCTTTGTCTGGTTGCAGCTGTGCCAGCTATAGAGGTTCATGTTTCCCACCTCCCCCCAAACGTTTATTACTGCTTTTTTCCCAGCTCCAGAATTAGCTGCTTGGGTGGGTGTTCCGTAACCCATTTCATTTAAAATGAGCCAGGTTAGCAAAGACATTGATTTCAGACCATTTAAGTTCAACTGGGCTTTTTTTTTTTGGTAGAGGAGGGTTAGGGAATGTCCACATGAGGGGTTCAAATGTGGTAACCTCCAATAGCTGGCAGAGACACAACTGGGAGACGAGCCCTCCTGAGAGCAGTGTCCCCCTCAGGGTACACATCAGTCAGAAGGCAAGCCTGAGAGAGTCAGGAAATCTCTGAAGTTAAACAGTGATATATTATTCTAACATGTATGTATTGATGTGAAACACCATGTTAGAGAGATTACGGCTACTCTTTCACTTTGCCCTCTTTGCACTGAGCATATTTCAAACAGTATGCTGAGCTGCATATTACTCCTGATTAAGCTTATCTAGATCAGGTCATATGTGACAGCATGTTGGAATTAAGTGCATCTGTTGAAAGGTTTTACAGCAGGGTAGACCCTGGTCTAAGTTAACCAGAGGATAAAAAAACCTCCTTCCTAGTTTGGGCTCAGTTGACCAGAAAAATAGCAAACAGCCATTTTGCTACTTTCTATCAACTCTACCACCATTTGGGCCTACAGCAGCATTAAAAGAGCAGAAATTCTGACAGGCTTATACATTTTCCACTGCAGATAGGATTAAAACATGTAAGAATTTTAATTACCGGTTTTAAACAAATTAAAATGTTAACATCCCCAAGATACTTGGCAAGAACAACCTACACATGAACAAAAGAAACTAAAAGATGGTGATCTTTAGTTTTCATCAGTTGGCATTAAACATTAAGCCTAGTTAAGTTAACTGAATAAAAACATCAGAATAAGAGGAAGTGAACATAGTAAATGAACTGCGCTGCTCCTACGGTTCCTGCATGAGGCTTTTAATCATCTGCTCCACAGAACAGCATCAAAGATATTTTTTAGGAGACATCATGCAGCTTGAATAGGGTGTGTATGTGTATATATATATATCTGAGGAATAAATTCAGTGAGGATATATTTTTTTAACTTATAAATGTACTGAAAATGAACAGGAAAATTTTAGCATTTCAATATACCCCCATTTCTGATTTCTTGAGAGAAGAGAGCCCTTAAATATACAACCCTTCCCTGCTACATAGCTTGCAAAATCAGTTATGTTTATCTCACTGGAGTTACTCCAGATATACAGTGCATATGGGAGCCCCTAAAATGAGAATCTGGCTCGATAAACATGAAAGTGGAAGGCAGGAGGAGATAAATTTGATATGATTGCAGAACTGTTTTCCTTCCCTGCTCAAGGCTGAGGAGTTGTTATGACACATCTGTTCAGCACACAGAGCAGGTAGGAGTTACATGGCATACAGTAGTTTTATCACAACAGATGGAATAATTTTAATTATAAAAGTTAAAGAGAAAAGAATGCCAAGTTTATCACTTCACTTGTTGTGGTGTGTCTTAAAGCATTTGTCATCAGTGGGTACCTCTAGGGGACACTTGCTTGCCTCTGAGACTTAGGCCTAATTTAATGTTTCGGAACAGACATTAATAGAACAGCCCATTTCAAGGCAATAACATTTTTTCATCTGGTTTCTCTCTCTCTTTTTTTTTTTTCTTTTTTTTTTCTTTAGGCAAAGCATATTCTTCCTCTCAGAGACCTCGGCCGAGCAGTCCTTTTTCTACTGACAGCAACACCAGTGCAGCTGTCAATCAGGGTCAGAGGCCGAGGCCCACCAAAAAACACAAGGGAGGACGGTTGGACCAGCCCCCTTTGCCTCATCGTAGGGAGGGAATCACAGACGGTAAGTGTTGAAGTGTTGTGGAGAGGGCCCCGATGACAACCTGCAACAAGCAGGTGTGCAGAGTGGGAGAAGGCAGAGCAATCTTTTACGAAATGTAGGTTGTAGAGAACTACTGGTTTGGTGAAGTGGGGTCCCCAGGTTGCCTCGCGAGCAAAATTGCAGTGCTGGCAGTGTGGAGTTTGGTAAAGTGAGTCTTCAAGGAGCCTTTCTTCATTTCAGCTCTGAACACGTTAGCATCTCTTAGGAGTTATCAGATCTCAATATAAATCTTACTCAAAAATGACTGTGTTGCACAGGAGTTGACATTTAAAAAAATGACCTGTGAGTAATTTTATATTAGATGAAAGTAGCCACCACCAGTAGCAGTGTGCCATGAATTCCTAAGGAGAGCCAGTCCCACAGCACTGTTTGCTTTGTGCTGTTTTTGACAGACACTCAACAGCTACAGCAACATGTGCCATGCTTTTCCCATGGTTCTGCCTCATGTCTTGTCTGTGCTGCTTCAGTCCTGACATCCACTGACCTCAGTGACTTTGTTTCCCTCTTTTACATCTCTGCTGCTCACTGACCGCTGCTTCCCAGCTGGAAATTTCAGGCTCTTCTAAGATCTGACCAAGATCAGCTCTGTCTTCGTTATCTTTGTCTGCCCCTCTTGAGTCTGGCAAAAGACACAATTGCTGCCTGCTACTTTTTGAGGAATACTGCATAGGAGGGTGACTGGCTGGCCACTTCCCCCTCATTTCTTCTCTTCTTGGCCTTGCACCTGTAGGTGTTGAAATGATCAAAGGGGAGAAAGAGGCAGAAGGAAAAGCAGCATCAAAAAAAACCGCTAAGGATATGTGTAGTGCCATGGAGGTGGAGATGTGATCACTATCCTCATGCTGACCTCTCTTTCAGTGTTCCAAGCAGGACAGTTCTGAGAGGCAGACTGTCCCACATACCTCAGAGGCTCTCATAACACTGTCTGGACCACGGCAGCGAGTGTGATGCCAGTGAGTCTATCCCCTAATCTTAAGTATACCTTGACAAATCTTCTGGTGTATGTAGAAGGTGTAAAAAATATAATTAAAAAATTACCTTAGATTTTAGTGTAAAGAGGCCTTCTTATTCTAGTAAAAATTGCTTGAGAATCATAGAATATCTCAAGTTGGAAGGAACCCGTAAGGATCATCAAGTCCAGTTCACTCTTTTATCTTCTTTGGACAGGTAATGTAATAAATGGATTTGATAGACGGTATATTTAGGTTGATTTTTTAATATATATAATGCTCTATTTATTACTCCAGGTAAATGTATAAAATACATTAACAGCTTGCAAGGTAGACTGTGTCCACCAAAACCACCAGAGCTCTGCTCTCAGTCATATTGTCAGGTATAAAGATTCAATTTTGCAGTATCCTCTGACAGTATCCATGTTTCCAGACCAGAAAGATGGAGAACAGATTCCAGAAGGGAAGTCTTCACCAAAGAGTTTATTGTTACATCTCATGCTCTATGGCTAATTCTCACTGCCATATCATTTGTGGAACCAGTGTAAAGTAGCTTAGATTTTGCTCATAAGGCCCTGAATTGGTTTAAACATTAATACCCTGCCCTTCTGGATGTATTCCGGAGGCCTCTCTGCTACACAGATCCATTAAATATATGTGTCCATGAGAACAGTAACTGGAAATCATGGGTGTCACTTGTGGTGCTGGCCATACAGTGTCTACTTGGCATATCCTTTCACCCAGAACTATGAGCGATTTGGGCTACAAATTCTGTGTACATGTGAATTTGTAGTGCACTCAGTGTGGTGGGACCTTAATCCTTCTTTTGAATACTGTTGCTATAGAAGTGTTTTACAACATTTACAACATTCTGGGTACCAGAAAATTAATGGGAATCCAGTTCAGGTAATGAGACCGATGGAAGTGTGATTCCACAGTGTGACTCCATTGTGAAGTTTGGCATTGTTTTAAATTAGTGAAAGGGATAAGATTTTAGGATTTATTTTAAAAGAGGAATCTCCTATTGAATTTTATTTAATCTTTATAAAATACTAATCTTACTGGAGTTTCTTTCATATATTTGAGTCAGAGTACCAATTATATACTATTTCCTTCAACATTTCAGGCACAGGCAGTAACCAGAACAGCTTTTGGATGCCATTAGATTAATATTTGTATGGTATAAACCTAGTTAAAGTGCCTACTATATGTTCCAAAAATTTATAATGTCCTGGAGCAATAGAGAAACCTTTCCCCTTCTGTATTAACACAGGAACAAACAAACACAAATGGTACAGTTTTTCCACTTCAACTCCTACTGAATATGAGTCACTAAAGTGTAATGGCAAGTCTGAGTCAGAGCTAAGTTTGCAAAAGATCATTTGAAATTAAGGAAGCTAAAGGTTGCTGCTGCCACCTGCATGTATGTAAACAATTGAATTTAGCAAACTCTGGTATACAGAAATTAAAAGTGGTAACTGTATACTCTCTGTGGAATATTGCAGTGAACTCTACAAAGAGAGACAATACACTATGTTTAAGCTGGGAGAAGCAAGCAGGAGAACCTCAGATAGGTCCAGCAATTATAAACCCTAATCCAGGCCAGCCCGTTCGTCCCCAGGGTGTCATGATTTCAGTGGGAAGCGTCACTATATGTCTTCTCCTGGTTTTCAGATGTCTCCAGTCCATTCCCTTGTAACTGCTTCCTCCTGTATTTGTCATGTGAGAATATACTTGGTTTGCCAGTTGTTTTCAAATTCCCAAGTTAGATGAGTCCCAGTATCCTGTGTTTAAATCTCATCACATACCAGATATCTGTCATTTTAAATTTTCATTGCCCAAGTGAGCTCCAGCTCTGTCCTTTCTCTGCCCAATCCCACATGCATCCTGAGCACTTCCTCCGTGTTAACTGTAACCACGTGGGACAGTGCAAAAGACCTAAGAAACTGTAATATTTAACACTTAGCACACACATCTCAGACTGCGTAAGCATATGAGGGTTCAACTACATGCTTGCTTTTGACAGCAATCCACACAAATCCCCTAAAAGCTTGCTGCTTCATTTTCTTCAGCTGCAGGGCAGAATCCTCTAGAGACTTGACTTTAGATGGAGTCTTCATATTTGTCTTGCTGTACAACTTGTTTTTTAACTTCCACATCCTGAAAGACCATGGAGACAACAGCAAATCCACAGAGGAAGAATATGTTAGGAATCTCTCAGATGATGAAAACTTTCATTCTGAGCTCACAGGCCACCATAAAAACAGGAGGTTTTTAGTTCTACTGCTCAAGGAATAATTTGTTTTCCTGGAAACAATATACTCACAAATTGCAAAAGGAATCTGTCAAATAGTTTGTGGCATGGTAATTGCATGACTAAATTTAAAAGTTCTTCCTTTTCTGAGCACGATATGTTAAAAAGACACAAAAACCAAAGAGGAGCAAGAAGGGAAAATATGCTTAGGGGCTAAAAAGGAGAACTGGAACATAACACTTCTCTTAGTTTTGCCATTGGCTTCCTACTGTATAAGTCAGTTTTTCCTAAGGTAGATCACTGTGGAGAAGATGCTTACCTTCTGATAGTAGAAAGTGGTTCAGAGGCTTATTAAATGTCACAGTAATTATCATCCCTAGGAAAAGAAATCCATGGCACAGGTAGAAAGGTGTGTCCTTATGCTTGTAGGTTCTGTAACTTGCTGCTTTTTCCAGTTAATAATGAGAGGCTGTGACAAAGTTTGACTCTTACCTAAATCACTTAGCAATTGTCCTGCTTTCTAAAGAAAGGCTGGAGTAATCCCAGGATGAATATCCATCTCCCTCCTATTAGGCACTCTGATGTCCTACAGCTTCTCAATCACAATCCCTCCATTACTAAATCAATAAGACAATCACCCCCCCACCACCTCCACCAATGCACTTCTGAATTGCCTCAAAAGTTTGATAATCCTGCCATTAGAGGCTTCAAACGATAGTCTGGATGACATCCCACTGGCCTAGAAAGTTACTAGCTCAGTGTGAGTTTTTAGGTATTTTATCTGGTACCTGAAAGATAAATGTGAAGTAGATGGAAGTAGAGAGATAGTCAGTGTTACCACTCTGGGTATCCTCACTGAAAATCCCACTGAAGTCCCTAAATTTCTAAATTCAAAACTTCTCTGAAGTGATTGACATGATGGAATGACTTGGATTGCCTCTGTGTGGTACTAAATCTGCCTGTCAGGGTTTGAGACTACTAATTCTGCTGATATTCTTTTACCCTTTTACTAGGGGTAGGAGAGGAAAGGAAAGGCAAGGAAAGAGTGTTCTCTATGGCACTGGAGGAAGAAACTCATGACTCCAGATACACGGGATTTTTCTGTATTCCCAGGCAAGATAACAGAACATATTTAGTAATTTACCTAAGGCAGAAGATTTACACTATGGGATGTGAGTTGTAGAGCGAATAAAAAGCCACATTTCCAAATGAAACTCTCTTCCAGCTCTTATTGAAAAGGACAGGTAGGTGTTACTGTGGCAGTCAGCCTGAGGAAGGAGGTGAATAAGCAAACAGTTTGGTCAGGTGAACTTTGGCTACAATTAGTAGCTGTTCTTACAGATCTTCTCAGACATGTGTAACACAGTTCAGTAAGTCTGTGCTCAGGCTGGAGCCAGCTTATTTTGATTCTATAGTACCTGTAATTCTTCTATAATTCTGTGGATCTTCATTAGGAGGTAAATCCTATTTTTCACTTCAACTTATCCATAGGTCTAAAACAGCCAAAGAACTTTACAAACATGGTGTTTCATTTCACTTCTATGCATAAGTCGGTCTTTATGCTTATTTTGTGGAAGGATAAAAGCAAGAATCTGGTTAACATTAGATCAGCAGCATAACTCTACAGCAATTGCAGGAGTTTCAGCCAGCTCTAGAACATGCAGTACGGTTTAAGTACAAACCTTCTTTCCTTTTAAGTACCTAATTAATAACAACTATTAGATGGCAATTTCTGAAGAAGGGTACTCTGTTTAAAGTTTAATACTGCAATAATTTGAAGTTTGGTTGTTTTTTTTTTCCAATGGTATTACTTGAAAATTTTGTTTATACTGAACGGTAAATATTTTATCTGGGGAAATTGCATAGTCCTATGTCATGTTATGGCTGTGTTTATTGGATTCAATGCATCCCCACAAAGTGCTTATAAATCACAACTTCAGTAATCTCTATTTCAGATTTCATAAGCAGATGCCAATGTTGTGGTTCTGTACATTAACTGGTTATGATCGCAGTAAAATCAATTATAAGAAATGCCATTTTGGAAGCCAAGACTATAAAGCAATTTCAACATTGGCAAGCTCCCACACCCCCCCTGCTTCCACCTACAGTAACTCAAGTATAGTCATTGTCACGAAAGGTCACATCTATATTCATAACGAAAAATTTCTCAACTAAATTAGTGCTGAACATAAAGCATACACCAGGCTCACTGACACATTATTATAAGGCTGCTCTTGCCAAAACATGGTTATCTTCATCGGGGTGTAGCACTTCAGCTTGAGCAAAGGTACAGGAGCATCATCAGGGACGACTTCTTTCCCTGGTAAACACAAACAGCCTGCACTTCCTCATTTATCTGTAAGAGACAATGTTGACTGGAATGACATCTCAGTGACTTTGGAAGCATTTCTGCTCCATAAATGAGGTATAAGTATCACCTCTAACAGCAAGGACATGAAAAAAATTCTGTGTAGTGTTATATAAAGTATTATATAAAGCCGGATTACAGACTTTGGAATAAACTCCCTCCAAAGGCCTCCTGAACAATTTATGAAATGAATTTCAGTTTCACTAGAGTTATAAGCATCAGACTTCCCTGAAGGCAAAACAGATTTCCTTTTCCATTCCTGTTACTGAACCAAGTTCAATTTCCCGATAAATCTTCACAACACTGTAGGATACAATAGACTATAAAACAGGACAGATCCAAATCTGCTGTAGACTAACACAGGTTTTGTGAAGTTGGTGGGGCTGCAGGGATTTATTTGGGCTATGCATTGCCCCCAAACTGAATTATCAAAAAGTGTTCCACGCATAAAATGGGTATCTGATATGGAAGAGTTTTCATTACGATACTAAGGGGTTTCCATTTCTTTTTTTCTTTTTCTTAAATAATCTGAGGCTTTTGTGTACTATCATAAGTCTATCATGTAGTTTACATGAAAATCTTAGATTTAGAATTAAAATTATTCAGAGTCTGTAATTACCTTAGGTCTAGAACTAATAAATAATGTACGTTTGCCTCTACAAATGGGATTAGAAGGTTGATCTTCAGTTCTACAGGCAATTTAGTAGTCCTAGTGATAAACTTGAAAAGAACGGGATTGTTAGAGACCAGTCAAATGTCTTTTGATGTTAGCTTAAATTGTATTTTGGTTGGCTATATTTGCAAGATGTTAATCTGAAGTGGCCATCCTCCTATCTGTGAAGACTTTAGCTCTTCATTTACTTGAATAAAATGCTTACACATTGTTTGGTGGTTCCATTTAAAAACATTTTTCAGAGATGTATTGTTGCTTTTTCAATGACAGTAGGTTTTGTGAATATTTTTTCCGCAATTTTTGTCGCATTTTATTCATTTTGATGAACTTCTATATTAGATTTTGGGTTTAGAGCTCAAGCTGAAAGTGAAGCTTAAAAATAGGGATGATGGAGCAAGTCCCAATACAGTGGGGGAAATTGTCAACTGGCACAGGTCAGTTTTCCACATCCTTTCTTAATTGCTTGCTGTTACTGAACAAAACAGCACTCCCCCCTCCCCCCAGAAAATAAATAAACCCCACAGAAAATAAATACTGTGCTTAGAAATGTAAGTCAGGGATGAGAGTCTGTCAAGTTTTATGGAGGCTAGAAAGAGCTAGCAACACAGTAACCTGGATAAAGAGCTAGCAGAAGATAAACCCACTTTCCTGGTTAACGTGAAATTCCTTCCTTTTAAAACCAACAAACGGAGCGATTCATGCCGGTTGCAGGGGGCTTTTCTTTTCAGCATCGAATAGACCTTCTGTTTCAATTTAAAAAAAAAAAAAAAAAAAAAAAAAAATTTAGTTCATCTGAATCTTATTCACGTTTTTTAGATCTTCCACCACCACCCGACCCGCCCCCCGGTCAGGGTTTAAGGCAGCCCATAGTCCCCGGCCAGCGCGGAGGCTCGGCAGAGAGGAAAGGAAGCTCTCTTGAGAGGCAGCATGCACCGAACCTAGATGAGACAAAGAGCTCCCTGGACCGGCAAGCTAGGACATCTCTAGAGTGGCAGCGGCAAACCCAGGAGTGGATAAGCTCTACAGACCGCCAAGAGGATTTCAGGAAAGCCCAACACAAACAAGCCTTCGGATCAGGTGTGTGTGTGCTGCACCGGCCGAGGCGAGGCAGGCGGCTTCTTGACACTCTGCTGAGAGTTTCTGTATCTGGCAGGAGTCCAGGGTCACCTCACACCTCTCTGTAAAAGCACTGGTGAGGCTTAGGGTGGAAAACACGGAAAGGCAAAGTGAAACGAGAGCTTGTGATCCAACTATTTTCCCTCCTGCAACCATGAAATCTCATTAGCACCTGATTCGAGGCATTCTTTGCAGTGTTTTGGCAATTAATATTGTTGTCAAGCATAGTGTTGGAGAAAATAGGAGTGGTTTCAGGCCAGCATGGAAGGAGAGAGATTTTTTTAGAGTATCTTCTGTTAGATGTATTTGTGAATACAAGGCCATATTTTCTAGTTCTTTCAACCTTCTTCCAAATTGGCAGCAGGTTTTTTTGCATGTCCAAAAGAAGGCTGATTCTTCTGAGCTACTGACATGCCTTCCAGCTCTATTTAAAGCACCATCTTCTTCTTCAAGGATATGACAAAGTAACACTCATGTCTTAGGCCCAGCAAGATGACAGCACAGGCTTTCACCTTCATACAGGACCTGCACATTGCTGCAGGCTGACTTTATCTCCTAAATGGATTTCAGGTCTGTAAAAATGTGCGCAGGAGTCGATGCTGGCCTGGAGTTGGTAGTTTTACAATATTTGCAGCTTCCTTCTCTCAGTCTGACCTCAAGTAAAAGCTTCTGTTCCAGCTTTTACCCTCAAACTAGGGTATTTTCTTCAACCCACTAGTCACCTGTCATCCCAGTGCAGTGCCGATTAGAGTTATACAAGAGGACAATTAAGAAGATTTAAACAAAAAATTACATTGCATGTGGAGTTTTCTGTAGGGTTATGCTGTTTCTTTACGTATGCGTGTGGCTCCCACTGTCACACTGGAGGTACTCTTATAATCCATCTTTTTCTTGATTTTGTTCTACTATTAATGCTCCTTCTTAATCTAGGCCACTAATATCACTGACACTCTGAAAAAAAAATAGTAGTATGGAGGCAAATCTGTGGTGGGGGCAGGATTTACTGAATAAAGTCCTCCTGGGAAATATTGCTACCTATATTTAAAATGTAACTATTTTAAATACAGGCATACTTTAAAATATAACAATAATGATACTGTTAAAACCCCCTAATCTTTCAGTTGCATAAACCAGTGAGTGGTTGTTCATGTTGTGAAATCTTGATGTGAAGTCGCAGTTTAAAAATAGCGTGTGAAATTCTTGCTGTTTGGTGAAATGGCAATTTTAATTGCAATGTACGAGATGTACAAACATGTAGAAAAAATAGCCTGAATATACTTTACACTCCTTATTTCTGTGTAAATTATTATTGAGAATGCTTCTCTGACTGCTTAGCAGGAGCTCCCTTCTTTTTCCTCTGCTTCACAAGTGTACAAATAGAAGTTGTCAGTGATTCTGTGATGCAGAGCTTATACAGTAATAAAATTCCCATCCTGCAGGACATGCATTTATCTGTCCATAAATAAAGAGAACTTGATCTTGCCACTTCCAGTGACCTACATAAGCATTGAATTTAGGGCTGAAGTGATTACAGGTATCTTGTTCTTGTCAAATTCAGGATGATGAGAGCAAGTGCATATCCTTCATGCATAAAATAAAGATTCCTCTAGGAGATATTATGGATTTACCCTGGTGTGAGCAGTTCATAAAGTTTGTGCACAAGGTGGGCCAGAGCTTTATATCTGTCTGTCTGCCTTCTCTGCCAGCCTCTTGCACTACAGTTTCTTGCTGTGTCTTCTTGTCTCTGCTAGATTTAAAAAAGGCTGCTGTTACATGTGATGCCTGTTTATATTACTAAATTTGTGGGTTTTAATAATATTAGTAATTGTGCTTCTTTCCTTTTTCTTTATTAATGGCATAGATCTCTGGAAATCTATTCTGTCCCACTTTTCAATACATCTCCAAAAGGAGTTATTATTAGCTATCAGCTTCCAGAAGATAGCTAATTTGCAGCTCAGGGGGCTTCATTCAGATGTTACCAAGCTGTGAGTGAAATTTTGAAAGCAAGGCCTTTAGTTTGAAGTTGAATAGAATAGAAATGCTTAAGTCTGGGAACCGTGTTTCCACTGGTTGCTTTCAGGATAAACAAGATCACCGGGTTCCTGCCAGTGGCTTCATTGTGGAAGCGCAGCTACAGCACATCAAATATGACATTCTCAGCTATCCCTCTAACGAAAGCAGTGCTAGATCAGGTTACAATAGTTTTGATAATGTGAAAAGCCTTTTGGTTAGTTTATGGGGTATGGAAACATCGTTACACACGTATATCTTGATTTCATGGGGGTTAGAATTGTGCCTTCAAATTAAAGCCTTGGAACTTCAAAGAGAAAGACACTGGCAAAGGCTCCCCATATTCTTTGCAGGTCTGGGGCATGGGACACTGTTTGGGGTGTTTAATAAATGTGAGCCCATTCTCAGGACTTGAGACAACTACCTTTCATGTGCTACAATGTTGTCAAAAACTTAGCCTTTATTTTATGTCACAATTACTTATTTTATGGATTATATTTATTTCTGAGGGCACAACAGATAATTTAACACACCATATGCTCTATAATGATAATGGATTTTATATTTATTCATGGTCATTTTTCCTCAGTATTTCATTGAACCCGAAGGAGGCCTTATCCAGAGTCCACAAACTAGAAAAACAAATCAATTGACCATATATGTCATCTTCCAACTCTTTTGCAATGCTAGTGACTTTTCTTTTCATCCTTTAAAAATGTATCCAGCTTTCTACTAAACTGATTTATGCTACCTGCTTTATTGCTGCCTTAGTGCAAACCATTCCATATTTTAGCCAGCCTTTGGAAACCAGGTTTGCATCTGATTCTATTGTTGGGCCTTGATATATAAGGAACAAGGAACATGATTTAGGAGGATGTGGCTGTTAAATGCCATTTTACTGCATCTTTTGAGCATTTCTTTATATTTCAGCAAGGACACCACACGGTCACAGCACAAAACGTTGATAACGCCCTTATGTCCCGCAGCACAAATATGCTGGTCCCTTGGGCAGGGCCAGAGTGAGATACTTTGGCAGGGAAGGAATTCAGCTGCCTGCCTTTCTCTGCAACAGATTTACCTTGCAAACAGGCCCTGTTCAATAGCAGATCACATGGGGAATCCCCATGTCCTACCCACTTGTGGCAGCAGGCACAATGAATGAAATCCTGGGTTTCTTCCACAAATTTGTTCTCATTTAGTATTTCTCTAAGTTAATTGTGCCTCTGCTGCAGCCTTTGCAAAGACTTCAAGCTCGTGAATAGAAGCGTTTTTACCTCCTCTTTCTTTCCGACCATCCCCACCTACTTTTCTGTCTGTGTTCCTGTCCTCTGTCAAAGAAAGTCCATTTCTCCTCATCGGGTTGTTTAAGAGTGAAGACAATGGGAAAAGCAAAATAAAGAAAACCCTTTTGGCCTAGATTCACTTGAAAAAAAAAGTAAGATTCAAGCAGGAGACATCCCACCGATTTCAGAAGGGGCAGATGCTGTGTTTGAGGTTAGGGATGTGTACTTATATTCTTTCTTGGATCAAACTATATTTAGGAAGATCTCTTTCTTCAGCTTCTCAGATGGCAAAAAAGGATCATACACAGCAAAGAAATAAAACAGTGCTTCTATTTCAGTGCTAAATCAGTGCTGCTGTTTTGCTTCCTAGATTGGGATTATTACAACAATATCTCCTGGAAACTTTAATCAGAAGCGATGTCTTGTTTTACTTCATGCTATATGAAGACATGCAGTCTTATGCTTTATTGCTATCAATCCTGCTCTTGCAAGCAGTTCATTATTACAGGTCTTCACAGAAAAATAAGGCAAGTGAGCAACAGTAAGCCTTTTGCTCATAATGGAATATGAAACAAGCTACAGGATGATTTATTCAGCCCAAATATTACAACTGCTATGTGTAATGTAATATTTTCCAATGTAATTCACCACCAGTTAAAAAAAAATTGTTAGTGTACTTTGCATCATTAGAAATTACTGAGTTGCTGGAAGCTAATTAAATTAGCTGATATTGTAGTTCTTTGTCTAAACTGATTGAGGTAATGTTGCCATAATTTAAGCTAAAGAAAGGGAAAAAGCACATTCATGTAGGCTTGAAGCAAAAATCTAATCATAGCTGCATTGTTTTGGAAATTGCATGTGCATCTATTTTTATTAAAGTATCTATGATTCATGATCTATTACTTCATAATGAATCTAGACTTTTTATAATTAATGCAAACTGACTTATGAGTTTACAAGGAAACACGAATAAATTCTTGCTGGCTTCTCTGTCCTTGAGACACAACTCTTAGTTGTGTATTTTCCTAGGTAAAATTGTCGTGCTATAAAAAGCAAGATAAAAGACAGGTTCACGAGGGCAGGAATGAATATGATGTCCATAAAATAATAGCTTGTTTACTCCTATTTCTAGGAATTTACTGGTATTTACTTTGGTTTGATTTTTTTTTTTTTTTCTTTTCTAGAAGAGGCGCTCGTACCGTATAGTAAACCCAACTTCCCATCCCCTGGTGGCCACAGCTCTTCAGGAACATCTTCTTCTAAAGGATCGACTGGACCTAGAAAAGGTGAAGTCTTGCGAGGAGGTCACCAACGCAATGCCAGTGACCTTCTCGATATAGGCTATGTGGGATCAAACAGTCAAGGACAGTTTACTGGTGAATTATGTAAGTTTATCTCTAGCTACAGTTAAAACTCTCAAATAGACAAAAAAAAGAAACATTACAGATGTGCTGTGAAGAGAGTAGGAAGTTGTGTGTGATAATCAGATTAAATTTTACCCAGATATTTCTGCCTTCTGAGGTGACAAGTAAATTATGTGCTGTTCTTTGGTTTGGACCTGTTCAAATCTGTGTAAGCCATGCCAATGTTATCTGCACAGGATGTCTTTCAGTGTGTAATGCTAGTGAAGCACAGAGAAAATTGAAGAGAAACTCCAGTAATTTAGCGTTTTCTTGGCAAAGTGTAGCATGCTTGTCTTGGAAATACCACTGACTTTTTTCTCAGAATGAATGAAAAGGGTGCTGACTTTTTTGGCCATGGTGATGCCTTCTCCTTAACTTCTTGTTACCTGGTGAGCAGTATTCTCTTAGACGGAGATCTTCTTTTCTTGATTGTGCAGCCCAGTTTTTTGAGTTGCGTATCTCAACTCTTTCCATCAGCAACCCAGGACAGGGAAATTATTTCCCAAACTTTTTTCTACTATCACTCAGTGCCTGTTAAACTTGGTATAAAACCATGTTGATGCTGTGTACGTGATGGCAGTACCAGATACCCAAAGGCTTCACTCTGGTGTTTGAAGTAGAACATTAACATCCCAGCAAGCTCGGGCATACTGGTATGTTTGCTGATAAAAGCAGTGGAGCTGTTGGAGTGTCTGCATCCTATTGCTGCGGTCAGACCCTCAGTACCTCCCGACAGTTACTGCCCAGTAGCTTGTAAGAGGGGATCCACAAACCCTGAAATGTGCAGTCTCAGATATGGTGTTGGTAAGTGCTGAATTTTAGCATCCATCGCTTTTCATCTTAGAAGCAATTAACTCTCTTCATACAACCTATTGAATATTCATCCCCTACTGCAGTAATATTGCCATAGGCTTTGTTTTGTGGGTTTTTTTTTCCTCTTATTACAACCTCTTTCTCTCTTTTTGTTTCTCTCTATAGAGTAGTTGAGAAGACACATTGCAAGCTGCTCTGATGGACCATCAGGTCTGAACTCATGGAAGTGATGACACTAAACAGTGCAATGAACATTTTCTTTATTTATGTACTATTAAAAGAACTGTAAATGCAATGTAAAGACACACAGCCACACATATCCCACAGATTCTTTACTTGTGTTCTTCTCTTTAATACACCATCCACCTTAAACTATTCCTTGTCAGGAGTATATAAAAAAAGAAAGAAAAAAAAAATCACCCTCCAGGATGAAAAGGATTTCCTTCTGTATATAATTTCTTTTGTTGCATTGCTATGCAAGCTCACCTTCTTTTTAGCTATGTTCATATTCATGTCTGTTTTTACTGGTCTGTTGTACTATATGTGAATTAATAGGCTGTGGTGCCATATATTAACTTTTAATTGTGTAACTTTTATGTTTAAAGTTTGCACTGCAATTTTATTTGGTGATAAGCACAAAACTCTACTCCTCATGACATGAAGAAAAAAAGAGACTGAATGTGTGGAGAAGGTTTACGTCCTGTAAGCTACTTTGGATAACGCTGGATGTAAAGGAGTACGTTAGGTGGTTTTCCATTGGGGTGTAGAAATGAGAAAGTGACAGGCAAAACTGATGTCAGTGAAGACATTAGAGACAGATTTAAATCTTTTAAAAGCAAGCAACATGGTTGCTCTTCCTATTTAAGAAGGGGTCAGAAGTTGGAAGTGTGAGATTAAAGGGCGAATATGAAAATTAAAGGTAGCATGAGATGGCCTGGACCCTTTCACTAGAATGATGCCCTTAGTACCTGTTTTTAGCCATCTCATGCCACTAAGTAAAGGGGAAGAAAAACAAACCTTTCTACAAACAAAAGAACTTAAGGTGTTTCACTAAAGCTGTTTTTATATTGCAGTTTTAAAAGAATTATTACCGTTAATTTCTCCAGCCCAAAATGTAAGACAGAGATTTTCCAGGAGAAAAAAAAAAAACCAATATAAACTCAAGGAATACCTACCAAGAAGTTAAGAATGCAATTTATTATTAAGACATATTCAGGCTGCTTCCAAAAAAATTGAAATGTCAGAGTATCTTATTTCATCTTTGCAATACATGTACAGTAGAATAGAAGATAGAGCTGCACCACTGAAATTCATGACATTAATTGTTTTGATGCAGTCTACACAACCCTTTCTGTTCTGTTACTTGAAGTCTGCAAGAGTGGAAGTTGGATCCACTAAATTTGTAGTAAAGTGTTTAGTGTTTGGAAGGAAAGCAACGGTCAAACTATTTTCGACTTGCATTAAATCTATTTCTGGCAATACAATACATCCAAAAGTTGGATACAAGCAAAGAAAATCTTTGACCTGTGTTTTAGTGAGTGGCTTCAAACCCTACTATGATGAGGACATAACACATGTTTATACACTTTTTGAATAAACCAGACTCTGTAAGTGGACATTAATGACAGCATCCTGTCTATTCATTAATTTTCATGACTTTGTCCAAATCTTCTGTACTTCTCAAATCTCAGTGAGTAAATTGTCAAGCTTTTCTTAGAATATGTGGATAGCCCACCCATTACTTTGATGCTTAATTTAAATATTAAATCTTACAGCTTATTTCTGTTAGTTATCTGACCATGAACACGTTTCCATTGAATACCTTTTTCATATAACCAGTCTATGTTGTTTTATATATTGCCTTGGAGCTCACCAGTATTAAGAACACTTTTAGTAATGGCAGAATTTTAGAAAAGTAAATTAAAATGCTAAATATGTGTTGCTTTTCATTTCATTAACTTGTTCCATGATAAGATAAAACACTACAGCCATCAACTATAACTCAGCACTACTGAGTATTTAAAAAAAGCTAGTTAACTTCCTTAAGTCAAGATGTGTTATTCAGCAGGTTACAAACAAAAAAACTTGAGAAAAAAAAATGGAATAATTTATTTATATATGTGATCAATGATTATATGTCATTTTCCTGCTTGTTAAAACACTACAGTTAAAAACATGCTTAAAAATGTTCAAGTAAGATAAAGAGTGCATCATAATTACATATATTTGGTTTTATTTTGATATTTTCATATAAAGAGATGACTATTCAGAGTACAATTCAAATTTAATTCTCTGGAAAATGTTTAACTCAGTCACAGATTGATTTTTTTTTCCTTTTAATTCAAAAGCTTGTGCTGAGCTTTGGTGGAACACCTTACTCATTATATTCTATTCAAAATTCAGTATCATTAGAGGTTGATAAAGCCATCCCAATTACTTTCAAATATGTGTTTTATCTCTTCCACTGGAAAGTAAATGTGTGTCAGTATTAAAACTGTGCAGTACCATGATATTCACTAACTTGTCCATCTGCTTCTGTACATTTTTGTTCATTAATAATTTGCTTACAATATTACATAAGGTGTTGTTGTGTATGGCAAAGTGTCTCCATTATCTTACAGGTGATGTCTCTTCTTTTTTTTTTCTCTCTCTCTTTTCTATACAGTGTACTTCCAATGAACCACAGTACATATTTTTTAAAATGCCATTTAATTTACTATTTTAAAAGAAGTATTCTTCTCTTTTTAAAAAAAAAATGAAAACATTTATTGTGAATAATGTGTTTAAAGAAGAGGGATGTTGTGGCAGCACTTAGAATTGTTTTTTAATTTGTTTTTTTTTTAAAAAACTGTTTATTGGCTACAGTTTGTTCACAAAAAAGTATGACCTCTTAATGTGTTTCATTGGTATTGTTAGTGCAGCAAAGTTTAATTGGCATAAGAAGTTGGTTAATAGTACTGTTGAAGTGTGTATTGTATATTTACTGGGGAAAAAAAAATAAAACATATTCACATTTCAAATCTATGTTAAAAGACCTTGAGTAAGGAGTCAATATGTGAAAAGCCAAACTGGGAAAATCAGGCAATAATAACATAGACTGAGCTATAATCATCACTGTCCACTTACAGGTGACAAGGAACGTTTTGTGTGCTGGTTTTTGAGCTAAGCCAAGAGCTGTGTTATAAATAGGCCAGTGGTAAACATTGCCTGTCATAGGGGTTTCTGTTTAATGTCCTGTCTATGCTGGGAATAGCTGGACCGGTGCAATTACCCTGGTCCAGCCATTCCAGCAAACATCCTCCGTTTGTACCCGCGCTCTCTCAATGGCCAGCAAGGACCCGAATGCTCAGTTCCCTTTGCTCACGGCCCATAAAGCAGTGGATGTGTAAAACCTGCACTCCGTGGGTCTGAACCCTTGCACTTGGGGCTTTGTGCTGGTGGAGCTTCTGCCAACCCAGTACAGAATATCCCCAAAAGGCAAAGAGATGCCAGGTCAGTTTTTCTCAATCTTTGCGTTGAGTGTGTGCTCGATTTTAAACGCAGGAGGGCTGAAGGACCAAATAATAAATGGTTACATGTGCTTCAGTGGTGTATTGCTGTATAGGCAGCCATTTCAGTGATGCAAAGAACAGACATTTCTTGATTTTGTAATTTTTTTAAAAATTTTTTATTTCTCAAGCCCTTTCCAAGTCAGTAAACGTTTTGAATACCTTTTGGTTGTCACCTGAAATGCAACAGAAACACCGTTCCTTGGGAAAAGTACAAAAGATAAAGTGCATGGAATGTTTTAAGTGTATTAATTTAACTATACACCAGTGCAAAAGGAAGACATGACTGTTTGAAATAATTATATGCTGGTTTATGCTTGCCTCAGCCCATGCCTTGCCAGCCAGGAGAAAAAGTGTGTGCTAGGGTTGAGAAAGAGTCCTCACAACTGACAGAGGAAAGGTAATCGGGTTGGGGGAGATTTTGGCAGGAACTTTTTTTTTAAAACAAAAATACAGGCAGCTCCTCGGGGTTATCTTCAATATATGCAGTTTGGGGTTTTTTGATGATTAATGACCTTGTGAAGATATAGGAGGGGAACCAGGAGAAAAAAAAAAAAAAAGCTGGCTTTTTTTTGGTAAAGATTCGGGGAACTTGTTTGCCTAGGGGAGGATTTTTTAATTTCATTTTTATTTTTTAACACGTTTTGTGTTCCCTCTCTCTGGAACACATTAGGCAAAAAAAAAAAAAATTAATTTTGAAAACCATGTGGGCAACGGACATTTTCTTTAGGAGGTACATTCAAATAGCAGGAAAATGGCAAAAAGTAATACAAAAATAAGGAACACATAAACTGGTTTAGAATCAGCCAAGTCCACCACAGTTTCGCATGTAATTTTGAACTGTATGGTAATATGCATAAACTTCATTGCTTTTGGTTTCCATACCAAAACAAATTATCCAAAGTCCACAGAGGTCTAGATCCTGGGGACACTAATTCAAGTACTTAGTTTTAAATACATGGTTAACCCAAGCCAGTGGGACTGGAGGATGTTAAGGGTTGTACAGAGCTCCAGCCCTGGCTGCTTGCACCTCAGGAAGTCTCCAGCTGGAAAGCCCACGTGGCTTTAGGCTCGGTGAGTTTCTGTAGATCCCAGGCACCCCGTGTGTAGAGAGGCAGGTCACTTCCCTGAGGATGGAGTTTTGCAGGGCAGGGCAGATCTTTGATGAGTTAGGCACTGTGGTGGTTTGCACAGGGACCATTTAGTCAGGCGTGTCTCACATTTTGGGATGTCCTCCCCAGTTCCTGCCACAGTCTCAGTGCTGAGCAGTGGAACACAGCAGAGCAGTGGCACCAAACTCTGCTGTGCGTGGCTTGTTCCCTGCATCTCTTTAGGACTGACCCTTGCCTGCCAACACTCCTTACCCAAAAGAACAGATAGGACTCAGAGCTTTGTCATGGGACCCAGAGGAGAAGTAGGGCCATGCCTGTGTGCTGAGAAGGTGGACTGGTTATTTGGGAGAGCCAGCTCTGAGTTCCACTGTTGGTGTGAGGACTAGATTCCTCTCTAGCCTGACTTTGTAGCTACATCCAGGAAGACCACAGCAGAAAACAAGTTCCTAGAGCACAGCTCAGCCTTGCAGCATCTCTTCTGGCATTCAGTCTGTCGTAGACAATCCTGAGTTCAGCGCCAGCTTCTCGCCACACCCTGAGGGCTCTTTAGGCAAGTGAGGATGTTCCTCTCGCTGCAGCAGAATGGAAGAAAAAACCCCAATCAAACAAAACAAACAAACAAACAAAACCAAAATTAAACCTTTCACTTAAACATAAATATTTTTAAATAATGCTCAAAAATCCTAGAAAACAGAGCATTTCAGATGTATGTTTGATGATTTTCCTTTTCTTGGCATTTTGTTTTTGCTACCGTGGAAATGATCTGTTTGGTTTTTTCAGACCTGCTACACTCTCCCTCCACCCCTTTACCCCCTGTGTTTTCCAGTACTTATCTTTCAGGTGTAAA